TATTTACTTGATAGCATATTTTAAATTAGTAATTGTCTTCTTCCACTTAATAATATTCAAATTCGTTGTCTTAGTTTTGTTTTTCTACTTCTATTTTGTATTTCAACATAAACAAAAAATATTTGCTTATTTATATTGATGCATGATACATCACATTATGCCAATAATATCTTCTTTTACGTTTCTCTTGTATATTTTCGTAAGGAATATAATGATTGTACATCAAAGGACAGGAATGCATCTCATTTTTCAAAATACCAACTCTTATTTTGTGGGGGTGAGGATTCCTTTAAACTACACGAAACAAACACTATATCCTAATAAAAAATAATAATAATAATAATAATAGTTCAGTTCTTGTATAGCGCATAATACGTTATGAAATAACATCTCTTTGCGCTTCCAAAGAGCTTTGGACTCTATTACCCTAGCTTTAGCTCCGGCAGCCTTATCAGCGCACAGTGCATTTCAAGGAACAATCCTTCCTACCAGATACCCATTTACCTCAACTGGGTCGGAATGTGGCAATTGTAGATCAATGTCTTGCCAAAGGACATTAGTGCGGCGGCGGGACTCGAACCGCAGACCTTGTGATCGACAGTCCGGTGACGTATCCACTCGACCACAACACCTCTGCAACACCTCCTAAGGACAATATTGTACAACAAAAGGTTTTCTTGGGAACCACTTCTATCTTTGGGGTCTAGGGGCAGAGCCTTTGCCGGGTCTGGAGGGCGGAGCCCCCTGAATTTCTTAAATTGTTAACAATCAAGAAAATTCATCATGGTCGTCATGAGCGATAGAAATTGCAATTACTCCTTGAAAGTCCCATAGCCCCTTTTCATTTCATTTTAGAAGTAACCTCTCATTCCCTGTTAAAGACTATTTTATAGATTTTTTTTCTCAAACTGTTGTACTTTCGCAGTCTTCGTAGGCACATGTCGAGCCAGCTCATCTGAAAAGTAATCTGTATGTGTAAATTGAATGTTCATGTTCTTCCTCAAAGCAGTCCTTCTCGACCCAGGTACTTAACAATTACAGGCCCCTGACAAAGATAATCATATTTCATCACAATGTGGCCTGAATGAGGTTATATATACGCAGTGATCAATGAGATATTTCAGCTGGAGTATATATAGGGCATTTTTTTAAGAAAATATTCTTGCAAGCAAGAAAAAACTAAAAAGTCCTCTCTATTGCACGATGAAGATATATATACACAATGTAAGATGCAACTAAAATGCAACTAATGACCACTACCACAGGGTAGAAGCAAACATATCTTGTGCGAAAAATGAAAATGCATTGACGGTGATTGATTAATGGATAATAGATAGATACATTCATGTGTCATGATTCTACCCTTTTATGCAAAAAAAATGATAGCTACCATCAAATCGATCGATAAAGTTCATGAAGTAGTGAGCAACCAAAAAAGGGAATGTTGGTATTTGGTTAACCAATCTTTACGGAGCCGTGTATAATGTAATTCATGAAGTAATTATTTATGCATATACCGCAATCATACACAACATCTCATTAAATCCTGCACTGTTGCCCAATATATTGGGAAAATGTGTCCTAACCTTTTACTAAATTTTTGTGACAATTTGATTTATTCTTGATAGATAATTTTTAAATTTTCTCAGAACTTTATCGATCAATAAAGTTCTGAGAAGATATAAATTCTATCTATGAAAGATAATTCGTATTGTCACAATCGTTTCATGACTGAAAAGGGGTACAGAAATTTGGGCGGCGATGTCCCATTATAAAGCCATTTACTCTTACCCTACCCGTAACTCCTCAAACTTTCATCTAGTAAAGTCGAAAATACTACGCCCATAGATCCATAAGACACCATGGTCCCAACCTATAGAACTCTTTCCCAGAATCTATTCAATCATGTTGCTCCCGCTACTCATTTAAGGCCAAATTTAAAACGATGTTATTATCAAAATATTTAAGGTAAAATCTCTGTGTAAACTCTTCAGTCTTTATCATATTGTCATCTCTTCTTTCGTTCGAATCATCATCATCGTCATCGTCATCATTATCATCATCTTCACCATCATCCTCATCGTCATCCTCATATCTGCATTGTCAATATCACCATCATCAAAATTTGTATTTTCAATTAGGCTACCTATCGATTCTGCTTAATAAATGTGTTAATCTATTTCTTGAGTTTTGTCTTTGGCTGTCGTATTATCAAGCAATCTTCTTACAATGACAGTCCTTCTTCCGAAATTAATTGTATAATGTTTTATAATGTTTGAGTAAATTTAGTATTTATGACAGTTGATCATTTCGTGTTTGTGAAAATAACGATCTTTATATGTAATGCATATATATATATATATATATATATATATATATATATATTTGCTTATTTATGATTCATTGTCAGAAAAATACTTATTGTACTTTATATTATTATTGTAATCGAAAAACTGTGTACTTACATGAATGCAGAAGAAAATCAATATTAAGTTATAACCGACGGTGAGGTGGGGATCAAGTTGCCTCTCCTCACCCCTCCCCCCACCCATGATAACAGACGAGCCCTAATATACCTCTAATGCTCACCAACATCTAAATGGCCAGATGGCCCACTTTCCAACTTTCTTTCAGAGTCTCATTTATTGGTAAATGGCGAAGCTCACTCATGCATGAATGGTATGATCAGGCGCGTACGCAGGAATTTTTTCATTGGGGGGGGGGGGGGGGGGGGAGGTTTTAACATTTTTAAATCGGGCCGAAAATTTCGCATCGACTCAGCCAGCCGCTGAATGAGGGGGGGGGGGGGGGGGGGGGGGGGGGGGGGGGGGGGTAAGAGGACACTTTTTTTTGGTCTCGAAATTTGAAAATTTGACATTTTGCTCCGTTGGGGGGGGGGGTAAGGTCACCTTTTTTAGGTCAGCCATGGGAATAATTTTTTTTTTTTTTTTTTTTTTTTTAAATAAAAATTTAATTAAAAAACCAAAGGGGGGGGGGGGTTTTGGTTTTTTTTAGGGGGGTTTATACACATAAAAATACCAAAGGGGGGGGTTTAACCCCCCAAACACCCCCCCCCCCCCTGTGTACGCGCCTGGGTATGGTGCATATCTTCTTAAAGGAAACTAATTCATGTTTATTGTTATGTATGAAAGATTAGTTTAGATTAAATATTTATTGAAGAAAACAAAAAATTCTTTTTTGTTGCTAGGTGTATAATTATGTGCGCTGTTTCAAATATAGAACAGCAAAACACCAAACAATCACTGGTGAAATTTTTGTAATTTTGAGTGTTTTTCTTTTTTTTTCTTCATATGGCGAATGATCACTTACATTATATAGAACTTCCTGATCATGACACTTTTATTTATTTATTATTTATTATTCATTCGGCAATTCACAAAAATATAACAATGTAAATATAAGTAAACAAACATTAAGAGAATGTCAATTATAAATGCACAATCTTCCCGGAGGTCCTCTGAGTGCATCAGTTGGCTGCCGGGGAAGAGGAAAGCAAACTAAATCACTGTAACCGTAATGGTCCCTCTTCTCGTACTCAATATTTTATTTAGACCTCAATTGAAAACAAATCCCGGGGGTAAGATACCTCCTGAAAAAATCGGTGGAAGTTTCTCAATATATTTTAAAATATAATTGTTTCAAAATATCCTGGAAGTGAATTAACAAAGAGGAAACATGAAAAATCAATATATGAGTATACCATGGTTTAGTGAAGTTGTGGAACATTGTTCCTTGAATAGCATTAGTCGTCATTTAAGTGCATTGATGTTATAAATTATAATAATCTTCGGTGGATCGTGTCAATGATAAAAATTATAAATTGATCTTAGGCCGGTTATTTATCTGTGTAGGTCTCTGTACATTTTGTAGCTGAGAATTTGAACAGGCCGACAACCACGGAGAAAAGGAATATGATGTTATTTATCATTATTCCGCCTTTTTATGCGAACAAAAATCAACTACCTTCAAATCTGATAGAGAACGAAATAAGTAACACTTTGTGGTATGCCAATCCTTATGGATGGAAGTGATTGCGCATAACCATAAGGCAATCTTGGCTGATTCTACCATTTCATTTTAATTGAATTGTGTGCCAGTGAAAAATATCAAAAGCTTATGGTAGTTAATTTGAATTTTTAAAATATCATTACACGTCAATATTCTGTTTCATCTATATTAAGTGAGAACCTTACCAATTTAAAGCAACTAATCAAAATACCCTACAGGTCGAGTCTTTATATAGGACTGTGAATATTGATATTTATCATCTAAATCAATCAATTGCCTTTTACATTACATTCCTTCAAACATTATTACAAAATAAAATAATTTCACATTTTTCTGCCTGGCATTTTCACACATCATCATCCTAATACGATTCCCCTCCCCGTCCCCCAATTTGTAAACTCTATACCGAGTTACTGAGTCGTATACCAGTAATAACTCACACTAACTAACTTTTCTCCCCTCTCCTTTCCCTTTCTCTCCTTCTGCCTGTCTCTCTCTCTCTCTCTCTCTCTCTCTGTCTCTCACTCTGTATCATGTCTCTCCCTTTTCTCTCTCTCTCTCTCTCTCTCCCTCTCTCTAATTCCTTGTCCCCCTGTCTCTCCTTTGTTTTGGGCGCATCCCTTCTTCCTTTTCCTCTTCCTCTCTCTCCCTCTTCCTTCATTTTCTTTCTCTCTATCTATTTCTTTCCTTCCCTTTTTAAATTGTTATTTTCTACCCCCTCCCCCATCTCTCTTTCTCTTCTTATTTTAAAATATGTATTTTTTGCTGTCGCTATAAGAAATAACAGCAAAATAATGCATTTCTTTTTTTCTTTCTATAGAATAGTGTTTAAACTACCCCTCTGTCGCCCCAAAATCAAACAAAAATAAGAGAAAAAAGCACATTATTTCCACTATATCAACCCCTCCCACGCACACATAATGCCCTGCACGCACACACACTGATTTTGTGTGTAAATACCAATAAGAATTGACTCCGTATATGTTTGGTATACGCATGGCTAGGCTACTCAAGGAACTGAGGCCCCTACTACGTATTCAGTCTGGATGAATGTATAATCATAATGTATAAGCATTTTATGTTTATTCATAACTTGGAACCTATCAGTGAAGGTTGTGCGTTTAAGGAATTCTTTACGTATAATGCTTCACGTTTAGCTTTTGTGAGAAGGAGTGTCGACAACCATATAATGGCGCTTCATAGATGATGCAGGGAACATTATAACGATAGTTGCAACTGAACAGTATTATGTATTTTGAACTGCTGATCGACTACCAGAAAGACCTGTTTTACGCGTGTTCTTCGCTTTGATTCAGGTAAAGCTTCAATTTTATTTTTTTAGTTTGACAGTCTTTTATCTCTGGCGAATAGGAGGAACCTTATCTTTTCGCTGCAATCATCTTAATACATATTCCACTTTTATGTAGCGCTTATTACAAATGTCTCTAAGCGCTATATATACTTAGAACCAAGGCGGAGAAGAACAATGGGGAATATTAAGCTGCCATATATTAACATCCATTTGATTTTTTGTGTGGCATATTTTCCACGTGGCATATTTTCCACGTGTGGCACGGTTGTGGTGAACATAATCATTACAACACTATGTTCTGTTTCCTTGTACGCAGATGATACGTGTAGTTATTTTGCATCAAAAGAGTCAGCAGAGTAAGAAACAACTATAAACAGAGATTTAAAGTTGATTTCTACATGGTTTTCAAATAATGAACTGTTGATCAATCTCGATAAATGTCAATTGATGCTACTAGGCTCTAAAGCAAAACTCCGGTTATTTGAAAATGTAAAAATCAAAATTCAAAATTCTCAATTACAGAGAGTAACATATTGTAAATATCTTGGCGTGATAATTGATAGTTGTCATGGACTCCCCAAATTGATAATGTTAGGGAAAAGGTTTCAAAAACATTCTACTCTTTAAAGCGCATCAGATTTTATGTACCGAGAAGTACTGCTCTCATTTTGTATAAATCGTTAATCCAACCAATCTTTGACTATTGTTGTAAAGTCTGGAGAAATGGCAATGAAAGCCAGCTAAATCGTCTCCAAGTTTTACAGAATAGAGCGTTAAGGTCCGTTTTAGAGGTAAATAATCGTTTCAATAGAGCCACTTTGTATAACACGCTAAATGTCGATCAACTCGACAAAAGATGGAATAAGCAGTCAATTTTACTTATATTCAAATTAGTTAATAACATAGCCCCACCCTCACTATGCTCACGGATCCATCTTAAATCACAAAACTACCTGTTACGTAATATCGATTGCCAAATTCAACTGCCACGACTACATACAAATTACCTCAGAAAGAGCCCTCTATTCAGCCTCAAAACTTTTCAATAACCTACCGGCAAACATCCGATTAGAAAATAGCCTGGGAATATTCGCACGTCTTATATCCCTCTCATAAATAATACACCCCTCCATCGTTTCTGTTATCCAAGTAATTTTTAATTCATTTTGTTTGTTTTCATCTTATTATGTTGTTATGATATTTTTTATGATTTCTTTTGTATATAATTTTGTATTCGTTTACTTGTTGTGTTCAACTGTTGTTCACGGCCTTGCTGAAAAGCAGCTTCTAGCTGATAGCAGGCTTTTTAACCGTGATTAAATAAATAAAATACAAAAAATACAAATACGATGGTGGTAGATAATTCCCTTTTCATGGGACATACGTATATACTTACTGATTGTTGCATTTTGTTCATCAATATTCCAGATATGCAACGTTTTGTTATTACGAATATCATATCTATGAATTAAAGAATTGGTTTGGAGCATAGTGGCAGATGATGGTAGTACTTGAGTAGTAACTTGAGTTTTAATACAAACAGAATAAAAGACACATTTTTGTCTGAAATAGTATGACAAATTGAATGACTGATAGGAATGTATTGTTTAATACAGATTAGGGTATGGATGTTTATGTATACATCTGGCTATGGGTTTTAGTGGGTATTGATGCGGTATCGAGTTTATGTATTTTCATGTTTTGCACTAGTGTGCCTTGAGCATTTGGATTTAAAATGGATTTGGCGCCTTATAAATTTTATATTTTATTATTGTTATTATCGTACACAAGACCAGCTTTTGTTTTAGTTTATTAAGCTATTTGCTGCTTTAAGCAAACTTTCCAGTATGAAAAGAAAATATTTATTTAAAGAACACTTGAATCAAATTAGCCTCTAGAACGAGTTTGCAATTCACAGATCTGGCCAACATAATTATTATTAACAGTTTAATTATCACATTAATGACTTTTGTTTCAGCTAGTTTAGGCGGAGGGCCAAATTGAAAAAAGAGGCATTTGCCTGCCACTACCACAAAAACTAAGCACACCTTGTTCATTCGAAAGATTTTATCATAAGACAATATTTCAGAGGTGTATTTTGTTAATTTGTAGCGAACACCCCTTAATCGGAGGCGGCGTGCAAAAAAGAGAGGCCCCATTGACGAAGATTAAATTATCTACGTTTTGATACCAATTTCAACGGGAATAGAATGAACTAACATCGAAAATTTAAGCAAAAACACATCATTTTTTATGATTTTTTCTCTCGAAATATTGAATTATTTAAAAAAAAGGGGGAAAAAAAGAAGTTATTTTCCATATAATTAGCAAAAATCATAAAAGAAACCTTTGTTGTAAAATTGGAGGAATTTGCCCATAGACAAGGACAACATCCTGTGCGAAACAGAGGCTTATATCTCTTTTAGTAAAAAGTTATAGCAACCTAAAGTTATTGATTTGATTTCTACAAAAAACGACATTTTTGACCATATACTGTATGCATATATGCATATATACTATTAGTGTACTTAGGCCAGTATCTCGGTATATTATTAATATAACGTAACAAAATTGATTGAACATTTAGTAGTTGCAGAAAGTTCAAAGAATTTGGAGTGCTGATTGAAAGTGATAAGTACTTCGTCTGAATATCTGTGATGTTTCAGGAAATGTGGGCATCCAGCCGGTTGTTATAATCTGGATCACTGGAGCGAAGAAGTGTAATCTTATTCAGGTGAACTTCACCTGAATAAGAATCCGTCTGCACAAAAAGGATTAAACCAAGTTTAATCCTTTTTGTGCAGACGGATTCTTCTTCCTTCTTGACCAGAATTTCGTTTCAAACTTAAACATGTGGGCATCATCCCATTGAATGCTGTTTCCAGTATAAAGGGCGTGTTTTTGGAATGGTTATGATTAAGAGGGCTTTTAGGTGCTCCATAAAAAGAGCACACAATAGGGGCAGTGCACTTCAAATTCGAATGGATTGATTAGAGAAAGGGCAGAAAACGAATTTTCTTGAAATGTGAATTCTCTTTAAAATTCAGATACCGTCCGCCAAATGACATAACACAAGGGCATTGACTTCTCATTAATAAGCGTACAAATTAGTTCGGACAGGTATACAAAGGAGACGCGTAAAGATGTGACGTAAACTATATAATACACCAGTTTACAGTTGTATCAGTGCGCATGAGCAGACAGTTGACCTCGGGTCATTGGCCCCGGAACAGGGCCAAATTGGCCCTGTTCCGGGGCCAATGACCTCGACCTCTGGTATTTATGCGTAAATTAAGATGCGCCCATGCAAATGATGAATGCGCGCACAACGCAGCGTGCAGGCAGTGATATCATCATAATTTGCATGGCGCAATCTTAATTTACGCATAAATACATGACCTCTAGGTCATTGGCCTTGTTTAAAAATGGCGACACAACTGTAAAACTGGTGTATAATAAGGCCTAACAAAAAAAAAAAAAAAAATGTTGTATTGCCCTTTAGGTGCCAAAACATGGGTCGGTCGGAAATCTTCTCTTTTTTTTTTTTCCTTTTTTTTTCTTCTTTACTCCCTCTTTGGGTTTATGCTTCAATACATTTTCCCCCTAAAAATTCGGTTAAAAAAAACTCTTTTAAAAAGCCGACCGTATAGATTTTATGTTTTTGGGGTCTGTAGCAAAGGGCAATACAACATCTTTTTATTTAGGCCTAAGCGCCAGCATGCAAGTGTGACACAAATGCAATAGAAGTTTTAGAGTAGTGTTCGTGAGTTGAACATTTATATAAAGAAGATTTAAGTTACGCATTACACAGATAACAAGCGTACTCGCTGTACCAATCAAATCATTGACAAGATACAGAGTTAAATTGAACTTTAACAAGTACGTAGGTTATGAAAGGAGTCTAGACAAGACCTGACATTATGAACTTATGATAATGCAATACCAGCTCAGCACACAAAAAAAGAATAGAATACAAGTGCTCTCTCATCGGCTTTTGAAAAGAGTTCTCAACTTGTTCAGGATAGCTTTTGATGGTTACACGGAGATCATCGATTGTGCGTATATTGTGTCCAAATATTTTTCCCAATTTGTTTAAAGTATGCTTTAACTTTATTTCCCCTAAAAGGCCTCCCCTCAGTTCTGTCATACTCTCTTGGAGAGTTTGAGCTCACCGTTGCTTCCTCGTTGCATTTTGGTGGGATACGATTAATTGAAACCAGATTGGAGAGATACAATATATATTTTTACAATAATTGTTCTATGTCGATTTTTGCATTACTTTGTAGCTGCATTGCTGTCATATATGTCATATACACGAATGCTACACCATATTATTTTAAACACCGATTGGTAAAACTTGAAATACACAAGATCACTGGAATGAATATATTAAAAAATCCTTCGAATGTAGGAGCTTGTTAATAATTTTGGGCTTTATGTCTACAATGCTAAAATATACTATTTATATGCTATAGCGGTATAGCCCATAAAGAAGTTTTATAAGTCCAATTGTTTTTAATAGTATTGTTAATATTATCATTATTATATTAATGTTATTATTGACATTGTCATAATTATTATCATTCTAATTATCATTATTATTGATATCGATATTTGTAATATTATTAATGTTATTATTACTATGATCATTATTATTATTATTATTATTATTATTATTATTATCATCATCTTCAATATCCTTATAATCATCTTGACAATTATTATTTTCATTACTTAACATTTTTATTTTTTTAATGATATCTTTAATTTGTTCAGATAAAAAATCACGGATGACATTATACACAATTATTTACAAAGAATTTTTTCAAGAGGTACCTCGTTAATTTGTTCGATTGCATGTAGGGCCCTTTTAACTGGGCCCATGGGCCACATGCAGCAGAGGGGCACCGGCAGACGTCCTTTTTTGGATATAGGTTCCTCCCTGAATGTTCCAACACTCAGATATTGATACCTCGTTCGTTTAATCAAAGTGCACTTGGATGCCGGGCTATTAATCCGAGTCACCTGTTATATGTACTATGGACAAAATCCACTATGACTTAAATAACTGTTGCTATGTTGGACATGACCTGGTCTCACTGCTATTCATAATATGAGAAGAGGGTCGCTATTCATAATACGAAAAGAGGGTCACCCTCTTCTCGTATTATGAATAGCGACCCCCATCTCACGTTATGAATAGCGGTCCTTATGAACATCGGTCCTTATGCCTTTATGAATAGTGACCCCCTTTTCGTCTTATGAATAGTGGTCCTTCACGTATAGGACGTTCCGCGTTAGGAATAGCGGTCCTTATGACTACCGAGGTTACCCCCTTTTTAGTGCTTAACTACGTAATATACAATGAAGTATACACTTTATTTAGTTTATTTAGATTAGTTTTAGCAGACCCAAACGTCTCCCGATAACTTTGGCGGCATCGAAAATCAGACATCACAGAATCAAGGCTGGCCATTGCTTCAATATGAATCTTGTACATTCTTTATAATCTGCCACAAGTTTGTTTTTATTACCGTCCGTTCAAGACTCCACCTCTTAAATACCCCATCGAAAGTACATTACAACCCGAATTGCCCAAAATCGGACGGTTTGGAGTCGAATTGTCTGTGTTACTGATAATTACAAGTTGAGCCTTTGTTTAATATGACGCTAAACAGAGATCTAAAAGTCTTTATTACTTGTACACATAAACCCACCCTCCCTTGCAGAAGTCCCGACGTTCACGGTCGACAAGTTCGAGAATCCAATTCAATATATCGATATACACTTCATGGATGTGAACAATTCGGACGATGGTCTAATAGCCATTCATATACTTATTTCGATTCGCTTGCGTATGAACTATGGATGCGTCATTATATCTTCGATGATTGATTGAGGATTTGATTTGAGGTGCGGTCTGACACGCTTGTTTCTCTTTGTTTGTTTTACTTCTTTAATTTGTCAACCAAATGATTATGATCTCTTAAAGAATCCAATCGCATAAGTCATTCAGTCTCAGTGTTATCAGCCTCATTCTTGTCTGATGCATGCTAAGGATTTTACTCTGCATGGGTGGATGGGCGTGTAGCAAAATTACCATTTATGTCGATGCACCTTGGACATATAATGTATAGAGACAAGATCATACCTTGTTCTGTTATTATCATCATACATCTGGACATTTGTGCCCAGTTTGATATGGTATGTGTATTCTTTTTTGTATTTTATTTTATTTTGTTTTTCGGAGGATCTTGGCTATAGGCCTAGGACATTCCAAAATATTCAAAAACAGACCGTTTTTTATATTGTAATCAAACGTAATGCATGAAGTCTTTCGTCTTTTTTTTGTGTATGACTGATCGTCAACGAAACGGAGTTAAGTCTTTTGTAAACTCTGTTTTTTTGCTACGGCAGGCAGCCAGTGAAAACGAATTGGTTTAATCAAATTATGGAAATGCAAGCATTACTTTAAACAAACAGAACTTTGTTATTCCATTTTTCCTGATTGAGGTGTCACAATGAAAGGGCAGAAAATGAACATTCTAGACATGTGATTTTCTCTTTGAAATGCAGATACCGTCCGCATTATAATTTATGAGTTGCATCACCTGAAAGAGGAGTATCTAAGCTTTACAAATATGTGTAATTTGTTAATTATAATTGTGATTAAGTTATGATAAAATATCGATAATTTTCGGTTTCGTTTTTTTCTGGGACGCACTGTATTTGTATGGTGATTGATTTGGACAGGTCTCAAAATCCACCTTTAGCGTAGCGTCAGGATGAGCATTCCTTATACTAGGTGATAGAATAAGACAGTACCTGACAGTAACCTAACGGTAGTGAACTAGACGTTTAGGATGAATCTCCATGGATGTAGGTGTATTAGTTTACCTGATAATAAAACACTGAGAAATTTTCTTTGATGTGATTGAAAATGTTGATGATTTTTTCTTCTCACTGTCTCTCTATCTTTTCTTTTTTTATATATAGATGCTGAGCATGACATTTCATGGGACCACTGTTATACCAAGCAAAGGACGAACAGCTTCCTTCCAGATTTTTATTCAGCTTCGAATTTGCAACTTTGAAAATATAAATTTATTTTAATCATTGATCAACTCTTTATGGTATTATGTGTTGAAACCGAGTTGTGAGATTACTTATATTTCAATTTATCTTGGCAACTGAATGAGGAGAAGAAAATGTTTTTTCTCAAAATCTATGTTTCGTGATGCTTTGACGGCATTGTTGGTAGTGACCTTTGGAACTAGTACATGGGTCTCAAACGGTGGACTCTGGGTAGAAACACCACTTCTCACCAGCATAGGCGTTCCCGAAGGCTACAAAATCGGCTCTTATTTCATAATGGTCACACAAGCCGCCATTATTGGACCACTTATATTCGCCACATGCCAGTACTTCGCTCCAAAGGACCGACATCTTGAAATCCCAGCTATATGCGTGACTCTAGCCGTGGGCGTAACGGCAAGTTTCATCTTGATTTTCTTCTGGAACTTCCATTCGATCTGGTCTCTGGATGGCTCTGAGCACAGTACCGCCCTTCTTACCCTGGTGTTCTTCATGTCTCTTGTTGATAGCACATCTAATCTGACCTTTCTGCCTTTCATCTCCAGTCTCAAGTCAAAGTATCTCAATTGGTATTTCATAGGAGAGGGACTTAGCTCTGTTATTCCAAGTATTGTTGTGCTCATCCAAGGATCTGGTGGTGATGATAAATGTGTCGCCAATCATACATTCATCGACACCACCAAAGACCCTGTCAGCAACGTCACATTTACTGAAAACTGTACCACATATATGGTGCAGAAGACTGGACACGCCCTTTTCCCTCCAGAGTTGTATTACACTTTTATCTTTCTATTGTTTATTCTGAGCACAATTTCGTTTTGCCTTCTACGATGTCTTCCTATTATTCAAGAACAATATGAAGACGATTTTGACGTTGAAACATCAGATGAAACAGAAGATAAGACATGTTTTAGTTGCTTTAAGCGTTGTAAGCGTCGTAGAAATAACCCAGAACAAATATCTCTACTTAATTTCCAAAGTCACAGAGTAAAAGGCACTCGAGAAGAACGACTGAACAAGGTAAAGACAATAGCACCCTCTCTTTTTGATCACACAAATAGTGAAGATTCCGGTGTGATAAGTGAAGAACATGAAACGGATCTAAGTCGAAAATCTGATGACGACGAAGCAAATGGTTCATTGACCAGAGAGGTTGTTCAAAGAGATAGAGACCAAACGGGCAGCAGAATTTTAAATGAAGAAGGCGGAGTGAATGATGATCCTAGTACATCTAAAAAGAGTAAATCGAGTTTCTCAAAGAAGCATATATTCCTCTTCATAATCCTGACAGTGATTAGTTCTCTTATCTATGGGGCCCTACCATCAATCCAGAGCTACTCTGCAGGAGGATACGGATCACATACTTATCTCCTCGTCACAGCATTCGCAGAAATCAGTGTTCCTATTGGGTTCGTCCTTGTGATGATTCGACCAACTACAAGCATCCTGATAGTGCTGCTGACCTGCTTCACAGGCATACTTGCTGGTACATATTGCATGGTAGTAGCTACTCTAAGCCCAACCCCACCACTCCAAGGACAGATTTGGGGACAAATTTTAATCGTAAGTTTCGCTAGACTCTCCTACACCATATCTTTGTGATTATCATGAAAATACAACATAACACATTGACAGCTGAGCTGGAAAATCATTTTCTTCAAAAATATTATATATAAATGTTATTTTAAGCCACATTTAAACCTGAATTTGTAGTTTCTTTCAAAATACACCAATGACTGAAAGCATACATGGAATGTAACGCCCCAGTATTTCGACGCATGAGATGAGCGTTTGTTTACAAGGGCAGCATACCCTGTATACACTCGAACTTCATATTGAAAGGCTGTTGAAAATTGCGAAATCAATTTTTGCCTTCAACACTATGGTATAAAGATCTTCTTTATGTATGAATGAATGGCTATTCAATATAAAACATGGTTCAATACGCGGCCAATATAGTTTATGTGTGAGCGAGCACCAGCTATATACTTTTATCTACTTTATTACAAAAATAGCTTCCATAGAAATGCTAAGCTTTAAACAGGATCATGATGCACGTCAGACAGCAAGTGCATTGCTCTGTTCACTTTAAATAATGATTTGAACAATGATTCCTTTGCATAATCATAATTATCCCCCACACACACCCACACACACACAAACACGCACCATACATACAGATATTCATGTACATAATGCAGAGTACAGTATGAAACATGTAATGCTTCAATATAATGCAATACAAGGAAGAAACTGCACCTTGCATACAAGATTGGTATTAGAATGTGATTGTAGGTTACGATTAATTTGCATCCTTTTTTTTCCATCACACCTATTGTTAGCAGCCATGTACATATAGGCCATACTTTGATTAATTTACTATAAGCAAGCTAAATACAGCGCTCACTCAATAATATTATGGGCATATTTCCAGTTTCTAAAATTTTCCCGAGCAAAGCGAGCAGGCAAAAGAAAGGATAGACATTTTGTTATTTCATTATTAATATAGACTATTATAGAATTACATATTCAGTTAATATTTCACCCCCGATTGTGAAGACATTCAGACATCTCACTCATGACTCATACCTTGTATGTATGCCTACTACAGTGGTAGATGGAAAGTCATGTGTTTTATGTATCTCAGGGCCGTATATTGATGATAATTTAGGATAACTTGTGATGGGAAATTGGATTAAAATTCTTCAAAAATGCATAATAGGGGCGCTCGGAAGGGAGAATACGTACGGTATCGTTTCTGCAATGACCGTTAGAACAAAATTCAAGTTCAGTGGCTCATAGGTATATGCTTGTAATTGTTTTTAATGAATATCGTTGTCATTATCCTCATGCAGATCTTAGCATGGATCTTCCAAGGGATTTCCTTCTCTTATTGCCGGGCAACCATCGCATGGATTCTTCGTAATGACGGTGGATATCGAGTATCCATGATGATTTTCGGAGGTTGTACAACACTCGGTACCCTGATCGGAGCCTTTGTCATGTTCCCGCTCATCAACGTATTCGAACTCTTTGAAGGGTTCAATCCAGCTCAAGGATGTACCGATAAGGTCACCTGTGTCATGCTTGGAAATGAGACTGCAAGCTTAATGTAATGATTGTTGCAATGAGATGTCATTTTATTGACGGATGACTGCGTCATCTACAATAATAATGGTAATAATAGCTAGTTCTTATATAGCGCTTTTCAGGACCGAAGGGCCCTCTCAAAGCGCTTTACAGATATATATATATTACCCCGGTCTACAAAAAGTGAATGTAAAATCTACAGCCTAAACTTTGGGTTGGATTACTGGTACATATATTCATTTAGGCTTGATATATTACATGTGTAATAACGCCATCGAAATCACACCCCGTGTGCAGAGGACATTACTTGTCAACAGCCAACACTCGGCATCGGCGATCTTTGATGATTCAAAACTATACAAAAATCAAACACAAATAGTAATTTTGCCCAGCCGTAATCACAAATAGGACTTGCCTTTAATTGCAGTGGTTTTTTTTAAGAGGTCGTAAATCATACGATGATTGTGGGTAAGTTTTCCATCTGTATGTTTAGGTTGTACAACACTTTCTCCTCGGCCAATTACCAACACCAACCAAAAATTATTTACTTCATCCCAGGACCAAACACCATTCCTAACCCTAGCCCTAACCCTAAACAAAGCCTAAACCTAATTGCAATCTCAACCTATACCCCTAGTATAGTCTGCAACACAATAAAGTCAGAGCAAATACATTACATCGTGTATTCTTAAATGTTGCTGATATGGTGCTTATCATAATGTTCGCAACCAATTTAATTCAATTCAATTAATGTAATGCAATCAAAAGACGTTTTGTAAAAATAATTTCTCATGAAAGATGAAAGCAGCCGAAGCTGGATCAATTATGTTGACATGTAACGTTCGCTTACTAAATAACATTTTAATGGATAGTAGCATGTTAGAAACAAACATACATTGTGCTTTATAAAAAGGTAGGTAAGTAATGGCAATTACGTGTCATGTTTTAAAAAGTATACATATTTTTCTTAGATCTGTTTGAAAAATAAATTGCAATTGCACTAGTTAAACAAAATCAAAATAGACTTATCATATAAAATCTACATAAGGAGAAGACTAGGACAATGTACATGAAATTGATTGTTCACTTTTGCTTCTGACTTGTAAATGAATTCTATGAATTCAAATATTAGTGTTATATAGTCAAATCGTATATATTGTCATAAAATATATTTTAATGTTAAAAAGATATATCTAGTAAATAAATATGGTTGTTTACATAATATCATGGAGGACATTGTTGATTAGGCCCCCCCCCCAAAAAAAAAAAAAAAAAAAAAAAAAAATCATTTGGTTGTCCTCGACCGCCCGCTCGTCATTTTCGGGGCGCTTTTTTTTTTTTGTAACTTTTTTTTTTGGGGGGGAGCAATTTAAAAATCCAAACATACCATTTTATGCATTTTGCAAGGATCAAAATGCGTCCCATTGCCAAGTTGGTATTTTTGGCACGCAATTCTGTCTTACACACTGTTCATTGTGTAGACTTCGCTCCCGATGAGACTTCTAAAACTAAAATGACTGAATAAAAATGCACCGCACAATCAATGAATGTTATATTTACACTAAAAAAGCAATGTGAGAAAATATTTTAAAATACTTATGTTTGATTTTTTCCGAAATTATTTCCCAACAACATCATTAATATTGATTAAAATATAATTTGGAGCAATGTTTGCTGCATTTAGCACGTTAAAGTTGGGTTTCACGTATACATTTTAACCTCATGCACGCACCCGTAACGCTGTTTTGCTTGGCAACACAATGTATTTTAATGCCCAAAATACTTTCTGTGTTGGTGTTGATATTCATTGCACATATGTTTAAAAAGATGATATTAAACTATTATTTTACTATATCAAAGTGTTGTACTGCCTTCATTTATTAAAATGCTTGACATCTCAATGATTTTTTTTTTTTATGTAATTTTTTTTATTTTTTAAATTAACAAAAAATGGGGAAGAAATTTTTTAAAGAAAGACAAAAGTTCAATTATTAAAAAAAAAATATTTAAAAAAATCCGCCCTCCCGCCCCTTCTCCAAAAAAAGCAATCGAGGACAACCAAATGATGTTGCTGTTGATTAGTATTGAAATAACAGCAAAGGGGTCGCATTGTTTGGATTTGAATGGAACCATTCCAAAATAGTGAATGAATTACTCTTTTCAGAGAGAATTCCACTCTTGAGCGTGGATTCCACTTCAAAAATCATTTAATAATAATAATATAAATAATAAAAATAGTGCTTATAAAGCATTTGCCATCGAAATCTCTAAGCGCTATAACAATGATTACATATTTTAAAAAAATACAAATACAAATAAACCTACAAATACAATCAGGGGCGGATCCAGCCGGCGGCAAGAGGGAGGGGGGGGGGGCAAATCTTGAGAAAATATTTAGCGGCGAATCAGCCAGGCGAACGGTGAATGAGCGGGGGGGGGTACATATATATATATATATATATATATATGTATATATTTTTTGTCATGTTTTGGGGGGAAATTTTGCGCCGACTCAGCCGGCCAATGGGGGGGGGGGATGCTGGAGAGGAGGACCACTAATTTTTTTTTTTTTTTTTTTTTTTTTTTTTTTTTTTTAGTAGGGGGGGGGGATTTTTGTGTATTACGGCCAGACTTTGTTGCGTGAAAAGTACCCCTTTAGGGGCTGGAGGAGGAGGGGGCTTTCTTTTTCTTTTCTCCTTTTTTCTTTTATCTTCTTTCTATTCTCTTCTCTTTTCTTTTCTTTTCTCCTGTCTTTTCTCCTTTTTTTTCTTCCTCTTTTTTTTCCTTCCCTTTTTTGTGTGTGCCGCCAATAGTGGGGCCGCGGTCGTTTCGCCCCCCTGGATACGCCACTGGATACGCGTACCCTAAATAACACTGAGTAGAGGGGGGGGGGGGCTTTAACATGGACATGGGAAAAGGAGAGAGCGGGAGAGAGGAAAATGAATATGAGACACAGATAGATTGATAGAGAGAAAAGAAAGAACATGAAACTTAAATTTACAAATACAGATTATATTTCCAAAGAGTTGGCTCGACATGTGCCTACGAATAAGCCTGCGGACGAAATTACAACAGTACGGGAAATGCCAGTTCTAAAAAAAATTCTTTAGAAGAGAGTTAAAGAGAACTGATTGCTTAATGAATGATAGGGATTTTGTGACTTTCAAGGAGAAAAAGAAAAATATTGTTGATCGTGACACCCAATTTGAATTTTCTAAATTGTTAAATATTCAAGAACAGACGTGGGCTCCAGTGGCGTAGACAGCTTCGTACACCTGGGGGATGACTGGGCTGCCAACGCTAGTGAGGGCGCAAAGCGCCCGAGCGAGGGAGCGAAGCGACCGAGCGGGGGGAGGGTGCAGACTGTAAGAACTAACTTATGGCTGGACGTTTAATGAAGGGTCAAGGCTTCCGCGCTTGGCGCGGGAGGGGGGAAACTGAAGTCAGACAAGAACACATACAACGAATCGTCTTCTTTTTCTTATAATTTAATAAAACGTGAAAGCTTCAGCGCTACGCGCGGGATGAGCGAAAATGAATTAAGACAAAGATTAAGAGTAATAATGTATTGTTACGTCAAAGTTTCCGCGCTTAGCGCGGAAGGGTGGGGGAACTGAATTCAGACAAGGATTAAGAGTCGGGACCGGTACAATGAATCGTCTTCTTTCTCTAATAATTAAATTAAACGTCATAGCTTCCGCGCTTAGCGCGGGAGGGGCGAAACAAGCTTTAAGAGTCGAGAACAGTACAACGGATCGTCTTCTTTCTCTAATAATTTAATGAAGGGTCAAGGCTTCCGCGCTTGGCGCGGGAGGGGATCTCACTTTAATTTGGACTATTAACCGGTTTTGGCATTTTTACTTTTCTTTATGGGAATGGCTAAAATCACGACTTCAATTTCGAGCAGTTGCAAATTGCTGGATTTCTAAAGTGACCACTCTCGAACATAATCCTCGTCTGAATATATTTACCCCCTCCCGCGCGAAGCGCGGAAGCTTTTACGTTTCAATAAATCATTAGCGACAGAAGACGATTCGTTGTACCGTTATGACTTTTAATCCTCGTCTAAATTCAGTTCCCCCTCCCTCCCCTCCCACGCGAAGCGCGGAAGCTTTTACGTTTCATTAAATCATTAGAGAAAAAAGACAATTCGTTGTACCGTTCTCGACTCTTAATCCTTGTCTGAATTAAGTTTCAACCCAACCTTCCTGCGCGGAAGCTTTGACGTTTCATTTCACTACGTATTTATTAATCTCTGTGAATTTTGCTGTTACACCTCTTCAGAAAAAATAACCAATGTCAACTGTGTACACGCAGGTATAGTCTTTGTTGTCTTGATAGGGGTGTGTGGTTATGAATGAAAACAGCCTCTGTAGCCATTTTTGAATAGAACACATAAACAACAAACAAATAACGATTAAACTTTGAACAATATGTCTGTTCATTATAAAGCATAATGAATACGTACATACTATGCTTTTTTTTACCTCAAAGAAACAGGCATAGTATCCATAGATGGATATTGGCTGGCGGCTCATTAACATACAGATACAAAAAACATAAACAGTATCACTGTGATCCATGGAGTAACAATACTGCTTTGTAAGTTTGTGAAGAAATCGGAACCATAACGGCATTGCATCGTTTTAAATTAGGGCATTTTTTACTTCTATTTGATCTCAGTCTTATAATAGTAATAGTAATAGTAATAATAATAATAATAATAATAATAATATAATAATAATAATAATAATAATAATAATAATAATAATAATAATAATACAAATAAAAAATAATACTAATACAAATAATAATGCTAATACTTATAGGTTCCTTTTATCTCGCATTTCAAGACAGGGTAAATTCACACTGCGCTTTACATGAAACAAACTTCTTTAAACATTTCAAACTTATGTCTTCATGCATCAATCAACATACTTTAAATGAATACAAAACAAAGTGCATCTTAAATAAAACAAAAATAAATAAATAGTTAACAATACAGAAAAGATGTAGCTGCTGCAAGCTTAACAACAAACTAATGTATACCAGTCAGTCCTGATATCAGTATTAGTGTAACAATAGTCATATAGTGGGAGCATGAAGTTGAACAATTCATGATTATACATAATTATATATGTTTGTTTGAATAATACTTGTTATAAAGATAGTAGTATGGTACTCTCTGTCACGAATTATTATGTATACTGTTGTATCACATTCATTTTCTATTCTGTTTTAGAATTGGCTTTCACCGTGTGAATGCGGCTAACAATAAACACAGTTACAATAATGATGAGGATTATTATTATCATCATCATAATTATTATTATTATTATTAATATTATAATTGTTATCATTATTATTATTACTATTATTATCATCATTATGACTTATTAAGTAAGCAAATATCATTCCCCAAAACCTGGGGGGGATGATTGTACATGCCATATCCCCCTCATCCCCCCCCCCGTTGTCTACGCCCCTGGTGGGCTCCGTCCATTAGATTCCCAGGCAAAGGCTCTGCCCCTGGTCTCCATATTCGTATCGATAGATGTAGTTCCCAATATAACATTTTGTTGTATACAAATTGTTTAAAGGAGGGAGGGAGTGTGTGTTTACCAACCTTCAAATTTAGTCGGTCCACATCTGAGGACTTTTGACGGTCCACACAATTTCCTGCTGTCTGCTGCATGCCTTGAAGTGACTGGGGCGAATGTAATCATATATAATTAGGTGACAATAATTCTTTTCATTCGAATGGATTCTGTACCTTTCTCGCCCAGACGTGCACTTATACTCAACAGGGGGTAGGGGCCGGGTAGATGGTGTTGTTATTTTTATTTTTTTAGTAGGTGGGGTAGCCGGATGGGGGTAGGTTTTTTTTTTTTTTTTTTTTTTTTAAAGCTTAACCTCAAGTCTCAAATTTCCATATATAATGTACGTAGTTCGTTCCTTTCTGTAAGTGAACATCCGTGTAGCTATTATGATGCATAACTCTATTTATGTTCAAGAAATTGTTATTGATGCTTTTTTTTTCTGTTTATTTAATTGGAGGAATAAAACATGAACCAAAAAAGGGTGTGTGCATGAGGATGCTATGAGTGACTATACAGTGCGTCCCAGAAAAAAAACGAAACCGAGAACTATCGATGTTTTATCATAACTTAATCACATTTATAATTAATAAATGAAATATGTGGAAAGCTTAGATCCTCCTCTTTCATTTGATGTAACTCATATGATGCATATTTCATGCATGAGTGATTAATATGAATATGAAGAGAGGAAACCAAAAAGTCATTTGGCGGGTGGTATCTGAATTTCAAAGAGAAAAGCACATTTCTAAAACGTTGAGTTTCTGCTCTTTCATATGACACCTCAATCATGAAAATGAGCAAGGAATGACAAAGTTCTGTTTGTTTATGAAAATGCAAGCAACAGAACTTTATTCCTAGCTCATTTTTCCTGCGACTGAGGTATCAGATAAAAGGGCAGAAACATTCTAGAGATGTTATTTTCTCCTTGAAATTCAGATACCGCCCGCCAAATGACTTTTTGGTTTCCTCTCTTCAAATTCATTTTTATCACTCATGCGTGAAATATGGATTCTACGAGTTCCATCAAAGGAAAGGATCTAAGCTTTACAAATATGTGTCATTTATCAATTATAATTGTGATTAAGTTAAGATCAAACATCAATAATTATCGGTTTCGTTTTTTCTGGGACGCACTGTATAGTATATGGTATGGGGTGGGATTGTATCATGCAAAAAAACTGATTTGATTTTTAAAATCTGAATTGCTAAAACTCGAGAGCGTCTACGGGTAATTTCGCCCCCGGGACCCCGGCATGCAGGGATATGCCCATGGACCCCACCCAAAAGGGCTCGCGCTTACACGCACACGTCCCCCCCCCCCCCCCCCCATGAAAAATCCTGGATCCGCCGCTGCGAAATACCATTAACTTCCATTTTGCTCGCTCACTTTGCAGCTAGTCGAGTTGATAATCGATACCATGCGACAACTCGTATATGGCGTACATTGGTCTCGAATCCCTAGCAATTCATTAAAGAAAAACAAAGAAAATAGCCAATTTGAAAGTTTAAAGACAATTCTTGGAAGAGTGGTGTTCTGTACATCTCAGGAAACACTATTTGACGAGTGGAAGCACTGGCCGAGGCTCTGCATGCCTTTTATAAATTATTTTATATTATATTATGTAAACAATTCCCCTTAGGTCAGGTAATATCGTCCTATTATAAATTATTTTTTAATGTAAACAATTCCCCTTAGGTCAGGTAATATCGTCCTATAAAAACAAGCCTCAATTTATTTAGTATACAAGTGTCATTATTGTAAATCTAAGGAGTAGATTGTCTGAGTCTGAACAATTTTGAGTAATATTTGAGTCGTGCCCGCGGCTTTCAACTCAAGCAACCAATTTTACACGATTAACCATGAGAATTTTGGCGAATGGCATTCCATGTTTCGATATTAAAATTACGGTACCTATTAACTAACTACACACAGCGTTCCATAAGTAGTTCAGCGCACAAACATAGAAATAGACCCTCTAATCTTTTTAGTTTGGTCAGCTTTAAAAGTTAAAACCCAAGAACAACAACAACAAAAGAGAGCTGCCAGGCCATGCATGGTGAGAATGTTTTCTTTTTCTGATCTTACTCTCGTTCTTGTTTTTCCTTGTCTCTAGTGTTTACTAGAAAGATAAAAAATTATCTTGACATCTTTTCGTACCAACTAGGCCAGGCACTCCTGCATAGAGAGTCAATGCTAATGCGTAGCGGTACCGTATTGACCTCTAGCACTGCACTACGTGTTAAAAGGCAGCATTTGAGCTGAGTACATGAGTAGTCAATACACTTGTAGAGAAATGAGTGTGTGGGGTAATTCACTCGTCACACACCATAACTCTTATTTGTTATCTAGCTACGAGGAAGCAAGGTTGCACTGACAATAAAATACATGAAAGAAAGTATTCCCTTTTCGTTATGTTTATTAAGGTTTAAACAAAGCTGACAATAAACTTGCAAAGTGCAGTCAAGCAAATATAGAAGACTTGGAATGTAAATGCATAAATGGTAAATGTGAATATTGCACGGAGATTACATAATGATCAAGGATGAGAATGAACATGAATAAATGGAATGACATGAATAAAAGCTTAGGACTGAATATAAATGAGGTCGAAAGTCCAATGAAGATGAGAGTGTAGAACGAAGGAAGGGGCTCACGCGATGTAACGTGCGGAGGCTTGAAGGCGGAGATGCAGCTTCGTTGTCGTGGCTGAAAAGCCGTGAAGGATCTTAACACTGACGCTCATGATGAAGATGATGAAGAAGCTCTCAGGCGAGAATAGAAGAGAAGAAAAGTGGCGCTCGAAGTCGGAACAGTGGGTCGTTCGATGTTGGAGGCGAAGAGTAGAAATGTAGACATGCAAAGCCGGCCGGTAGTTAAGAAGAGCAGTGAGTTGCTCGATGAATGACCAGGACTTTGAAGAAGAAATGTTTAGATGAGGTGCGGTGAATTGATGAGCTCGTGAGTGGAAAGAGCTACCGGAACGAAGAAACTGGCAGCTCCCAGCAGAGAGTCAGGCACCAAGTCGGTGCTGACTATAACGTTCCACTGGGAGACTGCAGCCCGATGAACACGGCAGAGAAAGAGTAGAAGTGCCGTAGAAAAGACGAAAGGCACAAAAGAATGAAGCCTGGAGAGGAAATCATGGAGACGTCTTGACTCGACCTAGGCGCAAGCGGGAGTGGAGAAAAACCTTGTGGCGTTGAAAATACGCGGGTGAAGGAGTGCGCGGAAACACGATGCGTGAATGGAAGGAAAAACACATGGTCCGAATAACTGAATATAAATAAGTAGCGTGATGGAAAATAACCGTGAACATGAATGTACGATAAAAATAGGGCGAATGTAAGAGCCGCTACACACTCATAACACACACCACTACAGGGAAATGGCGTCAACCGTGGACCAAGTTTAATACTTGTGTGTGTGTGCGTAGGTAATCACCAGCAACCGCGGACCACTCCATAGAAAACTACATCAAACCGCGGACGTACCTCCTATGGGATGATCCAGGTAGCGAGCGCCTCTCCCGCGCAGTCAAAAGGGGGCGCTGTGACATTTCGCGATACACATCGGACTGATCCAGTCGATGTTGCCTACACGCTGTGACATCTAATATTCAAACGCCCCCTACGTCGTAAATTTGATACGGCGGAACCGGTATCGCAACCGTGGACAGTCCCCCATCGCAGGTACGTCCGCGGTTTGAGGTAGTTTTCTATGGAGTGGTCCGCGGTTGCTGGCATTTTCCTACGCAGATGCACACAATCATGCCGATGCGGCTGATTGGCACGTTTGACGGTGGACTCACAATTTGAATTTTTAAATTATTCTTTCAAACATCGGAAAGTTGAATTTTTTTTATTTTACTGCTATTTAGGTGTCATCAATCGTCACTAAAGTACTGATTTTGAGTGAAATCAGTTGAATTTTGTACAGTGGTGTTTGAAATGTTGAGAATCAATAGCACAGCTTTTAATAGAGGTCAATACGCATTAGCATTGACTCTCTATGCTTTGCTGGTGTGGATGAAACATAGTTTCGCCCATCTTTGATGGGAGAAGAAAAGTTTGTTACACTGTGTACTATCTTTGATGAAAGTGCGCAGCAGTCGATCACGGCCACCGCGGTGATGTGGCGCAAATTACAAATTTAATTTTTTACGTTACGTTAGTACGTAGTACTGCATGCACTGTACGTATCATACACTGTTTGCTAGCTAACACTAAAACAATTAGATTGTCTCTCTCGTAGACCCTACCAGTGAAATGTTTCAGATGTGGAATATAAAGCTAATAATCACCTTTTATTTTCAGGCGATGGCAAACAATCACTTCCTCGGCGATCTGAATATATACGCTGTCTGTCCTCAGCTTTGCTTCGGAAAGATAACTACATTCAGATCGCCTCGGAAGTGATGGTTTGTCCCATCACCTTCACCAACTGTTACAATTTGCTTACTATTTTAGGACTATCATTATTCATTTATGATCATCATAATTATATATTTCACATAGTGAGATGGAATCTACATCCTTCAGTATGAAACAATCAGGATTATTGATCACAATCTTCATGATCCTGGTTCTTGCTGATGCCCGCGGGCTAGATGTTGATACAGCCCCAGGAGAAGCTCAAAAGCATCCTAGAGATCTGGATCAATACAGAGAAAAAGAAGATGATGGGATAGGGCTACCCAAACTCAGTCGCCATGAACAGCAAATTTTACATGCACTTTTTGGAGGAATTGGTGAGTAATTCAGTATAACTTCCCTGATTACATGCCTGTCGCTAAATTTCATTCATTGCATACTTAATATTATTTTACTTATGTAGTTTCATTGTTGACTTGGTGAGAATTATGTTTAAAAAAAGGTCTAACTTGAACGTTCAAAGCTTTGCTTAGCTTTGTTTATTTTAATGTTCTCTAAAGCAAGGCTCAAAATTCATTGGAGTAATATAGGCCTAATGAGTCCCCCCCCCCCCCCCCCCATGGAATAAACAAATGAAGTAGAACGAAATCAAAATAAAATCAGAGAGACTGCCATATATTCTAAATATCATTCCAGAGTTGGACTCACACTTATGGACAATACCCTATATGCTATGGGAAGCTCTATGTTGTAAAATGTCAAATGTGTGGCAGAAATCTCTATGTTTGCTTTACAATTACAGGTCCAGTGATACTGCCTGATGATTCACAGCCCTCGAATCTAGCTGATGACAAAACATCATCTTTACCAGACCGTGTAGTGAGGAGGCAAGCACCTGATCAGTCCCCACCGATTCCAGAACAGATCCACATAGCGTACGGTGACATGCCGTCTGAGATGGTCATTGTGTGGTCTACCCCATCTCCTGGATCTTCAGAGGTTCTCTATGGCATGGCACCCAACAACTTCAGTCTCAAAGCCTCAGGGGATTACGAAGAGCTAGTGGACTGGGAAGGCCCCTTTGAAGGAGTAAAGTTCATTCACCGTGTGAAACTAGAGGTAACTGGGGCTTTGGGTTTGGGTGGACATGTTACCTAGTCTTGTTCATGCATGAATGTAGTCTGGTATTTCCACAGAAAATAGGTCATAAGCATTTGAGCCACGGCGACATATTCAGTGCTTCTAAATCATGAACTTCATCTAGCTGTATATAATGACTTAGGTCACAGATTTACGATAGTAGAGTGCAATTCTGTTCAGACACCTTTCTGAAAGCTGTGTACTGGAAAGTCACTGTGTAGATATGACAGGAGTTCCAAATTAAAAAGAATATATATATATGTGTATGGCAATTCAGACAGCTGCCAGGGATCAAGGTCATTTTCACCTCTCATTTATAAATACCGGTACCTAGGTGTTATCATTTTTAAAGCCAACAATTTATGCTATCAATGGTGATTTCTTCACGGCAAAAATGATGCATGTAAAGTTCTCAACATTAAAACTTTTAATGCAGAATTTTAAACCCTGATCAAATCAAAACTATTTGCTATTTTTTTTTTTTGATCAATCATTTTGTTTCATTTACCAGGGCTTGAGTCCAGGAGCATCATATTCATACAAAGTACAAACCAATGGTGAACAGAGTCAAACGTATACATTCACCGCAATGCAAGATGGAACTGTAAGTAGATCACCTTTGTACAATAAAACATTGGTAGTGATAATGAAAGGTCTTTCCTTCAGGGTTGTATAACATGTGGTCTGTGGAGGCTTTCCTTCTACTGCTCCACTCTTATAATGGGCTTCACTTAAAGACTTTGATATACACTTGTCATTCTCAACTGAGATGTTGGAAATGGGCACCAAGAGTATGTTCTTTTGATTTCATTTGTAATAGTAGAAGTCAGAATATCTGGGGTTCTAATGGAAAAGTACCCAATAGTGTGTGCAATTAGCTTTATGAATGATATTATCTTGCTTGATACATGATGTCATTTTACAACCTCATATAGTCTGTAGCTATAGAGTGGCAGGTTAAATGCTTATTTTGGTAAAGCATTTTATCAAGTGTTCTTTAGCGTCATACCAATATGATTCTAAGTGTCCCATCAAATTCTTGGCATACTTTTAGATATCTCCCAACTGTTTGAGGTTTGTAAATACATGAATAAAAACTTGTGCAAGTGAATTTTGATGCAATGCATATCGGGAGCTTGTCCTGCAAATATTCACATTTGAGTTGAAGCAATTGAAAGTCCTCCAGAAAATCACAAAATTACAATATTCTTTTTCATTTGTACACAGAATTCAATAGATATCTCCTTAAGGTGAGATATATCCTTAAGGTGAGATATATATCTAGATAAGTCATCACAACTCAAGACAACGCCTAGATCTCTGGTATATGAATAATAATTGATTCACTAGTGGTATATTTAGATAAACCTTGTGATTAATATCTTCCCGTCAGGATTGGTCTCCTACTCTGCTTGTATATGGTGACATGGGTCTGAAGGGCGGGGCACCAAGTCTCCGTCTCTTGAGGAAAGCAGCCAAGGAGAATCTAGCTGATGCCATCATCCATGTAGGTGACTTCGCTTATGATCTACATGATGAAGAGGGCAAGGTGAGCTATCTTTTTCAGGGTGGAATGAAATTTGTTGTTCATGGGTATAATTTTTGCTTATTAATGGGGTAATAATACTGGTAAACCCCTTTATGAAAGACAGTTATTATTAAGACTTCCAGAAAATGGCAAGTATCTTTTTATTTTATTTTGTTGAGCGGATACGAGGTACATAGAGAAGCCAAGCCGGAGTAGCCCCCGTGGACGAGTCCCAGTAAACGCTAATAATATAATCAATTTTATGTATATTTTTTTGATAATACAGACAACTTCAGAAATCGATGTATCTATGTACGGGGGCTGATAAAAAAAAGGAAGACAATTTAGGTCATGACTAAGGGATGCAAATTGTTCTCACTACTTATTTGTGTAATACACATTACACCTGTTTCAAAGAGTGAGAGGAAGAGGAGTCATATCTTGAGACCCGAGTTAATTTGGCTTCCAGGATCAATGGTATTTCTTTTGATTCTCATACAAAGCCAAGTTTTGCCAAGTATAAGCATCTTAACTAGAAGCCATCAAGGCCCTGGAAAGAAGCAGGGGTTGTTTCTCAAAACCACCGTATGTCTAACTTCATGGAGTCTCATGTGTTACAGAATAAACACTCATTTCTATGGGCTGTCCATCCACTTAGATCTACGACGGTTTCAAGAAACTGGCCCCAGATTTCAAATTAGTTGATAATCATCTGATTTTCTCTGTTCTTTCTGCAGGTCGGTGATGATTTTATGAATCGTATTCAAGATATAGCCGCTGTCCTCCCTTATATGACCTGCCCTGGTAATCATGGTGAGTTCAACCATCCTTAAGATCCTATTACTTGGGAGTTGCACAAGTGATGTTTGAATTCAGGTTTCTTTGATGTGAAATAACTTTCATCCTTATTTTCATTTCTACAGAGCGTTAATCATGTTGTTTTTTTTCTTCAAAAATTGTTGTTTGGTTTTCAGAAGTAGAAAATTTATTTTCATTTCTTTTATTGCATTAGCCAGTTACCCACTTTTAGCAGGTTTAACTAATGTGTGCATAAATTTGCTATCCTTGTATAAAGCATCTATTCTAGCTTTTAGAGAAGTGCTGAGATATTAGTGATAACATGCTTGGAAAATAATGAAATGGTACAGAAAAAATCACATTCTTAGCTGCTCAGTTTTTAACAATTTTTTTGTTCACTTGAAAAATAAAATAAAATGCTACACGATCATAATTTTGGAACTTTTATGGGATGTTGTATAAAGGCTTGTTCAGATGTGAGGTGGCTAAACCGCAGCTTTATTTGGTCTTGATCAAAATTGTTATCTTTCTTTTTCCCCTTGCAGAAATAGCACATGACTTTGTTCACTACCGGTACAGGTTCTCAATGCCTGGATCCCCATGGCCTATGGAAGATGAAATGTGGTATAGCTTTGATATGGGCAAAGCCCACTTTGTCAGGTAAATTGCAAATGCCGAGATAAAATTATTTTGTTTTATGTTGTCCTACATTTCTGGCACATTGGCCTAGCAGATAGAGCTGTGTGTGGGATAGCAGGTCTTTACCATTGAAAATAATTCACCAAGAAACACAACTTCATCATTTTGTAAACATTGACTTGTTTTTAGAGTTAGAATGGAACTGTCAGTCCACACAGTCAATCCAATTCAATTCAATTCAAATGAACATTTATTTTCTTCCATTCAATTTGACAACATATTTGACATCTGTTCAAACATTACAATTTATACGCAGGAGCATAGATATAATTAAAGAACATGTATTACAAGGAAGAAGGCGCAAATCCTGATAAGCAAAGCTTGTAATGGGTACACCCAAAGTTAATCATTCCTTAAGAGAAAAACCAACAAATAAATGAATACCGGCCTGTAACCACATGATGTGTGCAATGCAGCCAGGGTCATCATTCTATTTTTTGTGTACTATTATTCAATGCTTCACATTGGGCTTTATCATTAACCCTGTTTGACAGTGCTAAATTTAGTTCTATAACTATTTATTCAGATGGTTTAAGTGCATAACGAAATGTGCGAAATTAAAAAGAAAAAATATAATAGCACTTCCACACATGTCAAAACTTTTAAACTTTTATCTTTAAAAACAATTTGTATACAGCTACTCTACTGAGATTTACTTCACTGGATATAGTGATTATCTTCAGCGTCGCCAGATAGAGTGGCTCACGGACGACCTAAAGAGGGCAAATAAAGAGAGAGCGATTCGTCCTTGGATCATAGCGTTTGGTCATCGTCCCATGTACTGTTCCAATGCTGATAGAGATGACTGCACTAAGGAAGAATCCAGAGTTCGAACAGGGTAGGGTTTTTATTTCAGAGTGTGTTCTGTCATGGTAATAAGAGCTTCACACTAACTTTTTTTTCCGAGGGGGGGGGGGGGCTGAGGGTCCACATTGATCTATTTTGAGATTGTATGCACAAGATTTATGTAGAAATGTCAACATTCTGGGGGTTCAGACTTGCATTTTCGACTCCCATGCATCCTGGCACCTGTTAGTGTCGAGCCCTTATTAATATTTATATTAAATGACAGATACGAGGAAAGAAACAAACTACTTTTGAAGCTAGTGCCACATTCAACTCTTCTTCACCAAATGAAATTAAATAGTATTGGTATTGGTGCCTAGACCAGCCATATTTTTGAGCTTGTAGGAATTAAAACTCCAGGGTCTGTATTCTGCTAGTCTGAAGTCTTGATGAAAATAGATGTATTTACCGCAAAATGATAAACATTAACTTCGATACTTGGACAGAATTAATGATTATATTAGCAAGGCTTAGATTACACTGACAATATATGCAATAATTGTTTGAGAAACAGCTACATTACAAAGTCATTGTCTCTAGCATCTAGATCTAGTTTGATTATGCCTGTTTTGTTTTTTTGTTTAAATATATTACCATTGTCTCTCCAAATATGCAGACCTCATGCATGCAATTTCTTCAAGTTCATTAAACTTTCCTTTGTTTCATCAAACGTCACAGACTTGAAGACCTGTTTTATGATTTCGGCACTGATCTGATCATTGAGGCTCATGAGCATTCCTATGAGAGGTTCTGGCCGATGTATCGAGGCGAGGTGACAGCTAAACATTACAAGAATCCTGTTGCACCTGTACATGTGATCAGCGGGGCTGCAGGGTGTAATGAGTTTGATGGGGTCTGCGTCAATCCTATCTTGGGACCTAGAGGTTAGTGCAATATTGTTCATTCTAAATATTTAAGACTTCACTTCATGTATTGATATAAATCCTTGGCTCCATCTTATAAAGAATTGCAATTGATGATCAATCGCAACTTCAAATTTATTGCAACTCCTATCTTTTAAAGGGATTGGGATTTAAACAGAATCCCGGATTTAGCTCATGCTACAATGATAATTGTAAACCTTTAGGTCAGTCAGGAACCCCATGACTTTTACAAGACGTTCGCCTGTCTGATTATCAAAATATTTATGATTGGAAATCAAAATTAAATTTTGCGTTTTCCTAATGGTTTTCATAACACTACAGTCTTTTGGGGGAAACGAGTATGGTAAAACCGGTCACTCAAAGATTGTTTACTTTTGTTGACGCACTTCTTGATCATTTTGAAGCGCAATTTTTGTAGGGCTTCAATATTACACCATATCACAGACGCTGATAAAATGTAGGGGCGTGCATCTCAGATTTAACATTGTTAAACGATGCCCTGAAGTACGCTTTAATGCTTACTTACTGCATGTTATGCCTTCCTGGCATGAAGGGCAGCAATGAAGATTCTCCAGTCAGTTCTGCTCTGGGCCAGGCGATTCACAGACACTCATGTGTATCCAAGTCTTTCCAATTCTGCCTCCAAACAGGTGCGATTAAATTGAAGTTGCGAGTGATTTGAATCAATCGCAACTCTTTATAAGACAGGGCCCAGGTCTATACATGTACTTGCTATCTCATGACTTGGACAACGGTATAGTTGCAAGTTATGACTGAAAGTTAAAAAGGAAATATATGATCTTTCCATGTAAAGGCACATGGTTAATAATCACGATAAGCAAAAGGATTAACAACTTGACTTTGACACACTGAAAAGCAATCATTGAATGAAATCTTTAGAAATGCGTTAATGTATGATGGCATTTATACCTGTAAAGTGCCATCTTTATGTATACAAGAAGTGTTTTTGTTTTTTTAAATTCTCAAATAAAATGATCATCTGAGAATAAAATTGTGAGAAGGCTGTAAGGTCAGAGGTCAAAGTTCAGAATAGTGTTTTTTTTTCCTCTTGCTTGACAGGAGAGTGGTCAGCGTATCGTTCCTGGATACCAGGACTGTATGGGTTTGCTCACCTACAAATAGCTAATGATACACATCTACACTGGCAGCAGAGACTAGCTGTGAGTGATCAGGTACAGGATGAGTTCTGGATTGAACAGAATCGCCATGGTTACTTCCCACCATCAACAAGATGATACAGTGATCAATCTGAAGTACTGATCCCTTCTATGGAACAGGCTTCCTCGATGCCTTCTTTATTTTTATATTGATTACTAGACAGCAATATGACATTTGATCCGAGTGCTTGTAAGAAGTATGATGGGGGAGGGGGGAGGGGGGTGGTTTTGATGGAGGTCCTGAAAGTGTGGTTTCATTTTAACCTTCCTTATAATATTTCTGCATTAACAGGGAGAGTAATTTTTCAACTAAATTACATGTATAAGTTTATTGTGGTTACAGAATTTAATATATGGACCATATGTAGGAAGGAGTGACTTTAGATATGGTTTTATATAGTACTCAATTTTTATTGACATTGATTCAAAATAAATACTGTTCACTATTAATTTGCATCATACACTTGAGAGTGAAAAGAAAAAATAATTAAATTATATAATAATGCTTGTATTTGCAGCTGTTTAACTGAGATCCGTTGTCTTCCAATATTAAGTTAATATTGTATACATGTAAATGTGTGAAATAATTTATGTAGCTCTATGTGACCTTCAGTTAAATGCTTGCAGTCTTATTTACAAATTCTGCTACGTAGAAATTCATATAAATTTGAAATTTAAAGAAAGTTAGACATACATTACTATTCAATTACTTATTCTTCCTCTTTAGTTTAGATGAGAAATAGGTTAGATGAGAAAATCATGTATTATTTCTTAGTGATATTTCAACACTTTAACAAAGCTAACAACTCACTCTTTAGATATCACTTTTCATCATGTACAAATGTGGGTGCCTATTCATTGCAGTATAATACATGTAGTTGATGATTCCTGTATTTAATTATCTTCACCTTGAAATTTTGTTTCTGAACAGCTCTATTTACAGAACAGTTACATGTATTCATCATCATCATCAAAGTTGTCTTGTTTTATATTTAGAAGTTGTAAGGACATTGTTTAATTTTGATGTTGTGAGTGTAAGCCAAACATTTGCACATTTATTATTGATATTGATTATAAGTCAGTCTAGGGATAGTTGCCCATAGACACAAGGGTGCCATTCAGATCCCCCTCCCTAATTTTAGGGTCAGGTTTATTGTGAGAGGGTTCCTTTTTGGGGTTCCTCTTCTCTATTCTTTCTCAAAATGATTTTTTTTTTTTTTTTTTTTTTTTTTTTTTTTTTTTTTTTTTTTTTTTTAAATCCATGATAGGATTTCTTCAGCCAAAGTGACAGTTTGCAACATTTATTTCGGATGTCACCATACACATTATAAAAAAATGATCTTTTATACCACCAGATACTCTGCATTTAGTTCTCTTTCCATGACAAATATCATCGTTTAATATGAAAACGTTTTGAAAACTTAACTTTCCTTACAATGATTTTTTGTGTGTTTTCATATTTTTTATCAATGTATGTGTATCCATTATATTGTAGTGTGTGTAGATAATTAATTGCTTGCTCGTACTGCACTAAATAATTATTCAGTGGATTTCCTCATTCCTTATTTCCTTTTTTAACACAAATGAAAATAGGAATCATTGCTTCCGGGCACTTTAAAGGGTTCTTGTAATTATGGTACGGTAATTTTTTATATACCATTTTTAGAGCAAATTTCGAACGTTCAAAGGATATGCAATATGATACAAAATAAATCGTATAATGGTATGTTATGGTTTCCAGTTCCATGGTCATTTAAAGACTGTTGCATTCTCTTTGTTGACAAGAAAATTAATATGCTATCATAAAGAAACTGTTGAGTATAAGTTTTGTTCTAAAACTAAACTAGTACAGAACAACAGAAAATAACGAAAGTCAACGCTAAACCTTTGCTTAACAGAAGCCACGTTGAGTCTCAAATAAGTCTTGTGCAGAATCCCATATGATTACATCTCATCACACATTTATTTATCTGAGTTTTTCATGAAACTTTCAAATGTTTAGTATTTTTTTTAATCAACAAAAAGCAGTATTTCATCATAACATTTCTCCAATTTGTAGCCCTAAATTTGTTTGAAGTATTTGAGAAATATTAGATTCCTTACTACATGTATGTAATAGCTTTTTCAAATTGATTGATTTATTTTGTTCTTATATGTGTGTTCAATTATGTATGTGCAACCTAAGTGTGTTTCAGTAATGCAATACTAGTACAGCTGTATTTCAATAGGGACTTTTAGATTGAGTGGACGAGAACGGCGTGAACGTCCATTGATCATGCGTGTCTATGGCAAACCGTTACAACATTTATTCCTATTTTTTTATATCAAGAATTACCATTGCTTTACAACTGAAATCATTTCTTGATATCAAGAAATAGGAATAAATGTTAAAACTGCTTGCCATGGACATGCATGATCAGTGGACGTTCACGCCGTTCTCGTCCACTCAATCTAAAACTCCCTAGTATCATTACATTAATCACATGAAAGGTTTGTACCAGCCAAAACAAAACTCAATTTCAGTGTGGTTTCTTCAGTACTCACTTTTATGGAAATATTATTACCATGATTATATTTATGTTCTGTTTATTCATATGTATTAAATTTTTTTAATCTGCCAATGACTGTATAGAAAATCACTTTTAATCCCATTCTAATCACAATTATCGAATGCATACATAGGCACATTCAGGAGAGTTTGATCACAAAGTTTGTGTGCATTCACTTTGATCTCAACTCTCCTGTTGAAAGAAAAACAAAGTGTTCAATAATAGCAATAATGGTTTATTTATTCAATAAACATGCCCCGCAGCCCAGGGGCTAAATTTTACAATATTTTTACAAAAGTATTTACAAGATACAAAATACACCATATCAAATTATTATAATACAAGTAAACAGTATGCAATTGTAAATTATTCATGATACCAAGGAGCATATGTGAGTCTGCCATTAGATTAGTAGTACAATTAGGTGTAAAGATGAAGGTTCAAAATAATTGAGTGTATTGTAAGGGAAGACCGCAAAAGTAAGGCAGGGGGAGTGGAGAGAGAGAGAGAGAGAGAGAGAGAGGGGGGGGGAAGGGGGTGAGGTAGAGAGGGGAAAAGAGAGAGAGGGGTGAGGAAAAGAAAGAAGAAAGGGAGTTGGTGGTCATCAACATGCAACAATACTATAAGATAATACAAACATTGGCAAATGTGGAAAGTTAAATTAGAAGTAAGTTTGCTACAGTACATACGCGATATACGACAGAAAATGTGATATTGAATGTATAAGATCAGATGCTTCCTGGTTTAAAAAGTGATGAGCATGACATTTACAATTATCAAAAAGAAACAATATATATCACGAACTACAATACGTACAAACGATAAACATTATAAGTGGTTAAAAATATATCAATATAACAGATCATGATGAAAGAGATGAAGGCAAATATGGTTTTCATAAATAATATTCAACGGGTCGAGGATAAACGAATGTTAATACTTTCGTTAATATAATTTTACAGCTTACATGTTGTTCTGTTCCATAATTCCAATATATACCTATTTCATGATATGACACTTGACATTGAAGTGATTGATTGTGAAGAGCACATACTTGATTCTAAGGTTCAAGTTGTCAAGTGCGTATTTTGTTAGAAGGGGAAAACTCATATTTTGGTGTCATTTTGGAATGCAAAGTATTTAGAGAAAAGGAACGTTAGTGGATTCTCGAGTTTGGGGAGACGGGGTAAATAAGGGATAAAGAAAGGGGGAGAAAGAAAGAGAGAAAATGCAATGGATTAGAGATATGGAGAAAAGAAAATGAAGAGAAAAGGAATAGATGAGCAGAAGATGGAGATGAGAGAGAGGGAGATAGAAAGGGACGGGGATGGAAGAGAGAGAGAGAGAGAGAGAGAAAGAGAGAGAGGGAGAGAGACGGAGGGGGTGGGGAGGGGGGGGGGGTTGGATGCAGATAGGATGGGTAAATTCGAGGGTGAAAAGGTTCAATAACAGATTATTCACAGTGAGTAATTAGTAAGATTGGGCTCTTGCATGGTTAAAAAACAGGAAATATTAATACGAAAGCCGGAGACAATGGACGGATACTGGAAGTCTTTGCTATCATGTTTAAAACCACACTACACAGGCATTAGAGTATGATGTCAGATTTACTGTAGCGAGAAGTGCAGACTGGAATCATGGAAGGGGTTTCCCTCTTGATTCCAAAACGTCCTTAAAAAATCAATCACAGATACTCAAATACTTGTAAGATAATGCTGTATTGTTTGCCGTCATGCTAGACTGAATTAGACCTTTGTACCGGTACTGTCCTCAACAATGCCTATGGTTTATTTATCTAGATTGTGCAAACATGGGGCACACATTTTTTGTAAAAAACAAATATCGCAAATCCCTTTCAATACCTGGGATGATAATTATGCATTTTTTATCAAAAGGATTTGATATGACATGTAGCGATCCTTGACAAAATTATGTCGAATTATCTATGCGGAAGTTGAAGATATGTTTTCAATAAAAATCGTTTCCTTCAACAACATGACCTTTCTCTCATTTATCTGAAAATTGTTTTACTGAATGTATGACGAGCAGTGCCACATGCAAGTGCACATACACTGCTCGCGTACACCATAGTTTGAAATCAATGTAATGATAATATCTTCGTGAAAACAATCATGGAATATGAACAATACAGCAGTGATCACTCTGCTTCCCAAAGAGAGAAGCGATAAACCTACAATATTTAACTGATAATATTTAAGTGCGTCCCAATTCGTTCTGTTTTAAATTAAAAAATAAGCACCATTATGTGTAGATAATATTTCACGAAATATCACGTGTAGATAGTATAGGGGAACGCAGAGGCGGCCCTTCGGGAGGGGGGGGGGCGCAATGCCCCTGCTTTTTCAGGTACCCCCAAGGTGCCCCTTTTTAATAGGACGATTGTCCCTTTTCCTTTGTAAGAACTGTACCTTCCCCTTTTAATAAGTGCCAATTTTCCTTTTAATACGTGCACCCCCATTTTTGGGGTAAGATCCCCTACACTTTCTCATCAATGTCCCTTTGTACCTGTGATAAATGCCCCTATTCAAATCTGATAGGTGCCCTTTCCTTCAACGGTTTCCCATTTCCATTTTCACAAGTGCCCTTTAAAACAATCTCTCTTGAGTGTCCCTTTTCAGCTGCAATAAGTGCCCCATTTTTACCTCGGAGAATTGCCCTTTTTACTTTGATACGTGCGCCTTTTCTTTCTCTAATAACTGTCCTTCCCCCTTCTTATAAATGCCTACTTGTCCTTTCTACACTCCTAGTTCAGTCGCAAGCCCCTCTTTCTGTATTTTTACCTACAGTTGTTATTATTATTTATACAAAAACTGTTCCGTCTTTCTTCATTAGATTGTGCTTAAAACTCATCAGGGTTTGGATTTTTTTTTGTCCTCTACATATAAGATGTAATCTTTCGCACTGTGACCTCACAAATCGTAAAATCTTTACTCTCGCGCTTCACTCGCTCGACAATTAATATTCAGACCATGACATCCAAACGCAAAGTATGATGGTTAACTAGAATTTTGCACCACGCAAAGGGAGACACAAATATTGATGCCACCCCTGGTAGTGTAATCACAGTCATGACGATGTAGGGGTATATACCAATGTCTAAACATAGTGCATGTTGACTTTCAGGTTTCCCCTTGTAGGTGCCCCTTTGTTTTCTCCAGAAAGTGCCCTTTTGTGTTGGTGTCCCCCCGCCCCCACCTTGGAAGACGCTTCGCTGCCCATGGGAAACGGAAAGGAAGATAAGAAGGGTAGAGATCGTAAAGGAAGGAAGAACTGGGAATGTGAAGAGGTGAAACTACTTTCAGGAGAGCTAATATCCGGTATCATACTCGTCTATTTCCTTCCCATTTTCTGCTTTCTGCTTTTCTGCACATGTACTACTAATTAAAAGTACTATAATTTCTTTTCTACGAATGCTTTTTGACCAGGTTTCAATACAAATTGATTGATAATTACGTTTAAATTACATCAAACATAATTATGTTTGAATGAAATTCCGATAATTATGATATGTTTACTTTGTGGTGTAAAATGTGAAGCGGTTTGTAAGTATACAAGGAAAAAATACTATATGAATTCCGAATGGATTAATCATCAAACAAAACAGAGCATTATGAAAAGTAAATTAATATCATAAATGGTTCTCCCCAGGCCGAATGTCGTCCCCCCTTACATCACAATAAATCGACTTGTTCGATAATAATGATGATCATTATTATAATACAGAACTTGAGGATAACGTTGACATCGAAATTGTCTAAAGTGATCAAAGACAGTGATCTACGGTCTCATAATTATGTTGATAATGTGGTTATAGTGGTAGCGGTGATGGTGGTCATGTCGTTATAATGGCAATGATGATGATGACGGTGATAGTTTTAAAATAATAATAATAATAAAAACGTTACTTATAAAGCGCTTACCACCAAAGTCTCTAAGCGCTATAAATCGTAGCTGTTAGGGATGATGGTTTTGTGGGTCATGAATGTGATGAGAGGGTCTGAGGTTTATATGCCAGTAAAAAAAAAAAAATTTATAAAGTTTTTTTTTTAAATGTATCAGGACAATATTACCCCCCCCCCCCCCGAGAAATTACCCCTCAAGGAAAACCACCCGAAGACAATTATCCCCCTCTCAAGGACAACCGAGGACGGCCAACCAATTTTCCTGGTGGGGGGGGGGGGTTGTTGATTGTCGAAGAGGGTAAATTTCAGGGGGGGGGGGTAATTGTTCTATATTAGGTCATTTTCCGGGGGTTATTGTTCTTGGGGGTATTGTCCCTCTGGTAATTTGCCAAGAACCATTTTTGAAAATCTATTAAATCTAACCCGTGGAAAATCCATGGCAAATAATCATGTCAATGTCATTAGCAAAAGCATACTGAGCAATGCATTCCAAATGTTATAACGTTTAGAACAACAACAATAACAATAACAACAATAAATCCTTTACATTATCTCACAAATCAAATGCATAATTCAGAGTGTTAGTATGATTAAAGCGTTTGTCTGAATAAGAAAGAAACTTCATAGAACTTAAAATGATAGCAGTGAATGTGCTGATGGTGTATGTATCATGATTGTGACGAGAAGACCTCCAGTTTATATGCCAGTAAAAAGGATTTTTTTTTTAACGTATCAGGACAATAACCCCCTGCGCAATCACCCCCGGTAGATTATCCCCCCCCCCCTCCCTCCCCCAGGACAACCACACCTCCAGTTTAAACACCTTTACGGCGTCTTTTGGAGGAATCCTACCAAGTACCAAATGCAAGTACCCCGTGGACAATTACCCACCGAAAAAATCCCTTCGAGGACAACCCCCCCCCCCCCCCACGGAAAAGTACCCCCTGTTCATTAAAGGGAAAGTCCACCATGATAATAAGTTGGTTTTCAATTTCAATTTAGTATTTATTGTCCATTTCTGGATATTTGATTTTCACTGGTGTAACATATACAGATTGACATTTACTAATGAATTTACCAAAATGTAGACATTAACAGTAAAAGCATTACAAGCAAAACAAATTTCTCGAGAGGAGGGGGGGGGGGGGGGGGGGGGGGGTTCTCAAAGGGGGTTATTTTCAGGGCGGGGGGGGGGTAACTTTCCGGGGGTAATTGTCCCGCTGGTAATTGGCCTATAGAACCGTTTTTGAAAATCATTTAAATCTATTGAAAACCCATGGAAAACCCATGGACACTCATGTCTATGTCATTAGCGGAATTATACTTAACAATGAATTACACATTTTATAACGTTGAAAACAACAACAGCAAAAAAAACCTGTACATGATCTCAAAAATCAAATGCATAATTCAGAGTTTTAGTATGACTAATGCTTTTTCCTGAATAGGAATGAAACTTCATACGATTTACATGACTGTACCGCACACGAATAATATTCCATTTCCTTGTGTTGACATGCATGAATAGCCAAATGTTTAGATAGCTGGATCTTTGTACGATACCTATCGAAGCGAATCGGCGAATCTATTGTGATTATTATGATTTGAAACAGAGTTTTTTTTCCGTGTTGTTACAATACAGTAGTCATGATACTTATATCTGAAAGGATAGGAATAACCTTCCTTCTGACCCCACACTAATTTTGTTTTTCTTCGTTTAAGAGCAGGAGCAGAAGAATTATAGGGAATATTGATGCCAGGAGGAAACTACTCATCTTGGAAAGCAGGCAAGAGCTCATTGAAGAGACAGAGAGAGAGAGAGAGAGAGAGAGAGATGTGAAGGGAGAGAGAGAGAGAGAGGGGGGGAGAGGGAGAGAGAGAGGGAGAGAGAGAGAGAGATGAAGGGAGAGAGAGGGAGAGGGGGAGGGAGAGAGAGAGAGGAGAGAGAGAGAGAGGGAGAGAGAGGGGGAGGGAGAGAGAGAGAGAGAGAGAGAGTGAGAGAGAGTGAGAGAGAGAGAGAGAGAGAGAGAACAAAAAAGATGGAGGTATGTGTCGGGAGAGAGAGAGAGAGAGAGAGAGAGAGAGAGAGAAAGAGAGAAGGGGGATGCCTAATACCGCTGGAAGATAAATAAGCTTTATATAATGCACTTATTGTCATCAAAATGTACTTGTATCAATTGATTTAATAAGCATTCAAATCGATTGAAGTTAGTAATCAACATCAATTGCATTATCTTTTAACACTCCTTTCCACAAAAACACATTCTACAAATTCAAAAGGTAGCTTTTAAGAATGATGACTGTTATCAAGTATTAACCATGAAGTAGTTTGGGGATGACAAATTACTGTAAAAAAACACGTAAAAGAAATGTGGGCCCAAGAAATGTTCGTGGCAAAAAGAAGTAAACGCGTTTATATTCAACTTGACATTTTTACATGAATCAACAATATATATTCTAGTAAGGAAAGTTGAAGTATGGAAAAACATAAATTTCAAGGTTCATGTGGATTTACAGACACATGTACAACCGTCACGGTGTAAATTCCCTCATGTCGTAACGATGACACCTTCTCGCTGAACACGAAAGAGAATCGGGGAATTTTTTAGGGGGAGCACCGATGACGCAATATGTTTACACAAAACCGCAAACTATATAGCTATACAATAGGCCAATCACAGCAGTGTATAATTCATCGGTGTTGGAGCCATAACGCACGGTACAGTGTGTACATGTTCGTTTCGGATCAGAATACCTCGAGTTTCATTTTCGACGGTTGTGTCGAGGCCGTTTCTCTGTCTAAAATTATTATCAAATTCTTTTCTGGACTATAATTATAGTTGGATTAAATGATACATTGTCCTTCCGATCATGGCGTATACACAGCAACCAACGACTTATTTGGAGAAGGAGCTCATGTTTAAGAAGAAGGCAGAGGTAATCATATTTATTTGCCTAAATCCATAATTCACATGATGTTTTGAAATAGGTACTTTGCTATATAGGCTAGTATAGTTTGCTTGCTATTCATCGATATATTTATGTACTGATGTGGCTGAAATTTGAAATTTTACAGTGAGGATTATCAGTATGGGAACTTAATTTCAAGCTTAGTTTTAAGCATTGAACTTGACTAATTGTCTTAAAATTTACTTCAAGCAAGTCCAGCAACTCTTACAAACCTTTATAATTTTACATTGTACAAAGTTATCTTTGATTGATAAAAGAAAATCAAAAGGGTTTCAAGTTTCGCTTGGAACACCTGCTGGGGCCCCATTTCACAAAACTTGTCATCAGTGACAAATAAGCTGGTGCACAATTCTTGGTTCTGATTTGTTATCAGCAGATTTGTCACTGATTTTTGTCATTGAAAAAAAGCTTTGTGAAACGGGTCCCTGGTGTAAGATCATGGTGTAGCAGACCCCTTTCAACTTGGCTTTATAATTAAAATGGCCAATGATGTAGTCTCTCTCTATCTCTCACTCTAGAAAATGAAGTGTCTAATTGGGATCTGTAAGCTGAGTCGAGTCGCACCCAGCCAGCTCATATTGGAGATAACGGAAGGCGGAAAGGTTCACAATAACTACATCGAGTCCGTAACAATGGGCAAATATGACAACATGTTATGTGTCAATAGTCAGAACGGCGTCACATTCTTGTTATATGAAAGCAGGTAAACGCAAACACTTATAGGGACTTGTCTGAGGGGGTGATCTGAGCGAAGGCGTTGCAAAACTGTTTTGAATGGGGGGGGGGGTGGATTTCGGACCGAAAATCTACTGACAAATTAGTACCACAAAAAAAACATCAAGTAAAATGAAAACAACAACAACAATAACACACAGACCCCTTGCAAGCGACGTCAGTTGTTGTTGTTGCGGTCGAGTATAGTTGACTTACACCGTATTTTTCATGACATTTCTTAAGTATTACTCTAAAATTATGTAATGCAGAGCTTCAATGTCACGTTGTATCCCACAAACTGCAGAAACAATCCTAGAAAAAATAGAAACCACTATATGTCTGCACGAAATATGTTCCTATGTTATCATTATTTTGATTGTAAGATATTGATAATTATGCCATTGTTACCATATGAGACGTTTTCAAATTTGTATTTTCCAAGTAGCAATAGTTTTAGGAATTTTGAACCAAGTAAAGCATCGTTATTAGGAGCACTAGTCTGTATAGATGGCAGTATCAAACTATGATTAGCAACAATCTTACATGATGGGGTAATTATTTGAACAATGCCGTTTGAATTCGATCGTTGTGGTACTGTATAAGTATCATAATGAATAATGTCATCCTTCCTGATCAATCCTGTGTTACTTCTACCTATGATAAAGCACATGTTGCTTGTTACTGTCTGCCAAAGCGTTCATTCATATTATATGCACCCCTTTATGCATGCAATCTTAGATTGGATTTACACTGTACACATTTTGTACTATGCAAATTCATACCTCTTATTCAATCAATGCACACAAGTAATGCAATGATATTTGTTTTTTAAACTGCTTTGGACCGAGTTCACGAAAGGGATCTGACACTAGCCTATACAGCATGGATCCAACTATCGAATGGATTTTTCTTTTGTTTAAAGTTTCACAAAATATTTTTTTTAAAGGAAAGAAGAAAATCAAATAAGAAACAGCGTCCTGATCACTTATTTAGACCAAAGTGTTTATTTTTTAACCATACGAATTATATAAAATGATTATACATTTGTAGTTAATACACTAACTAAATAAATGCCAATGTTTATTTTTCGTTACAGTGTTTTTTATTACAGTATTGTTCCCCTGACTTCATTTGTCGCGAATAGTATTCATATTCGTTTGTAATGACCTTTCTTTTTCAGACAAAGAATAATTCTTACTTGTTTACCTTTAATCATTTCTCAGCTTATTAGCCGCTTATAAAGTAAACCGGTGGTGTAGAAGAATGATTGGTGTCTACTGTCTAAATTAAAACACCTACGTGAATTTTTGCCATATTATGTTAGTGTCTAGGTTATTATACCTCGAAAATGAAAATTATTTTGATTAAAACAAACACTGTTGTTTCGAAGGATATTTTATGATATGTGTATAGCAAATGATAGAATTTGTATTGTTTGTTTTAGATATCGGGGGGCGGTGCTGACAAGCGCTGACATCCAATTTTATTTTCAGGGCTTAACTTCCTCATTGATTTGGGTCATGAAGATGTGGCGTAGCTTTCCTACGATCGAGTCGTTTAGGGGGCATCGTATCAGAGGGGGGGGGGGGGGGGGGGCTTGTATTACAAGGTAGATCGAATGTTAAAGGGATTGGGTAACTTTCCCCCTGTCCACACACAACATTTTCCGTGATTAGCTATACCGTTTCGCGATAGTGATACCGTTTCGCGATAGTTTTACGATGAAATTGTGTGTGTTTGTTTGTTTGTTTGTTTTATTTATTTATCCACGGTTAAAAACACCTGCTATCAGCCACAAGGCTGTTTTTCAGCAAGTCCGTTAAAAACATTCACACAATATACATAAACAAAACAAATATAATTCATAATACAAATTAAAATAACAAGAATACACAATGTGGAAATAACAACAAGAATACAAATGTCTAAATAAATAAATAAATAAATAAATAAATTCTTAATAACAAAAATACAAATGTGTAAATAACTCTTAATAACAATCAGAAATTTGAGGAGAAATACAATTTAGTGAAGTCACAAGCTCCTTATCACAAAACAAATCATCAGGTGTAGATTGAGTGAACGATCGAGAGAGCGAGGAAGAGGGAGAAAGAGAGAGAGAAAGAGAGAGGGGAGAGAGACATAGACAAAGATAGACAATAACAATTAGAACGTAGGGGGGAAAACACCATCGATCGCCTTTATAAAGTTTGAAAGCCGGGTTTCTTTTCTGATGCACTGGGGTAGGTGATTGAATAGCCGAGATGCGATATAAAGAGTGCTGTTTCTTAGAAAATTAGTGTTTGGTTTAGGTATCTTAATAGTACATTCCCTGTTTCTAAGGTTATAATTACTTTCTTTCAAAATGACTTTAGTAGAGAGAATATCTGGTACTTCATTGTTAAGTATTCTGTACATCAGAATAACCAGGTCCTTCTTAACTTTAACATTGAGACAATCAAGTTTTAATCTATTGTAAAGTTCATGTCTGCTGAAGCGAGAATCCACCCAAAGTACTATTCTTAATGCTCTGTTTTGTAATATCTGAAGCTTCTTTAGGTGCCCAGATTCGGGTTTCATCCAAATCGTACTACAATAATCAAAACGAGATCGGATCATCGTATTATATAATAGCAGAGCAGTCCGTTGATCAATAAATGGTCTAGCTCTTCGTAAGACAAAAAAGTTCCGTAGTATTGTTGATTTCGCCCTTTCAATTTGTGGTGTCCATGAAAAATCTGTATCAAGTATAACACCGAGATATTTACATTGATCGACTCTCTCTAGGGGACAATTGTCAATACAGACATTAATGTTCTCAAAATCTTTACGTTTACATTTTGTTCCTATGACCATAAACTTACATTTCATTGCATTTAGCATAAGTTGATTATGCAATAACCAATCATGAATAACACCTAAATCTTCATTGACGCTCACTAACGATACGTCGTATAAAAAAAACTAGTCTAACGAAACGCAGGTTTGGGCATCGTTTCGAACTGAAACTCAATAAAGATTCACGCCTAATCACGCCTAATCACGGAAAATGTTGTGTGTGGACAGGGGGTTTGTCTCAGATTCTGAAACAAAATCCTGGATTCCGCTCATGCTGCAATGATAATTATAAACCTTTAGGTCAGTCAGGAATCCAATGACTTTTACAAGCGGATCGTCTGTCTGATTATCAAGATATTTATGACTTGAATTCGAAATCAATTTTTCCGTTTTCCAAACGGTTTTTATTTCACTACAGTCTATTGGGGAAATGTGTATGGTAAAGCCGGTCACTTAAAGATTTGTTACTTTTTTTTTTAGACACTTCAGGATCATTTTGAAGCGCAATTATTTTAGGGCTTCAATATTTATACACCATATCACAGACACTGATAACACGTAGGGCCATGCATCTCAGGTTTAACATTGTTAAACGATACCTTTAAGATACAAAGCCATGCACCACTTTATTGGGGGAGAGAATGAGGTCGTATCATCCTCCACCTACCTTTATCAGTTTTGTGTTGTTGTTGTTGTTGTTGTTGTTGTTTTTTTTTTTTTTTTTGGGGGGGGGGGGGTAATTATTATATGATTAGGTGACGTGCCCCCATAGCTAGGCGCGAGCCTGTGGCTGAGCGAATGCCTATGAAACTGAAAATCCATGATTTGATCGTTATTTTGTTTTTGTTATGAGGAAAAATAACTACATCCGTCGATATTAGACCTCGCCGCTCTTTATTTCCACTCTTTCTTCATGCAAATCACTATGAGCTCAGAAAGAGAAATTGGTGGCTTGAATAATTTTTCCTACGCTAAGTTGTCATTCGCCTTTTTTCGATTGGATCTCTTTATACGATGCATAATTAGGATCCTTTCTGGACTCAACTTTCTAATGAACACTCCCTTTATGACTCCCATCTATTTCATCTGATATAGGCAAGACCGTGATGAATGGTATGCAACCATCAGACAACTTCAACATGGCCACGTGCCTAGTTTCCCCACGAAACGTAAATCTCTACCAGCTCCTCCTCCTGTGAGTACCAAACCAAAAGGCGGTCAAAGGAAACCAGTGTCATCTCCATCTACACTTCAACAGATCTTCAAAGAAGGACTCGTAAGCGTCTCCTTCTTTTCCTCATTCAATAATTGATTCCGTTTTTTTTTTAAAGATTATTAAAGGATAGTGTGTTTTTTCTTCAAAGAAAAAGACAAACATGGAAATAAAGAAATGACGTACAATCAAAGCATCTCTTGTGAAGCATGAAAACTGGTACACTATGATGAATAGATTGCTTTTTTTATTAATTGAATTGAATTTTTAGAAACTGAGTTGACATTTGTTTTCATCATCATGACAATGTCTACAAAGATAACAGAAGAAATATCATAACAGATAACAATATCAAACGTACATTTATGAATTGACAAAATAACATTCAAAATATAAAGATACTATAAATTTTATAGTAGAAACCATAGTACAAATGGAAAATTGTGCATTCGTAAAAACCAATAAGGCTTGACAGTTGAATGCACCAGGCGGACAAGTAATATAATGTATGCTTTATAAAAAAATTAAAAAATAAAGTGATACATTTAAAAACAGGGGGAGGGGGAGGGGTCGTATTTCGGTATAAAAGATGTGATCTTAAATGCAGAAATTACTTTGAATGAGGAACAAGAATTCTCTTCGCGGCATAGATTAAAACAGCACGATCGTGAGCATGCAACTGTTGAGAAAATAACTTTCCAAATTCGGAATCCTTCTAAATTCTTTCTGTAGCTTTTTTTTCTTGGTTTGATCAACTTTTCTTGCAATTTATGCAGCTCGTCAGGAATCCCGGTGCGCTATATAAAAATATTATATATACATAAAACATGTTAACAATTTAAGATTAAACCAATTGAAAATGTCAGACATTTGTAGTTCTGGTACAATCCCTGTCGGGAGGAGAGAAGGGTATAATCATACACCAATGTAATCCGTCGATTTTTTTTGATTTTTTTTTTATTAAAAAAAATCATGACAGTGTGACTTAGCCGTAAAAATAAACGTAACATACATATATATTTCATCTTCTTCTGATATATAAATGTGGCGGTGGGGAGGCCCTATATGTTTTTATTTTCATTTAACCGTATACCGGTACATGAAGCGGTGGGGGTAATGGAGGAGGTAGTGTACATGGAACCCTGTAATTTTACACTTCGATTTTCAATCATAAATATCTTGATAATCAGACGGGCGATCGGCTCGTAAAAGTCATGGGGTTCCTGACTGACCTAAAGGTTTATAATTATAATTGCAGCATGAGCTAAATCCAGGATTTTGTTTCAGAATCTGAGACAAAGTTACCCAATCGCTTTCCATTCTTGCACCATTTTGCTCTGACGACATGACAGCAACTAATTTTAAACATTGGCTTCATAGCTGACAAAGCAAGCATAAAGAACGACCGTTAGATTTCAATACTTGCATAGGTTTGAACAATGAAAGAACCACTGCATGTCTGTAGCTGTACAAATACTTAAAGAAATATTTATTGTATACGGGTTCACTTACAATGTGTATTGAACCAGGCGCGGATCCACGGGCTCAAAAACTAGACCAAAAAAGAAATAAAATACGTGCTCTCCCCCCCCCCCTCCCCTCCGCCTATTCGCCGTTGGCTGATACGCCGCTAAACATTTTCTCAAGATTCCCCCCCCCCCCTCTTGCTGCCGGCTGGATCCGCCCCTGTATTGCAACGTTATCTACATTGAATCAATGACTCTAGCTCCATAACTGATTTAGCATAAAGATCATAACCTTATAAGGCGATTAAAAATTATCAACGATAATGCACTCTGAATTCATTTATGTGATGAGAACTCCACAGTCGCATTATGTAAAATGCCACCAATTAAAGCCGGGGTAATAATTGTGGAGCGTCAGGTGTGTCATTAAAGAGGCAGAAAAGCTTTAAAACTTTTTCTTCAATTTAATGTCGTTGTTTTATTAGGAGAGGGATTTGAACCGCATTCTCAAGAGACCACAATCAAACACAGGTAAGAAAACAAAGTCAAGTTTATTCATTACATTGCGTACAGTCGATCGCTCAAGGATAATCTGGTATAGAGGCCCAATTTATCGCGAATTATTTGATGAAACAATGTTGGCATATTTTTTTTTTCATCGCTTAAACTTGTTTTTGAGACTTTGTTACTATCATAAACAGAGTATATACCCACTCAAAGGATTTAATAAAATATATTTCTTTCCCCAGCAATTCAATTTGATCTATACCTGGTTAATGTATCTGCGTACCCTTTCTCTTCAATTCTGCGATTTTTGTATTGTAATTAGTATTATTGTTAATATTATCTTTATCATTATTGTTATTATTAATATTATTATTATTATTATCATTATTGTTATTATTATTATCATTGTTAGTAGTAGTAGTATTAGTATTATTGTAGTATTGTTATCATTATTATTATTAATATTATTATTATTATTGTTATTATTCTTTTTCTTCTTCCTATCATTATCATTATCATTGTTTTAATCATTCTAATTATTATAATTATTATTATTATTATTATTATTATTATTATTATCATTATTATTACTATTATCTTTATTATTATCATTATATATTATCTCTTTCACAGGTTCAGGCTCGTACGTGAATATGGATTACAACCAAGCATTACAAGATTCTAAGGAATCCTATAATACATTTAATGTATTGCATGTAAGTTTATTAATATGAATTGAACCTTTACTTTATATCCAAATAAAATAGAAATATTTACAAAAGAAGGAATTTGAGCATAATCAAAAGCGATGTATCGGCACCGAGTAGCTTTACCATTCAAATTTCAAGTTTACAAGTAAACATTTGGAATATACCAATTGTTGTTATCATATAATAGTGGACTAACTATTTTCAGGCTCATTCTTTCAACTATATGGCACCCCATTATCCAACGGGTCCGTAAACATTGTAAATCACTTGATAAAAGACATACCAATTTATGATTACATTTTCGAAGTGAATAACAATAATTGTATATAAGGACATCAAAAATATCGTCGAAACAATGCTTTGTTCATGTTCAAACATGTTCAGTGAAAGAGACAGCGTCAACAATGAAACATTATATGCATATTTGCTTTAAATCAATATATAAAGCAGGTTTGAACTTTATACCAGTATCTTTAATAGTATAACAAATCAGAATGCAAAGATGTTTTAGGTTGTCAACATTCCTGACATCAATGCATGGCGATGCGAATGAAAGACACGAAGACTGCTTGATTTTGGATGAGAACCAGTTCTTTTTATTTTCCCCCGCCCTCCCCCCCCCCAAAAAAAAAAAAATAAAAAGGTAATCCGTAACCAAATCCTGGCTATAAGTCTAGAATTTTCAGAAAAGTAGAAGAGGCCGAAATAAGCTAAAATCAAGACATTTAGGTATGAGTTTTTCTTTCCTTCTCCCTTCTTGGATTATCGTGTACATTCCGCTTTCGCTCTAGTATTAATACTAAACCATACTTTTTATGATTACGATGTCAACACATTAACCTGGTTCTACATATTATAGGGCTCATAAACAACTTCCTATAAATGTTAAACTTTCGCCAAACAAATGTTTGATGCAGAAAATTCACTTTTCTTCTTCATTCTAACTTTTCCTTCTCTTTCTTTTCTTTTCTTCTTTCTACTCTCGGTCTCCTGTTTTTTTTTTCTTTTTCAAAGGGGATGCAAAATATGGACCTTAATCCAGCGCCAAGTGAAGATACTACATACGATATACCTGATGAAGAAATGTCACCTAATCTAAGCGAAGATAACATATATGATGTCGTGGATGATGATGGTTCCGGCCTGATAGAGGAGCAGATTTATGACGATCCTTGTGATGAAGAGTTTACTGAAGACACGTTCTACGACGACACTGAAATGGGAGCGGGAGCATTTGGTGGAGGACCTCCTGGATTACCACAATGGAGCTCCGGGGAAACCCCTCCTCCCCTACCCCGAAGGCCAAATACTTTGTTGTCACCACAGGTAACTCATGCTTAATTTCGATTTCATTCGTCGAGCATAATTATACATTATAGATAAATATAAAAAGCATAGAAAGGATTGAGGAATACACCTTGATGTGATAATCTGTGAAATTTAATTGACATGTTTTGATTTCCTTTGTTCTGTATTCGGTTTGTTTAGTGTTTAAATGTATTGTTTTGTTAATATTTTGTGAGTAATTAAATTGTATAAGTATATTTATTTCAGTCCATGGACTCTGTGAAAAAGAGTCGTTGAGGCTGAAACGCGTTACAGTGATACAATGAACCAATGACAAATAAAAAAGAGCTCATTATGTTTTTAATGTGCCTGAATCCAAATAAGCCAAACACTAAATGATGATTTAGACATGTTAATTCGTAACTCATTCAATGATATATTCCTGGCAGGAATTAATTCTTTGAAATGCTAGAGCACCGCAATGGCAGCACAGCTAAAGCCGGGGTAATAATCTCTAAGTTTGGAAGCGCTTAGTGATTCTAATAAGCGCTATATAAAAACTGAGTATTATTATTATATTAATTGTTGTATATGCCTGTGACTTATGATCCATGAGTGGCTTTTACGAAGCAATAAACAATGTCGATGTTATGCCATTATCACAGAGCTTCAATGAGACTGACGATATCTACGAAACCGTAGATTCTGGTCTTCCTCCACCGATTCCCGCTCGACCTCGACCAGCGACAAACAAACAAACGATAGGAGGAAAACCGAACGGAAGGGTGGCACTGCGTCCAGTGAAAAAACCCAAGTCAACCCCGATCAAACCATCTACCAAGGTAATTATAACAAATACTGATAATCTAATCAATGTAGCTGACATGAACGATGCTGCTGAAAAGCAGTTTAATAGCTCTAGGTCCTGAATGCTTGTCAACCGGTTTCATTTTCTTTTGTTTTGTTTTGTTTTGTTTTTAGCAAGGGGTAGAGGATATAATTTGAGCACCACAAGTGCTGTAGATCCATTTCAAGTTGTGTTTTTTCCTCCTAGCTCCTGAAAACAGGGAGGGGGATATGCAGCTGGACATGGTTTCATAATTGTCTCAATACTGACCTTATGTTCATGGTGAAGAGATGACGTTCAACTCTGAGCATTTAACTATGCTATTCGTGATGATTATTAATTTTAGTCTATATCTTCTGTTCGAACTTTTTTCGAAGTGTTATTTGTGTAAAAGGAATCATGAGAACAGAGAAGAAATGTACACATCATGGCTCATTGATGACACTCTGATCAAAGGCCATCGTTAAGTTCGATTAAGAGAGTTATTTTATTTCCTAATAGTCCACTGACGTAACAAATTATATCAGAATACTGGTTTTATTTTCATTGAATTTCAACAGAGAATCAATTGCTTTAATCACGTATTATCTTATAAAAATAAGCAATTTATCTGTTTATTGTGACACACATATATGATATCTTTTTTTCTCTCCCTATCTGACAGACTACAGGCAAACCTATGGATGTTGGTAGAGATGGATCAAGGACTCATTCGACGACTGGACAAAGCCTAGGAGATGAACTAGCCCGGAAGGTATCACAACGAAACAGATCCAATACACTACCTAGCGGGACAGGATCACACCCACACACCTTCAACTCACAAGACTGTGGCAGAGGCAACACTTTATCCAAGGTATATTATAAACCTATTGCTCAGATGGTTAGAGGCCTTCGGTCACTAATTCGTCATTTGTCTCCATTTGTGTTCATGATCCAACTCTTAGAAGTTAACAAAGTTATTAAAGGGCACTTTGTGACTTGACTTCAATGCTCATCACTTATCATTCCTCCTTCCCATCTGTCTTTGACCCCAGAAACCCATGGATTTGCCTAGCGATATTGGAAAAGTGCAACTTAGGAGCCCCGACAGGCAGATGCCAAAGACAAGGCCGAGCAGCGATACTGAGTACCCTGACGAACTTGCCAGAAAGCTTGCAATGAGGAAGTCTTCTTGGAAGCAGCCTCAGGATCATGACCATCAGCTTCCCAAACCCTTCCCGAAAAAGGTTGGATTATATTATGTGATATATCTTTTATTGTAAGGCACACCTCACGTCACCTTACGCTACCAGATTTGTTCCTGTTAATGTACGTGTTTTTTAATGTATGCTTCTATGATTTACTTTTAAAAGCATTGTAGTGATTCCGCAGAATCAACAGGTATGCAACAACTGAATACAAAATAAAAACAAAATAAAGGATGTAGCTACAAATATATTTTTAATATATACTCTTTTTTGGACCAGAAATATTTTGAACACATAACGAACTGAGTTTAACTTGAACGCAGTATTAGATGATCATGCTTCTTTGTGTTGTGGGGCTCTTTCGCACCGTCAGACCGTTAGTCTAGATTGCACAAATATGTAATTGCTGTTTTTCTGTTTGTTTACTAAAAGAAAGCTTTAGTTCCTCCTCCAACCCCCACAAAGCCTGGCAAAGCTCAACCCAGTGATCAGGTGGACACCAAGAAACACAAGAGCCTACCACCAACACCCGCCAGAAAACCTGTCAAGCCACCACCCTCCGAGGAATTATGTAAGAACTTTTCTTAGTTACCCTTCTAAAATCTTTTTTTCCAATCAGGAGTTAATGGGGCATGTTAGGAGCCTTCCATCCCTACCCTCCCGTTTTTACAAACACGAAACATCAATTAGCTAAATGCTTAATGTAGAGAGATATCGTCACCAAAGATATTGGGCAAGACACTTGGTAGGAGAAGGAAAAGGAGAAGAAGATGATGAAGAGATGGAGAAAAGGGGAAAAGATAAAAAAGGATAGAAAAAAAAAGGAATGTGCCATAAAGAAACACAATACAAAAATCAGACTACAATAAGAGAACATGACATTGTAAAGATTTAGTGCTGACATTAATAATTAAAACAAAACTGTACTGTATCTTCTCAAGTTAGTGAAAAAGTTTAATCCTTCCACATATTTATTTCAGATGAGGATACCGAAATCGGGCCGCCACCTCTGAAGCCAAAACCGACAAACACAAAACGAAGGTAAAATGTACCCCATAATTTGCAATTTTTTTCAGAGTTAAAAAAAAAAAAATCTTTTCTTTATTCACTAGAGTACTAGACGTATAGTAATTATGTAATTACAAAATTTGCGGTGTTTTTTAATAGAAATTATGACTTGGGTTCCACTTGAAGGAATATGACTTTCGATTTTATTTGATGATTACGAAAATTGAAGATGTCTGTTGCTTGTATATGTAGGCCCTATTCCTATCTTATTAATGACAAATTAATTATCATACTATCTATTTTCTCTTCATTATGTAGCTCTGTTGTTGGTAGAGTACCGTTAGATGTCCGGATTACTCGTCATGCTAAGCAGAGTCTGGCTGGATCTGTTACCTTCACAGATCAGTCGGATTTTGTGGTGTAAGTAACTTTGTCAAATCATAGAAAAGTAGAATTCATTTAATAACAATAATAATAATCATAATAATGATAATGATACTACTAATAACAGTTGTGATTATAATAATAATAATAATATTATTATTATTGATGATAGCAACTTTTCGTATGCGCTCATATCCATCAATGATATGTGGCAAACAGTTAAGAAAATTACGTAAGAATAAGCAAATACGTATAACAATGGATAAGAATAAGAACATTAATTACAGAGTGTTGGTCATGAAATAGAAAACAGTACCTTTTGTTGCATATAGGAATGAAATAATTGAATCCTGTGTGTGGGAAACTGACTTATAAATGAGCTTGTAATAACCTATTTTATCGTGCGAAGTCCCAAAACTTGTTATTGTCTTTTATTGTCTGAATACAAATAACAAAATCAAATAGAGACAAAGTTCACTTTTTGCAATTAAATAAATCGAATAAAGAACATTCAATGGAAAAAAAACTATTGAAATCGCACATAATGGATACAAAAGAATATTTACCCACTTCTCTGATTTATAAGGTTAATGATATTTGGCAAATTCCAATGAATGAAGTATTATTTAAATGAATAAACTATTGACGAGGGAGAGTAACAGTTGTTAACACCTAGTGCAAATTTGCCAGTACTTACGTTTTATACATCTATCTATTTCTAGTTAAAGGTTTTACGTTTATAATCATGTATAAATCCTTCGCATGCATAGTTGGGTATTAAGGCAGCATCCATTTTACCGCAGACCTTTCTATTTTTATTTCTTTTTTCTACATTATAGGATTGAGAGAACCGATTTACCAGATGACTTGCATGTCGGAGATCAAGTCTTACAGATTGGCGACATTGATGTTCGCAACTCCTCTGCTGCGTTCGTAACAGAATGCTGGAAGAGAGTCAGCGAAAACGAGGTAACTACCTAACATTATTTCCCAAACCCAACCTCCCTTGATAATGGCGTATCATCACTGGGAAAGCTGAACCCCCTCCTAACAGTCAAATATTATTTTCCTAAGCGATCAACAGGAAAATCAACATAATTATGGGCAATTTCAATAACATATTATATAACCTGCAGACGTCATATCGGATTGGTATACTCATTAATGTTCGCATCTTTTAATAGATGATGGACAGTGCTGTCGAAATTGGGTTAAGTTTTGGAAAGTCGTAGCGAATGTGTTATTACGCAACCGCGTAACAAAGACTTTCATGGTTTTAATCATGCCGCCCCTCCCCTTCTTCAGACAATCTTTAATCCACCTTTCTCAGCAGAAACTGCACACTAAGCGGGCCATGGCATTGTCGATTTTGCTTATTTTGCTTCAAATATGAAGGAGTTGTTAGCAAAGAATCAAAACTTTGCCAATTACACTGGAATTCATTTAACACTTGCGATTTTAATACCGCAAAGTTTACGTGTGCTTAGAATATAACTTAAATACTTTTTGTTTTCTCTCGTTACTTATTTTTAGGTCCGAGTAAGAATTCTGCGATAGTGAGGAATGGTCAGCATCGCATCTCACAGGCAATCAACATCTCAAAGATGAGGATAGACCTAGATGACCTGCTTTAATTTCTTGCTCTACCACTCGATTATTTATGCTGCAGTTGTATTCTTTATTTGTATATGTGTTCATTTCCTTTGTTCCCATTAACTTACATATCAAATATGCGCTTGTATAATTATGGGCAACCAGTGTATACAGTATTTGTTAGTATTACTCCACTAGGCTAATAGTAATATGGGTTTTAATACATAACCAAATCAACCAACACACTAGCTTCAGTTTTGAACATATGATCTGCTGGTTCCAAGTCTTTGTCTCTTTAACCACTGAACCAACACGGAATGTGCCCGTATCCGCATTGCAAAATCCAGTATTTTGTGTTATGACTGACTCAAATTACATTAATCAACTTTAGAAAAGAAATTCAGATGTTCATCTTTTTGTCTACAATACAAGTACTAACATCAAAATGTTTGGCAGTGGTTAGCAGGGTTCAATATTCTTAAAACCTTTAAATAATACGGATTGAAGGCATGCCATTTTTACAATTACGACTATTCAGTCGAAACACGATGAATATAATTTATGACTCTATCAAATATCAGTTCTTCACATGTCTATATATGTATCAATATTATGTGGTAAAATCTTTGATGTAGTCAGCATCAAATACAAAGCAGATATCAAAGCAGAGTCTAATCCTGCTCTTCATGTAATTTCTCTTTATTTCGTTAATATGAATTCAAGTGGTTATAAATTCCAGAAATGGCTCATTTAATTAATTAAAATATATAACAAATATTCATTTTCTTTTGCCAAATCTTGCCATACTACAATAGTATCATGCTGTGTTATCTCTAAGTTATGCAAAATAAGTTGTACGACTATAGTTATTTGTCAAATCCTCACATTTAAAACCGTTCCCAATTGATAAGAACCATTCTCTCGGGGGGGGGGGGGGGGGTTATAGATATCTGTGCTTAGCAACAGAAGAAAATAGGTTTCAGATAATTGCTGTCTGTACACAAACTTTATGAATCAGTACCGTATGAAAATTTAACCGAACTCGAAAGCCTTGCACTTTATAGGCGTGTATGAGTACATAATCTATAATCCACAACTGGTCGCACACGAAACAAAAATGAAAAAGCGTAAGACGTGGTAATGAAAATATGTGTGTTCTGAACAAAATATTATACGAAATTGTATATGTTATTATATTGGTCTATATGTATTCAGACAAACATTTTGACGTGTCAAAACGTTTTTTTTTTAAGTGAAAATATAATTTGTTCAAAGCATTTTCGGAACACACAGGAGTCGACAGGATGTATTGTTTAATGTTGAATATTATTCTGTTTTATGGAGGTAAAGATGTTTATGCAAGGGGCCTATTGTTTTATGATAAACCCCCTTTTTAATGAAAAGGCGAAACATTGACTAACATGATGAAAGTTAGTCATTCAAGCCAATTGCCAAGTGCACTGTAAGTAGCAATATAAAAACAAAAGTAAGCTATAATTTCAATTGCAATTAAAACAATTTGTTAAAATGATAATCTAAGATTATTTGCTAATCATGAAGAAGAAAAAGTCATTGAAAGTATGTAACATATACATTATAGATGTATTGATTTGTCTCCAAAGAAGATATGGATATTCTAAGCTTGTACCTTATTGATCGAGTCTAAAATGTTCTGTCGTATGTATGATTGTACATTTTGTACATAATAGATATATATTTGCATATTCATACCATAACAGCCAAGCAATCGCGTTTTTGTATAAAATAATAAATTGCTTAAACTGAGAAAAATGTCATGGAGTTGTTTATGATAATTTTTTTCTCACATATATCATGTAAAACACGGGAAGATGAGAGGGGGAAATGAACATGGATGTACTATATTATGCGAGAGACGAAGATAAAGACATGATAACATCCGCTATATTTTATTGCCTTTTCAAGTCAGTACATTACGTAAATTCATTTAACAACCATAGACACTAAAAACGGTGTTATAACAAGTCGTGGCAATACAATAGATGAGAAAGGGTGAAATTTCAAGTGATTTCTAAAAAATGATAATACCATTATTCTATATTCAGAACTAGCATGATTTTGGGGTGTGTGTCTGTACATGTATACGTGTAGCGGGGATCTGTAATAATGAAAGGTTGAAATGTTGCCCCCCCCCCCCCACTCCGGGGTCGGAGGGACGACATTCGTGTTCCCAAAATCTCCGGTAAAGGGGTACTTTTCACGCAACAAAGTCCGGCCCGTAATACACAAGCATCCGGCCCTCATTGACTTTACACACCGGAGATAAGATAAAGACTGAGAAGGTTCTAAAAAATGTTTTTTTAAATGAAATTGAAAGATAAGGGGAATAAGTTAAACTTGAAAGCGAATGAAAAGTAGAGAGGATGCGGAGAAGAAAACAAAGAAAGAGAAGAGAAGGGAATAGGGTTAAAATAAAGAAAAAGGACCGAATAAGATAGTGGACAAAGGAAAACAAAACTCAGATAAAGAGGGAATTAATGATATCTGAAAAGTTAATAGCGACAGGAGAGTAAATGTTTCATGATGACTAAGAATGAATGAATCAATGACTGAGCAGATCGAAGGCTACAATGTAGCACAACATTAGTAAACTAGCCATAAAAAGAAAAAAGAAAAAATCTTCAAACTTACAAATCTTTGACAAAATTGAAATGGCATTGTAGCCTTATGTTAACATTATTTAACAACATTAGTAAACTAGCCATAAAAAGACAAATTTGAATATCTTCAAACTTACAAATCTTTGACAAAATTGAAATGGCATTTCAACCCTAGCCCCTCCCCAAAAAAATTATAATAAAAGAAATGAAGTAGCAATATTTTTTTTCTTACAAACACATACATGTCCATAATTATCATGTTATAATGAAGACCATCATAATTATAAACTATGTATGGTAACAAAAAAGAATACTGATTGAATTTAATAGTATGATAACATTTATGCTTTATTTTGTTACATATGAAAAGAAAAATGTTTCATGAACTTTGATAATTACTGTGAATCAACATTTTTCTGATAACTATATATTATGATACCCGATTGCATATGATTTATAGATATTTATAGTAAAGAATCAAGATATAAATCAGTGATGTTTAATAAAATGCAAAGCAGTCAAATACATAATTATCATCAATTGTGTTACAATATCATAGACGAGTCAATGCTCTGTACAATAGTGATGCACCTTTATCCTCAGATCATACTGATCAACACAAAAAGTCAAATTTGAAGTCTGAAAACGGTCTTAATACATTTTCATATACCAGCATCTTTAAAGGGAGCATTGTTCAGATGAGAGAAACTGTTGCTAAGGTAGTGACTTCAATGCAAGATGTAAAATTAAAGATAATCTGAAAGTTTGAGTGAAAATGAACCACTATTAATGATAATAATTGGGAAAAACTGATCTGATCGATCCCTTAATTTTCCCAACTATATTATTACAATTTAATGACATTTTGGGTGAATGTAAAACGTCACAAAGCAATGAATTGGCTCTATAGACCATCCCAGACATTTAAGTGTTGAAAGATTTTGAAAAGCATGTCTTATGTCTTATTTTCTTTGTGATTTGAGAATGTTCTCAGGATTTTTTGACTGTTAGAGGGTAAGTACAGTAGAAGATAATAAGTAACATTTCATACGAATTACACCGTTTTTTCATCAACTTCAATAATGTTACCGAGTCACTTTAAAGGTGTACAAAAACGTAATAAAGGGTAGAACTTTGCACAAATTACAGAGACGCTATGAACCTTTACGAGTATTGAAACTAACATATTTTGGAGGAAAACAATATCAATACCCGAAAATTCCGAAATGGAACTTTTTCGCACAGACCCTAAAAATGTCAATCCTGACCGCTACATTTCTTTTTTTCTTGATTTGATTTGATTTGATTTGATTTGATTTATTTATTTTCCACTCAAATATCCACAAATTAAATGACATATATAAACCATACAGTAATACAATATATAATAGAACAAATGAATTATACAAGTAACGAAAAACTGACAAGTATGTTGCTGCCAAGTCCATGATCATTCTATAAATTCAGCAGGCATTTGTCTACCCTCTACGGCAGCTCTAAGATTCCTGAGGGCTAGTCGGTATATCGCTTCTAACCCTCCCCCAGTGAACACCCCTGAGTGTGGGCAGACGATGACATTCGGCATGTGAAGGAGTGGATGATGATTGGGTAAGACGCCGGGGTCTGTGGCGTCTAATGCAGCTCCAGCTATTATTCTGCTTTGTAATGCTTCTACCAAGTCATCTGTTTTAATTATTCCTCCTATAAAGAAAGGATGGGAATGGATGTCCTTTTACATATATTCATCATTGACTTTTTGACAAAATTCTGAAATAGTATTCTCCCTAACGAATGAAAAAAAAATAGAAAGAGAAACTGCATGCGGTGTGAGTTAACGTGTCCCTCCCCTTGTTTCATAGACGCAGGCTATGTTAAGTAGAAAACACTTTGTCCCTCGGATATGACGTTAAATGGAGGCCCCGTGTAGAGGAGAGTCACCACCTTTGCACGTTAAGAACCCACTACACTATTCATATAAGAGTAACGCGAAACCCCTGTGTAGTGGTCCACCTGCACACCCCAGTTTACCAGTATACAGTATACCCAGATGGACCTTGTGGAAGATTAGCCCTGTACTAAACAAGTTATCCAATACAGTCTACTACTACTACTATAACAAACAAAAAAAAACAAACAAAAAACGGCCCGGTGAATTGGGTATTCTGTCACGGATCATTTTTAAGAGTCTTATGGTTATCATTATAATTCTATTCTAGTAAAACAATGAAATAATAATAACCCCCGAATAATTCTATTCGCCCTTTGCTTCCACGGCACGGCCAGTACTCCCAGTTTTAGAGGTTTGAATATAGTTTTCATGTAGTGCAGTAATATGCAAACAAAAATAAAAACATGATTTATATCAACCAAGTGCCAATCAAGGAAATTAGGTTTTGGTTTCTTTTTTTAAGTTTGATGCTTTCGTACAACAATGAACGGAGCCGCATCATTAAACAAAAAATCCTCACCTGACCTCTCACATCATTAATTTCTTGCAAAATCTGAAAAAGGCGACTTCAGAAACATTTAACAAAACGCACTATTGATAACATCCATCATTGACATCGTATAAATCTATTGCTGAGTTTCTATTCCTACCTCTTGCTATGTTGATAAGAAATGATGATGATTTCATTAATTTGAGTTGCGCCAATGTAATCATATGTCGTGTGCTCGGGTTCAGGGGAGCACACATAATCAAGAAGTCAACTTGTGGTAAGAGTGCCGCTAATGTTGGAACGTAGGTGGCGTGCACGGATTCTTCGATTTCGTTCAACCTGGTTGATATGAATAACAATGAATAATTTGTTTTTGTTTTTTGAGCAACACCACACATGCTAGTCTGATACATTGCTAGCACTTTTTGTTGCTTTCGTTCTGGCAACTTATCACAATCTGCAACAGCTGTATTTGAACTTTATGCTTGATACACCACAACAACAACAATTAATAACAATACTATATATTTTTTAAGTGCAGGAAATACTAGCAAGAAGGAAGGGGGAGAGAGAATATGAAAGAAAAAAGACTCATTGCATAAATTCTTTCTGGTTACATTACGAAAATAGCCTATTTAAATCGGCTGTAGAGCTGTACCACTTTTTAATCCCTAAAACCCTGCTACACTAATGTTACGCATACTTCTTGAAGAAAGGTTCCATCAACAACTCCAAAGCTTATCAAATTATTGTCAGACATAGCAACAGTTAATGTACGCAATTTGGTTCCATCTATATAGATGCCATGACGTATAGCAATGGAATTGAATATTTAGACACTATAGGTTTTAAAGAGAAACATGCATAAATAAAAAATTAAAAAAGTTATAAACAGGTCCATTCGTTCACGACTCGATAAATTCATTTACCTTTGTTTCCGATTGTGGTAGAGTATTTTCATTCTGAAGCCTTGTGCTCGTCTCGCTACCTCTAACCCGATCTTACCAAGGCCTATGATGCCCAGTGTAGATTCGAAGATATCTTGTCCACGACATCGAAAACCTCGTTCGATTTCGAACTTTTGACCGACTTCGTAACCTCTCGCTGCTTCCATCACTGCAATAGAGAAACAAATTATTATAATGGGAGTACTCATTTCATTTATTCAACTAAAAATCACCCATCATCACTCTAATCATCTTCGACTGAATTGAATTGAATTTCTTTACTGTCATGCACAAATAAAAGGAAGGCATAAAAATCGTATACCGACTCGCATTTGTATAAAATATAACATTACATTAACATATCATAAACAAATAAGTACAAACATATATAACACAACAATGTAATATAATTTAATCTCTCTGTTGAGAGCCACAGGAAATATTTGTACTCCCCTGACTCGCAACAGACAATACTAACTTAAATATATTCTAAAAGAAACTGTATCGCGGTACATTATCGTGTTGGAGTCATCTCGGTAGACCGACAGAAAACAGTCAACCCATAAGGTTTAGGAAGACGGTCTCGTAGGCTGTAGGTCTAGAGAACCCTCAGAAAATGTCAACAGAAGGAACGCAAGACAGCTTTAATTGTCGGTCTCATAAAGTATAGCCGTTATGCCTCTCAAATTTTTTTTCAAGTTGTACGCATTTTTTTTTTTTTTTTTTTTTTTTTTGGGGGGGGGGGGGGGGTACTAAGTATTTAACAGGCCATCGACATGGGAAGCGGCTAGGGTGGTCGGGAATCTGCACCACCTCCCTTTTGTGAAGGATGTGCACGCCTAAAAGAGTCGATGGCCAGTCCTGGAAGTGCTGCACCATCCCCTGCTTATTTTCATGGGGGATTGAGGAAAATTCAATAGTTTCATCATGAAATGTTAGGCAAACTCATGCAATCAGCATACAATCCATGATCATGCATACACCTCGTTAAAGTCTTAAGGTATAGCTTGGGGATCGCCCCTCCCTGATATTCGATGATATTCATGCTGGCACAAACAACTCTCACTGCCCCCTCACTCCTCCATTTCCTTCCCTTCAGCTCACCCCTCACTTCAGGACGACCTGGTGCCGCCCAGGATGCTGATAAAGAGATAGAGTCGCCCCTTGAATGGCATCCGCCCCCTCCCCGCCCCCCCCCCCCCCCCCCCCCACTAAGTACCCTGGTAACTTGTATATAAAACATGGGGGTGTTTCACAAAGACTAAGATCGACTTTAAGTTGGACTTAACTATGGCAGGCCGTTCATGCCACTGGTTGCTCTCATCATTATGATCTTTAGATAATATCTTTGTCTTCAATAATGAATTATCAAAAAAAGTAAATTCTGTAGATCTGTGACCATGATTTGTACGTCTCTTGAGAGACCAATGTCAGTTTAGTGGTGAGAGCAAACAGTGGAAAGAATGGCTTGCCATAGTTAAGTCCAACTTTAAGTTGATCTTAGTCTTTGTAAAACAACCCCCGTGGACTTACTTTCTGGTATTCTCCGCCCTATGGCCAACATTAACGTGAAGGCGAAATCCGCAGTTGGCTGGGTGACCACATCAGGTGTGTTACCGACCTTAATGCCGTACTTCCGCAAGAGTGGTAAGTCAAGATGATCGACACCCACACCTACAGAACAGACAACCTACAAGAGAAGACGTCAAGTATTACTCACCAAGGAGCTGAGATGTAGCTCCTCTCCTACCTCCTTCAATTCACCTACTAGTCACATCGTTCGATAATAAAATGATGATCATGCTGATTATGATGATGATTATGATGATGATGATGATGACCATGCTGATTATGATGCTGATTATAATGATGATGATGATGATGATGATGATGATAATAACAATAATAATGATAACAACAACAACAACAATAACAATGATAATAATAATAGTAATAATGATTATAAAGTTCTCAAACAGAGTACAAGACCAGGGGGGTGTTTCACAAAGATCCTAAGTTGAACTTATCTCTAAGTTGGACTTAACAATTATGGAAAGCCATTAGCATCCTTGAAAATATTTTGTAGAAGTTATTTATAAAGGAATAAAATGTTGATTCAAATCATTCATATTTTCTATTATTATGGGAGATTTCATGTTCTTGATGTGGAATTGATGAAAAGTCTAAAATACTTGAATTTTTGCTTTTAAATATATTTCATTATAAGGCTACGAATGGCTCTCCATAACATTTAAGTCTAACTTAGAGTTAAGTTTGACTTAGAATCTTTGTGAAACACCTCCCAGACCAGCAAGAATATAAAGGAAAAGGAAACTCGATCATTGCGATAGAAAGAGATCGATAGCAATAAAGGTTGATAACAGGTGGGAGCAGAGATAAACATAGCAGCAGATCAAATACGAACCTTTAAATTTGACATTTTTCTCAACAGGTCATCGGTGAGTTGTACATTCTGTACAGGAGATAGCAGTAATCCTTGGACCTTTTCGAAGTAAGGGTCTGGATTCTGGATGAATTCGGACCACTGGATGATGTTGTAGTCATCTTTGACAGCTTCCTGCTCCTCCGATACGACGTCCAACATGCATGGTGATACAGATGCCACGATACAAACTTTCTCTTCCCCAGCCATTATTATATTGCAAACTGATACTGGAGAGCACAGATACATATAAAGAATGATATCATTAACATAACATTTTCTTGCTATGTATTTTCTATTTCCCAGTCCTTAGATATTTGGGCTGAAAAGAATGAAGGCGAGTACCCAAAAGGCAAGGTAGCAAAGCTGAAAACCGTCCTTCTGAACAGCACACCATGTATACATGCAAACCAATTAAACCAGGGAACTGTAAGTTCAGTTCCAAACTTTAGTTCGGCTATGTACCATAAAGTTTGATATTTCTTGTTCAAAATAATATAGACTCATGAATACATTCATTTCCACAAGCTGCCGTACCGTGACTAACATAATGGGAATCAATTCATATTAACAGCAGTGTGGAATGTCCTGGAATATGTTCAAAATTGAGACGTGGTCAAAACTTTGCATACAGATTTTTACATTAAAACCTTTATATTGAAAATAATATCGCTAGTGCATGATATTCGTTTGTCTCGCAATGTGGTCAACCTTTATATTTTTTGCATACACATACACACACTTATCCTTTCTCCACCACTTGTCCTCCCTCTCAATAAATATATTGATCTAAATCGAATACAATAAGTACGATAAGTAGGCCTACATTTCACAGTCAAAGTATAAAGTGTGGCACGTACCTGAAATTGTTGTCAGCGATATTAACACTTTTGATCTACGAATGTTAATCTTTACATTGGCGAATACATGACTGACTGTGAACAGTATAAATAGCATGATCCTCAATATTTAAACTCTGCCCTGTAGGCCTACAGAGCTGACATAATATATCACTCGCTACCAGTGGCGGATCCAGGGAGGAGGGCCAGGGGGCATGGGCCCCCACCCCTAGGAAAAAGAAGAAGTAAAAAACACCTTGTTTATATATTTAAAAAATAAAGCTCATTACCCCACCCCCCCCTCTTATTCGCCCGTTGATTCGCCACAAATATTTTCTCACGACTTTGCCTCTCTCCCCCCCCCCCCCCCCCCCCCCCCCCCCCCCCCCCCCCCTCGTCGCGGCTGGTTCCGCCCCTGCTCCTTCACAGAGCTAATCATTGAACGATCAAGTCACATGTTGATCTTTTCAGATTTAATTTCCTTTGCTTTGCTTCAACGGAAGTTTCGCGAACTTCTTTGCATGGAACCAGTGTACACTCCCGAGGGAGTTCAAAAGGGGTGCCATGCATGAAATTCAGCAATACATTTTATTAGAACTCACTGGTGTAATGTTTGCTTTCTTGAAGCACACAGGACTTTGATCTCCAAATACACGTTTCAATAATGGCTAAAGAAAGTGGGTAATTTTTCCCACTCTAGGGGCAAAGATGATTACATTTTAAAAATAATTTGAATCGTTTTAGCTGGAAAAACGCAATGGGCTAAACGGAACCACTGGGTGTCCCTCGCAGAAGGGGGAGGTTGGTATAACTGCAGTTAAGTACAAAAGAGAAGAAACTACACAGGATTATGTAATGCTTCTTTGTGTATGTATACTTAGGTTTTGTTCTACTTTTCGCTCCCAATGTATGGGGTATGAATATAAAAGAAAAGTGAAGCAAATTACACCCGGTTACATTGCTGCCTCTTATAATGTCTCCCTTTTTGTAATGGTTCCCCTTTCTTTTATAAGTTCCTTTTGTTAATTCAGTGCGAAGGCCCTCTCAGTGGATGGGGTTGAGTAGGAGCAAGCAAATTATGGATTTTAAATTTTATCCATAGGAATCTTTTCCTACGTTGCACCACGCTTTTGGAATGATCTTCTTCAGTGCTTCACCATCTCTTCCTGTTTACCAAAAGTCCTTGAAGATCTTTCGTTCAACCATTAAACAAATTATTCTATTATTCTAGCCCTAAGTAGGGTTGGAAAGGAGAGGACGCAAGCCCTAAGTAGGGTTGGAAAGGAGAGGACGCAAGCCCTAAGTAGGGTTGGAAAGGAGAGGACGCAAGCCCTAAGTAGGGTTGGAAAGGAGAGGACGCAAGCCCTAAGTAGGGTTGGAAAGGAGAGGACGCAAGCCCTAAGTAGGGTTAGAAAGGAGAGGACGCAATCCCTAAGTAGGATTGGAAAGGAGAGGACGGAAGCCCTAAGTAGGGTTGGAAAGGAGAGGACGCAAGCCCTAAGTAGGATTGGAAAGGAGAGGACGGAAGCCCTAAGTAGGATTGGAAAGGAGTGGATGGAAGCCCTAAGTAGGGTTGGAAAGGAGAGGACGCAAGCCCTAAGTATGGTTGGAAAGGAGAGGACCCAAGGCCCTAAGTAGGGTTGGAAAGGAGAGGGCGTCAGGCCCTAAGTAGGGTTGGAAAGGAGAGGGCGTCAGGGCCTAAGTAGGATTGGAAAGGAGAGGATACCAGCCCTAAGTAGGGTTGGAAAGGAGAGGATACCAGCCCTAAGTAGGGTTGGAAAGGGGAGGACGCCGGCGCTAAGTAGGGTTGGAAAGGAGAGGATACCAGCCCTAAGTATAGGGTTGGAAAGGAGAGGACGCCGGCGCTAAGTAGGGTTAGAAAGGGGAGGACGCCGGCGCTAAGTAGGGTTGGAAAGGAGAGGATACCAGCCCTAAGTAGGGTTGGAAAGGAGAGGATACTAGCCCTAAGTAGGGTTGGAAAGGGGAGGACGCCGGCGCTAAGTAGGGTTGGAAAGGAGAGGACGCAAGCCCTAAGTTGGGTTGGAAAGGAGAGGACGCAAGCCCTAAGTAGGGTTTAAAAGGAGAGAACGCAAGCCCTAAGTAGGATTGGAAAGGAGAGGACGCAAGCCCTAAGTAGGATTGGAAAGGAGAGGACGCTAGCCCTATGTAGGGTTTGAACGGAGAGGACCCAAGCCCTAAGTAGGGTTTGAAAGGAGAGGACGCAAGCCCTAAGTAGGATTGGAAAGGAGGGGACGCTAGCCCTATGTAGGGTTTGAAAGGAGAGGACCCAAGCCCTAAGTAGGGTTCGAAAAGAGAGGACGTCAGGCCCTAAGAAGGTCGTGACTTTGATACACGAATATATTCGGGCCTCTCGTTGCCTTTATTTTTCATCTTTTCAAATGTAATGAGTGTGGTAACAATGTTATCTCGAAATAAAAGATTTAATATATATTCGGGCGCCTTGCTGTCAAAATATTGTCAGCGCGCGAGGAAGAAAGACACTTTATTGTTTTTAAATTGTTATTTCTCATGTAATTACATACTCTAACCGTTTCTGATATTAGTTTCTCACACAATCAACGTTTTCCAAATGTAACTAACATTCTTTGGTGGCACCCCGGTTGAAAAACGCTGCGCTGGAGTTACAAAATCAAATGAGATTAATTACCCTTTTGACATGGCGCACCGTAAATATAACTTGAAGGCAATTTCTATTTCAAAATAATTTACCGTACAAGAATACATATTATACTTCAGCATGACAACAGAAATACATAGATAACGTGAAGAAAAACATTAATTTTGGATCATGGATGGGGGCCCATTATACATACAAGTACAAATACACGATCAGCTGATTAAAAAAGTTACAGATGATGCATAAATGAAATCTTATATCCTAATTTCGTTGTTGTGCCACTGTTGATGAGAGAGGCTGTTACGCGTACTCATCTACGCGCAATACATTGTTAAATTTCTAAGAAATTAATTTAGGCAGCTTCCACCCCCGTCCCCCCCCCCCCCCCCCCCCTCCACATCGAATTTAATAAACTGAAAATACTGAAATGAACTTCATAAATAACTAAGAAAATGATAGTTTATGAAATTTTCTGTAAATAGCAATTTGGAAAGAATCTCGCATTATGCGTCACAGTGTAACGAATTCCTCGGGGGTGATTGTCAATGGGGGGGGGGGGGTTATTGTCCTCGGGGGTAGTTGTCCTCGGGGGGTAATTCTCCGGGGGTATTTCCCGGGGGGGGGGATTGTCCTTGGGGGGTAATTGTCCCCGGGGGTAATTCTCCGGGGGAGGGGTAGTTGCCCTTGGGGGTAATTGCCCCCGGGGGGTAATTCTCCGGGGGTAATTTTCCGGGGGTTGATTGCCCAGGGGGTAATTGTCCTGATACGGTATGTCTCTATCTCTCTTCCCTCTCTCCCTCCATGTTGTATCCTCTCTCCCCTCTCCCTCTTTATCCCTCCCTTTCAATTCATTTCACTTTATTTCCATACATTTACATCACAAGTGATAACTTAATTAAGATATTATCACAAAGCATGGAAATAATTCTTTCAACTAATGTTCATTAATGGTAAAATACATGCATACTGTATCCCCAATTCCAATTTGATTTCCATTTTATTTGGACGATCTGTATATAACTAGTAACTATCAAAGATCAATTATGCCTCGAAAGAAATACGGGTATACGACCTCAAAACAAAGCCTTTATTTAAGGACGATGCAACCGTATTATATATTTCTTTTTCGGATAGACACTTAACTCTGCCATAATTTATTGGAAAATAATTGAAAGAAAACGATTATGAATTCATTCCCTACAAACTATCTTTAAATAAGAAATATAAGTAACATGAGTAAATGTATGTCTCTCTTTCTCCCTCTCTCTTTATCTTTCTCTCACTCCAGTTGTCTGTGTGCCTCTCTCTCAATTCTGTCTCCTTTCCCTCTCATTTCGTCAGGGGAAAAAAGCCTACATGTATTTAATTTCATTTCTCCTTTAACCCCCTACCTCTCCTTCTCTCTCTCTCTCTCTCTCTCTCTCTCTCTCCAGCTCTCTGTCTCATCACAACTTTTGTGCCTAAAGAAGAATAACATTAGAAAAACACGAGATAAGTTCCTTTTTTTCTTTTGTAAGAAATGAACATGAAATATGAACATCACATTATTAATGTATGGTAGCATAATCACACTCAACTGCAAAAACCATAATTATGGAACCATTAAACATATTAAACATATATATTTAACATCATGACTCCGTTTAGCAAATCTTGAACACTATGTAAACCAATGTTTTTCAGGCAGTGAATAACATGCTATAGTATTTTTCAATGTACAGGAGTACGATAGTCCACTCTTCGAGGATTTATGTAATCCACTCTCAAGTTATTAATATTCCTTACAATTATTGATTTAAGACGCCGAAGATGGCGTTATCAACGAACTTATACTATGGCCCAGCTATTTTTTTTTCGCCAGGCGTCCAAATCAGAGCCATCTATACACAGAGTTTGGCCAACCCAGTTCGAACAAACAAAGGTGGCCAAACTGTGTGTATAGATGGCACTAGTCCAAATATAAGGATCACGCCATCTTCGGCTGGCATCAATTAAGTAGGGGGAGGTCGCATTGCGTTGGTGTGGTCATGCGCGGATCCACACCACACCCAGGGGTGGATCCGGCCGGCGGCAAGAGGGGGGGGGGGGGACGGACCCGGCCCCCTTCCTCTAAAAGATACTGGTAAACAATAAGATGGTAACTTTAATTTTATATTTTTTAAAACCAAAAACTAAAGCCCCGACCCCCCTGGCAAAAAAAAAATAGATAATATAAATAAAAATCTTTTTTTTTTGGCCCCTCCCTCCCCCCGCTTATTCACCGGCCTGATGATTCGCTTCTAAATATTTCCTTACAACTTAGACCCCCCAAAAATGTTCTTACCCCCCCCCCCCCCCCCCGCCTATTCACCGGCTGGCTGAGTCGCCGCTAAATATTTTCTCACGAATCGCCCCCCCCCCCCTCTTGCCGCCGGCCGGATCCACCCCTGGGTGTGGTGGAAATCAAAATTAAATCGGCCAGATTCTGGACTACTGAACATGATGCATGACAGTGAAATCTAACGAAATTTATTACTGGTTATCGCATTAAAAATGGTCATGTCTTAGATAGAATAAAATCTCGTTAAAATAATTTTTTTTAAATAGATTATAAGGGTATTTTATCTCACTGAGATAAAACCTAAGATAAGAGTGCAATCTAAATCTATAATAATGATAATTGTTTATAAATTTCACAAAATATGCATCGCAGCCTGGTGGCTGAATTGTTCAATATTTTTACATAAGTATTTACATGATTTAAAAAAAACTATATAATCATAATAATACAAGTAGACAAAATGCAACTGTAAATTATTCATGGCTGTAATACCAAGGAGCACATAATTATGAGTTAACATTATATGAGTGGTATGTTTTAGGTGTATAAATCTAAATCACTGGTTATCGCATCTCAAATGGGCGTACCGCAAGTCCCGCAAAAATGAATGAAAAATAAATAAAGGTATTTTATCTCACTGAGATAAAATCTAAGATTTTATCAAAAATAAGATGAATCTCAGAATACGGCCGGCGAAATTTTTATTCCCAAACAGGTTTGCAATTTCTTATATTTCCGTTCTTCTCAATGGTTGATATGTTCTACGTCATTAGCAGCTTGGAAAGAGGTCACAAACAATTAGACTTTTATTCCCAAACAGGTTTGCAATTTCTTATATTTCCGTTCTTCTCAATGGCTGATATGTTCTACGTCATTAGCAGCTTGGAAAGAGGTCACAAACAATTAGACTTTTATTCCCAAACAGGTTTGCAATTTCTTATATTTCCGTTCTTCTCAATGGCTGATATGTTCTACGTCATTAGCAGCTTGGAAAGAGGTCACAAACAATTAGACTTTTATTCCCAAACAGGTTTGCAATTTCTTATATTTCCGTTCTTCTCAATGGCTGATATGTTCTACGTCATTAGCAGCTTGGAAAGAGGTCACAAACAATTAGACTTTGATTTTTTTTATTGCTTTGCCTCACTATTTATAAAGGCAAAAAAACTGAATAAACTGAGACTTGAACCCACAACTCTAAGATTGTTTTACGCTGACCTTACCGATTGAGCCAACGATGGGTTAATGAAAGGTGATTCTGCATGATTTATATAACCCTATCACTCACCCTAACGGTTACATCATTGCTAATGACGTAGCATATCCACGATAATTGGTCTTTGGGTTGTTCTCAGTAGTAGTATCCGGACTGATAGTCAGTGGGTTGCCTTCTTGATAAGTGCATGAGAAACCCTAAATTATGGATTCGATCAAACGGAATTAATTTAATCCTTTTTTAGGTTCATTCTATCCTATAATGTTTTATGCAACCAGCTTCGGAATCTCCTTTATTCGTCTTCAACAAATGCGACATTTAAAAATGTCGACGTGGTTGCACCACTCGCCTCCTTTCGGGGACCCGAATTGGTTGTCGGTTGCGAAGATATTTGGGGAACATTTCCACATGTCACGCAGGACGAGCACGAGAATGAGTCACGCCAGAGCTTGAAGACACGCTTGTTGCAGATGAATGCTATGAAGATGTAGACTCCCTGGAGAGAGTTGAGGATGATGAAGATATACCAAAGAGCTGTGACGTCAGCGAAGGCAGCGACGAAACCAAAGATCCATGTGAAACCAAGAAGAGTAGACATCTGCATAAGATGCAAAATAAATACAGGCTATCAAAGCTTCTTAAAGAAATGCGGTAGATATCTAGCATAACCTTATCTATTCATATTTCTTACTTCAAAGACATGATTTAATATAAACTATTTCAGGGTTCTTAAAAAAAATAGAAAGCTAAAGTCATTGTGCTGACAAACTGAACAGCAATGATAAACTCACATTAAATTATCCTGAAATATCCTAAAATATATTACTCATTGAGCCTCCATGATGGAATTAATTGGAGCATTCCCCCCCCCCCTCTCTCTCTCTCCTTGTTTTTCAGAAACCAATGTTTTTTTTTACAATGGATTAATTTGTAAATCAATTGTAGATCTTCAGTAATTTTGTTCTTTTTCAAATTGCAAAAAGAGTTATACATTAATGAAAACCATATCATTATTACTTTGCGTATATCAATGTTGCTCTATGACCTGTCCATCTAAATTTGGGCATCCCAAGCTTATTCGGATATCAAAGAGGCTCACGCCAGAGTGTAGGCTGAAGGGGGTCATATTTATAAAGGAAATTGATCAATATGGTGAATAAGCACGTGTCTTCTCGAGCCTCCATACTCTCTGGGGGAATGTCAATAAGAAAATGATGGTCTATAATTACCTTCACATAAATCCAAAGGTCACTGAGTTGCTTCGAATATGTATTGGTCTGTCCTTGTGCCTTCGGGGCTGTCTTGGTGCAAATTCCCGCGATGATCGATGCAAAAATAATAAGATTAATCAGAAGAAAGAAGGCTATTGGAATTCCAAACATATACAGAATCGCTAATCCATCACCAATCCAACAACTCCCTTGCCCATAGGACAAATTAAAGTTACGAATATTGAAGCCAGTGAAGAATAGACACATGCAGGGGATCATTATGAGTAGAGGAGACATCCAAGCGAAGACTAGGAAGTACGACAGAATTGCAGCGCCCTCATTAAATTTTGTTTGACGAACATTCACAGTAACACCAAAGCGTCTATGGAGATCAACAGCAAGGGCAGACGTATGAGAAAAGACAACGAGCCACATGTAGTGTCCAATGATGGCAACTGTAATACATGTACCGGGAATCATATCAGACACGCCGCTTACCGAGAGAAGGGTATGGGCAATTATCAAGGAAACAGAAAGACTCATGATGAGTACACTAAAGGTTGTCTTTCGCATGTCCTTGAAACAACCATACGTAGCTATAGTCAGCAACAGGGCTATAATCGATAAGCAAGATCCAGTAGCACTAAGAACAGCCTGTGTTTGAGAATAGTTTAGGAACCTTTGCGATTCCGTTTTGATAAAATTACAAACTTGGACGCTATGGTTGCCTATTTTGGTGAATTCGCCAGATGGGAAACTTATGTTTTCTATAATGTATAGCAGTGATCCATCATGCATTTCTTTAAATAACGATGCATTGAGCGTGAGCAGTGGACATGACTCAAAATTAGTAAAGTTGCATACGTAGATGTACTCATCTTTGGTGTAAGACTCTGTTGACATGTCAAGTGTGTGCGTAATATAGTAGGTTGAATTATAAAGAGAGAAATCGGGATTCTCAAAGTTTATACCGCTCGTCATATTGTCAAAATAGGGTTTGGGGTTTGAAACTGTGGCTTGATTTGGACAGTAATCCATTTCAGACAAACAGCCATAGGTTACTTGAAATCTAGAAATCTGACAATAGAATGACGATAAAGAAATACCAGCAGGTTTACTAGTAGAGAAAAACAAATTGAGTTTTGCAAAGAAGTTACCTTCCAGATATCCTGAGATATTGACTCCTCGAGTACATTTTGTTTCATTACCATCGACATAATATGGAGTCATCACTTGTATCCGATCTACGGTCAATTCCTGGGTCAAATTAAAAATCTCATCTAAAGCAGAATGCAGTTCATCTGCAAGTAAAAAAGACGGAAGACATTGATCATTCAGTTTGGAAAGCCAGTCAATGCATTCAATGCTGATATTAGTTGGGAGATTAGTAGCACCACGACAATCTTTGTCAGTGGTATGAAGGGGATCGGCTCTGATGCAAGATTGTTGCTCGTCCAGTATAAAACCCTTAGGACAAGTCAGATTTACACATGTGAGGGTTTCTGAGTCAAAACGTTGATCAACTCTACATGACACCGGTGACCTAAAATCCCTAAAATCCCTAAAATCAAGCAATAAAGATATAGAGTTGAAACTAGGCGCATCTCCTCGAATAAAGCAGGAGGAATCCGTTAAAATACTGAGGCATCGATCTGGAAAAGGAATAACAGGGCAGGATCTTTCAATACTGCTCTCTAATTCCGGAGCCTTCGTAAACCACTTTTCGCATTGTTCGATAATGAACGCTACTTTCCTTTCGAACGTAAATTCCTCATCGAAGCTAATTGTCCCGGAACAGCACGCTACTAAGACCCAAGGAATAAGGTCCTGTGTGTCTTTACCATTACATATAGCACAATACACATTCTTGAAGGTTATTTCACGCATGAAGTCAACTGGTATGAACTGATAGGGACTTTGAAGGTCGGCATCTCTTTCACATTCAAACCTGACGTCATCTCGAGTCCATGAGCTCGGACAACTACTGACGAATTGGTAGTACCCGCATGATGGTGATCCTGGTGCCCTGATGCAGGTTACTTGCTCATGGTTGATTCCAACGATAGTTTCGGGAACAGGATAATCAAGGGTACCGTTAGAAGTGCAAGATAGTGCGTAATCAATGCAACAGTCGTTGTAGAAGACACAGCGAGGATCACAGTGACATGCAAGATGAAAGTCCAGATAGGTCTGTCCACATGAGATAGAAGTTTCCCCATAACTGCAGAAAGCCGTTAACGGGCTGAGAGGCCATCCGGAGACGGTTCTGTTCACATTTTCAGTAGAGCCTTTAAGGGAGACAAATAAGATGAGAATCGAATAGATTGTCGTAATCCTGTATTATTTATAACGATTGCATGATCTCAATTCCTAAACCGTGGATCATAGGATCAGCTAGGTACGTACTGTAATATCTTTTATCTTTGATCCGATTGTTCCTACTTCCAGTTAGTCATAATATGTCTCATTTACGTTAGGGATAGTACATCCCGTTGTTAACCTATCCAAGAAGAAGCAAGTGCTACGTTTAGGCACCTGGAATGTGTTTTTTTGTGGTCGCCAATCGCCAGCAACTGACGGTGGCAGCCAGGTAGCCAGGTAGGTAGTACTAGTGTTAAGTTTATTGTTTAAGGCTTTCGCTTTCGTGGTTTTCATGCTACTTACAGGACGTAGGATCACCATGGGACCAATCGGTCCTGGAGCTTAGGTACTAGACTTTGCTTCTCAATGAATTCTACATCCTATATCACTTCGTAGGGTAATTACCACTCACATCTCGCAATCTGTGATAGTGTTGTTTTGTTAAGAAAAAATTTAAAATATGATGACACTCTATAAATCATATTTGTTCTTGCTTGCTAAATTTGAGGCAATTTTTCAAAGGTTGTCTCAACGAGAAACTGGTATTTTTTTAAGTTGATGCGTGTGAGGGTAATCACATAATCAATTTGCAAGATGTATTAGTTTTTTTAAGAGTCTAAAATTAGAAGGTTAAATACTTTTAAATAGATGAATCGGTATTGTAACTTAAACTTCAACTCTATTATTGTATTTTCTCGTGTTTTAAACAAAAAACAGCAATGTTTTTTGCAAAAATCAACATTTTGACCTTGAATTTTGATTAACCTAGCCAAATTATATTTCTCGCTCATTATTTCACGCTTGATATGTCTCAAACGAGATTGACATTATTACTTACGTTTTTTAAATGATAATTTCCCTCGAGATATTATCCATGCCTTATTGTTACACTGACGATGTTAGGTATCTAGTAACATTAAATTAATGCACGGGCTTTTGATACGTGAAAAAAAATTTAATATCTCAAATTGATTCAATCTTACCAAAACCAGCCGGGAGGTCCCTGCCGAAACGAAGTTGATGAGAACTTTGGATAAAAGTCGAAATGATCATTAACAGATGAAGCAAAACTCTGTTTTGTGTATTTGTATTCATCCTTCCACTGAGCATTTTGCTAAAAATTCAAAATATTTTTGAAGTTATTATCATCGATGGCAGGAGCAATCAAAAGTACGTCTTTTCCGTATTGTTGGCTGTGGAAAAATCAAGGAAATCATGAATATGGTCGACTATACGAATTTTCATCAAATCCACTTAAATATAGAAATGCGCAATGATTTTGATATAAATATGACTATGAGTTTACAGAGTATGTACTTTGGGGAAATATGTATTTGTGCTGTGTAAACATTCCCCTTTTGCAAGGTCGTACGTCGGTTTTGCAGATTTTATTCACAAGATTAAAAAAATCATCAAAGTGCACATGTCGAAATTCCCTCTGTACAAATAAAAAGAAACCTCAACAATGGCGTTTCCTGTTTCAACTAAACATGCATTGTTAGCGTTAACCTGAAAGAGGAAACGCACTCGTTGGGTTTTCTTTTTCCTTGTACTGTAGGAGTTTCGACATAATTATGTACAAATAAAGAAAAACCTCAACGAGGACGTTTCCTGATTCAGCTAAATTGTAACAAATAAACAATAATATAAAAGTTAAACCTACATAATTATATGGGAGCACAGTAGAAAGGAGTGATATTCAATGTACATGTTTCTGTGCTCCCATATACCTGTAAAGTAGGTTTCACTTTCATATTGTGATGAGTTGTTGTTAATAAATTCAAATTCAAATTCAAATTCAATTTTTTTTTATAGAGAGAGCACAGTGATGATTTTTATTTTAATATGGGGAATGCATCTGCAACACCTAGGGAACCATGTATAGAGTTAATGTTTACCCAGCACAAATACATATTTGGAAGGAATGATATTGAATGTACATGTTTACTTGTTAAAATTTAGCTGAAACAGGAAACGGGGGTTGGGGGAGGGGCTGGATACAAATTGTAATTTATAATTAAAGTATAATAAAGTTATATTTTATTTTTGTGATTTTGTTTTTTTGTTTCAAGTATTTTCTTAAAGATATTTAAATCTTTCATTTTTAACAATGTGCATGGACTTGCTGAAAAGCAGTCTGTTTTGACCGACTGTGAGTTTTAACGTGAATAAATAAATAGAATACACATACAATACAATACAAACAGAACGGACAAGCCGGAATATTCATGTATGACATAGGGTTAAACGCGAGGACATACTTAACTTGTAAAGCACTTTATGTTTAATTGTGGAAGATTTTCTGTATTATTTATTCTTCAAATGCAAACAGATCCCATTTGGCTCTGAAAGGACTACCCCCCCCCCTCTCGCCCTCTCTCTATCTTCCTTCTCTATTTCTGCCTCTCTCTCTCTCTCTTTCTCTCTCTCTCTCTCTCTCTCTCTCTCTCTCTATCTCTGCCTCTCTCTATATATTATATGTGCGTCTCTATCTCTCTTCCCTCTCTCGCTCCATGTTGTACCATCTCCCTCCTCTCCCTCTTTATCCCTCTCTTTCAATTCATTGTACTTTATTTCCATAAATTTACATCACATGTGATAAATTAATTAAGATATTATCACAAAGCATGGATTCTTTCTACTAAATTTTAATTCTATCAATGGTAAAATACATGTATCACCGATTCCAATTAGATTTTCATTTTATTTGGACGATCTGTATACTACTATCAACAGATCAATTATGCCTCAAAGGAAATACGGGTATACAACGACCTCAAAACAAAACCTTTATTTAAGGCCGGGATTTAAGGGCGATGCAACCGTTATTATATTTTTCTTTTTCGGATAGGCACTTTACCATGTCAAATTTATTGGAAAACGATTGAAAGAAAATGATTATGAATTCATTCCCTACAAACTATCTTTAAATAAGAAATATAAGTAGCATGAGTAAAATGTATGTCTCTCTGTCTCCCTCTCTCTTTATCTTTCTCTCACTCCAGTTGTCTGTGCGTCTCTCTCTCAATTCTGTCTCCTTTCCCTCTCATTTCGTCAGGGGAAAAAGGCCTACATGTATTTCCTTTTATTTTTCCTTTAACCCCCCCCCCCCCCTCATCTCTCCTTCTCTCCCTCCCCCTCTCTCTCTCTCTTTCTCTCTCTCTCCAGCCCTGTCTCATCACAACTTTTGGCTTAAAGAAGAAACACATTAGAAAAACAAGAGATAAGTTCTTCTTTTCTTTTGTAAGAAATGAACAATGAAATATGAACACAGTAACAATGTATGGTAGCACAATCACACTCAACTGCAAAACCATAATTATGGAACCATTAAACATATTGAACACAGACATTTAACATCATGACTCCAATCACAGCACATCTTAAACAATATGTAGATGAATGTTTTGCCAGAGGATGTTGGTGCCATGTACGGCAAGCAGTAAATAGCATGCTTTAATACTCTTTAAATGTACAGGCAAATGACAATCCACTCTTTGAGGGCATATGTTACGAATCATAGCTTTTAGAGTGGGAATCCACTCTCAATTTATTAATAACCATTACTTTAGAGTAGATTCCACTTTAATTTTGGAATGGGTTTACTTGAAAACAAAATGATCTCTACTCTATAATGACTCATAAAAGCATAGATTTGTTACTCCCCTTCATTAGAAGAGTACATACTTTCTCTTGAGAAGAGATAGAAAGGTGTCAAAAATATACAGACATGGTCCTTATAATATACATATTGAAAATAATGATTATTGTTTGTTTTTACACTGTATTCTTATGAATAATTCTTATGTGAAATGTCCTTTGTTATTCGAAGACCAATGGAAGAAGTTTTCTGTTATAATGACAGATGAATCAATAAATTTAATTCAATTAAAAATTAAATGTTCCCACTATAATTGAATTTAGCCTGATTGTTTTTTTTTTAATTTGTGTATTTAAAATCATTAATGAAAATCAGTCTACCGTTAACCTCATCTGCATTTTTACACACATAAAAATTAGGTGTATTAACATTTGTACAATTACGGAACTTAAGATTACTTTTCTCAAAGAAAAAAATCTGGAAAGTTCCTCAAGTCTACAATACCAATGAGGACTAGATCTAGAGCATTTCAGAGAAGCGTTAACTTCTTTACATTTAATTAATACATACAAGTTATTTTGTACAGCATCTGTTTTATTTCATTCTAACACATAATATAAGAACCATCTAAGAAAATGCTTCAACCAACAACACAATAAAGATTGCACACACAAATGATTTAAATTACAATAATACACATGTAGAAATTCAAGGTTTCACTCCTTCAACACATGAAGTTCAAGGTAATCAACTGGATTTCAATAAGAGACAGTACCAATTCTGTAGAGAATTATAGCTGATATACCACACATTCTTATCATTCAATGTTTAAGGTCAATTAGAAAAGCAATGCCATGTATTATTATCATTATTCTTATTCCTGTTGAAAATCTAAGCATTCATTTTGAACTTCAAAGAAAGAGGATGTGCTTTTCAATAATAGCATCTACCGGTACTTTAAAAAGCTTATAAACTTTTGACAACACGAGTTGCAAAATAAGACGAAGAGGTTACATGTTAAGCATTATTATAAAGATTATATTGTCTGTTTAGAGCCAAAAGAGCACTAACACAGAGTTAATGTCCTTCTGGCTCTGTACCAATGATAAAGTGTTGCTGATGGTATGGAATCAATCTAAAATCACACCCCTACTTAACATAATAAGCATTATATTTAATGTGCGTATTTATACCAAGATACATATCAAACTCTTATCATACTTTACTGAAAAGAGTTATTGTTTTACTTTCTTTATTTGATAAAATCCTCCCTGAAGAAAAATCTTCAGAAAAAAAAAATTGGGTATGGAATTTGTCACAAGATCCGATAAATACATTGTTAATGAAAGATACTGATTGTTAAATTGTCAAACATTTTGATGGATGCAAGATGGATATCTTTCAAAGAATATCATATCGAAGGGTCAGTGACACAAAGACATAACTCCTTTTCGGCCATTTTGAGAAAAAGTGGTTTATGTGTCACTGAGCACTTGGGCCGTAAGGAGTTAAGTCTATGTTTCACTAGCCATCGACTTCAATGGGGTGTTGGGTGGAGTTAAGTCTTTGTGTTTCCTGGAAGGCCCACATTTTTCTGAACATTTTGATACCAAATACTCATTATGGCAATATATGGAGTTACGTCTTTGTGTCGATGAACCCTCGATATGGGCAAATTATTTGTGGTGATAACAATATCACGGATGAACGGAACTATCTGCAATACTCCCTTCTAATTTTTCACCTGTTTCATAATTCAAATCAAGTAGAGGGCATGAAAACTAACATAAATTAATTAACAGTACTGATATGTGGAAGGAAGTTGATATCTACATGTTAAAATAAGCTGGACGGCATTGCGGCAAGGATTAGATTAAAAAGCGTTCATCAACCAACGTCTTTCTTGCCACGTTACTTCTTCCGAAACTGTCCCGAATCTTGATTATAATCTGTATTCAAAATTAAGAGGAAACAAGAAAATGTATTGTGTCAAAAAATGTTCATGTGTTCCTGTTCATATTTGGAATACAGATAAAAGCCTTAAATCTACTCTGTAATGTAAAGACTAGTTCCATTGAAAGTAAAATTCTAAAAAAGAAAAAAAAATCCTTTTTCTTCCTTTTTTGGTATATATCTACTTCCGATAGCTTGCGTCGAGACAGAACATACGTACGAACAACCAGAAAAAATAATGCCTCTGGCTACTTTGTAGCGAAGGCATACAAAGAATTAAATCTAAGTATTTAATTAATTAAATCCTAAAAACTGTCAACCATAACTATTGATACATCAAGGTAAAAAAGTAAGTTAGTCAACTTTTCAAAGAAAAAATGTAAGATTTTTTTGGCGAGAGGGAGAATGGCATTAACTGAGAGATATAAGTAAGAGCTCTTTTTGCTCTCAATATACATTCGACCTGTCCGTATCTTATCATTAGGTTGAGAATGTGTAAGTCATCATGCAAACTGGATGTTACACAGATGGAAACAAGTATTAAATAATTTTGTTGATATATAGAAAGCTGTCAATCTTACCATACTGGTGATGTAGGTGATAGCTCCAGCTAAGACATAGTTGGTAAAGATGAGATCTACGATACAGAAGAGAAGAAGCTCAAACACCAGGAGAGTAGCTTCATGGCCGTAGAAGATAGCTTTCTGGAAAGCATGACCGTCATCTAGCAAATATAGCAGAAAACTCCTTTAGCCAATTGACTACTGAATTTAGTCAATTCCATAGGCTTAATACATGAACCACCCAAGTTGACCCAACTCCCATAGGTCATGGGTTAGCAGGGTTCTTGTTAATAGCCAGCAACCGGCTATTTTTTCCGGCTGTAACGGCAATCGTAGCCGGCTGTAAGCCTCTCCAAAAAAAAATAATAATAATACAAAAATCACATCATATTCGGTCAAGTCGCTATCTCAAACCCTGCTGGTCTTCAGACTGTCGGGCTGAGCATTCCCAGCCCCGGACTATGGCACAAATTGGGTCATCCTGATAAACAGAGACCACTAATAAACAACATAAAACATGTCTTATTATTCCTCATCTGAACTTGATATCATGATTAACCTTGCAAAGTTACTCTGTGAAGATAGCTGATCTGTGACGTGTTTATATATGCCTTAGCTTTGCAATGCAATGTTTGCACATGGTCAGGGAGAGAGCTCCCTGCATGTATCATTGCCATATGAAATTATGTGGAAGTGTGTATCACACACACCCAAGACACACCCTGCAATGAGCTGATCCAAGTTAGTGACCAATGAGGAAGGTTCTCTAGCTATGTGGGTGGAGTTTGATACCAGCATAAATTACAGGTTGGTGACCGCGCGTGCTTTCACCGTACCCAGTTCAGTGGGAGGTCAAGAAGCCACGCCCACAAGTGTGCATGTGACAAGCATGAGCTCTCCATCTGTGTGTATGTACAGTGTATTTGGGCGCCGGAGGTTTGTGTGTACATGTGTGTGTGACTGAGAGAGCACGCATGGGCTAGCATGTCCCTGCATGTCCCTGCATGGACGAGGCAGGGACATGAGTAAGACAAGTAAGACAAGTGAGACTCGATAGAAAGGATGGCTGTGTTAATCGGCTGAATTGAAGAATGATCAAAAACTTAAATTACTCACAATATCCAAGACTTTGTTGATTGATATTTCTAAAAATTCAATTATTATTGTTATCAATATTTTTGTATTTTATTTATATATGAACATTATTTTAGGGGGCGAGTCGGCCGGCAAGGGATGGATATTAATATTGAGAGAGAGAGAGAGACTCGGGGGAGAAGGGATGTGAGAGGAACTGACCATCGAATGTGTAAACATTTAGAAAGTTGTGAGCTGATAGTGCAGTAATAAGAAAAGGTACATGAGCGATGAACACATTGCAGAGAGAAGGGAATAAAGAGGGTGAGAAAAGAGAGAAGGGGGCTGGTTGTTTTATTGTTTACAAATTCATTCATGGGAATTACTGCTGCCAGAAAGCTGGCGCGCAGCGGCCAGGGTGTAACATTACACTGCGGTTTCTTTGATTATCTTTATCATCGGCTATTAGCACATTCCAAAATGTATGCAAATAACGGTTAACCGGAGCGAGAAATGCTAAACGGTTTTGATGAATGCGGTCGGATAACCGTCGGTTAAACGGTTTGACTCAGGCCTAGTGTGAAACTGTGATTGATTTGGCGATGCACGATTCGATTCAGAATACGAGCGCTGCACAACCGGTGCGGCACGCTATACACATACACTGTCACAGAGACTAGACCGTAGACGTACGTTCGTAAACAAGCTCAAGCCAGCGAACTCCGCTCGCAATAATTTAAAGAGGCCAGCTCCAGAGCTCGCTCTGCGTCCAAATGATCACCCGCATTGGCATTGCTATTTATACTTCGTAATCCTAAGTTAGATCTACCGTATTGTGAATAAAAAATGAAAATTTGTACTCATACATGTATGTACTCAGAACTTTGTCCAACACCGATATAATCCTTATATCTATTTGATAATTGTTTCAATACAACAACAAAAAGGTTTTTTTCTGGATCTTTTCTTTTCGTGTTGTAACATTTTTACTTTTACTTTTAGCGATCTATTTTACCGATTCGAAAAACAGAGGTGGCATATTGCATATAAACGTTAAGCGCATGGCGATTGGAAGAAAAGTACCGAAAACTATTTTTTTTTCGTAGGCCTAGAGTCTATAGAAATAATTATTAATTATTATTTTTTTAATTTTTTATCGCAAACGATTTTCTTCACTGACAAGGTCCTGTAAACGTCAGTTAACCGTTTTTGCCCAGGACTACCTTGTATCATTATCATGTAATTCAAAATTGTAGATTCATCACAAATATGATTGATTTATCAGAAACAATAATGGAGCATTTTCATTTCATATTGTATATCATATGAAAAGTAAGTTATTCAGCCAAAATATTCATGATCTTTATCATTAAACTATGGCTCATACAGTGTGGTCATATCTTCAAAAATAAGGCTAAGATAGCACCAGAGAGCATCTAAAACCCTAAAGCTTCCAGGGCCCTTGGGCGGGCCCTGGACCCCGGCCGCAAGGGACTTCGCGCTTCGCGCTCGTGATGTGCGCTACGCGCACAGAGATTTTTCTTTTGCAATTTTAGTAGCCTCCTGTAAATCATAAATAGCCTGCTATCAGAAAAATTAACAAGAACCCTGGGTTAGTCAGCTTAAAAATCATAAATTAATCCCCTAAAGACCACTATATCGTCGGTGGGGTGACAAAACCTTGTATCTCAAAAATCATGAATTTTCAGGAGAGCGAAAACACTTTCCTGTCTCAACAAATTTAGTGCTGTGACACCGTCCTTTCTTTTTAAAACTGGAATATTTATACAATTTTTAATGTCATCGTTGAAATACAGTAAAATATTTGTTTTTACATTTGAAAGTGAGTTACGAGGTTTTTGCGTTTATCTACATTGAGATACAAGTTTTTAGTTTTTATTCAAATTGAGATACGAGTTCTTACTTTCAACTCTGAGTAAGTTACGAGGAAAGGGGATTACATATCTTATGTTATGAGGTTTTGTCAGTGCAGCTTCAAAGGGGGTTAAAGTTACAAGGTTTAGTTTAAGGGTGTTTGTGTGGAATTTGTGAAAAAACTGAGAAGGAGGCGTTACATGGATTTATCAGGTGGTGTCGTAGGCCATTAGGTACAAAATTATGCAAAAAAAATCAAAATCTCAAAAATTGAGGTACAAGGTTTTGTTACCCCACCGACAATATGACCTATGACCTCATCACTCCATTATCTCCTAATGATAATGCATACTAGCACCACAACTAATCCTTTCAACACCAAAGGTGATTTCAAGAACCCATATTTTTGATACTTTATATAAACTTCTTGGACAAAGAAAGTTTTTCTTTCTTCTTACAATTAAAAAAAAGATTCAATAGTGGGAAGGTCGATATTACAGAACAATGTTTTCATCTGTATAACAAATGTATAAAACTAAACTATATTTATAATACATAAGGGTTAACTTGGTGGCCCCATATTCAAACAAATTGTTAAGAAGATTCTGCAATGAGGTCACTGAAAATCTTGATTTTCAATGTAAATTAACCTTTCTAACTTCGACTTATTTAGCAGAAAATTTAATCAGTTCATAATTGTATAGGAATACTTGTGATACTTCATGTAGTATTAATTCTGAAGTCTCAAACCCAACAGAAAACCCTAAAACACAATGATTCTCATATCAATTTCAGTGGTGGGGGCATACAAATGAAAGTGATTACTTACCATTAAAAAAGAAACCTTTATCAGTGGGGTCGTAGAATTCCATGTCCAGGATTTTCTCAAACAGAAGCTTATCCTTTACAACATAGTCAACATCTGACATACCCTGAGAGAGTTAAACGAGGAGAAACAAGATAAGTAAAAACAAGAATAATGGCCATCGTCTGACATACCCTGAGAGAGTTGAATGAGGAGAAAGACGATAAGTAAAAACAAAAATAATGGCCATCGTCTGACATACCCTGAGAGAGTTGAACGAGGAGAAAGAAGATAAGTAAAAACAAAAATAATGGCCATCGTCTGACATACCCTGAGAGAGTTGAACGAGGAGAAAGAAGATAAGTAAAAACAAGAATAATGGCCATCGTCTGACATACCCTGAGAGAGTTGAACGAGGAGAAAGAAGATAAGTAAAAACAAGAATAATGGCCATCGTCTGACATACCCTGAGAGAGTTGAATGAGGAGAAAGAAGATAAGTAAAAACAAAAATAATGGCCATCGTCTGACATACCCTGAGAGAGTTGAACGAGGAGAAAGAAGATAAGTAAAAACAAGAATAATGGCCATCGTCTGACATACCCTGAGAGAGTTGAACGAGGAGAAAGAAGATAAGTAAAAACAAAAATAATGGCCATCGTCTGACATACCCTGAGAGAGTTGAACGAGGAGAAAGAAGATAAGTAAAAACAAGAATAATGGCCATCGTCTGACATACCCTGAGAGAGTTGAACGAGGAGAAAGAAGATAAGTAAAAACAAAAATAATGGCCATCGTCTGACATACCCTGAGAGAGTTGAATGAGGAGAAAGAAGATAAGTAAAAACAAAAATAATGGCCATCGTCTGACATACCCTGAGAGAGTTGAATGAGGAGAAACAAGATAAGTAAAAACAAAAATAATGGCCATCGTCTGACATACCCTGAGAGAGTTGAATGAGGAGAAAGAAGATAAGTAAAAACAAAAATAATGGCCATCGTCTGACATACCCTGAGAGAGTTGAATGAGGAGAAAGAAGATAAGTAAAAACAAAAATAATGGCCATCGTCTGACATACCCTGAGAGAGTTGAACGAGGAGAAAGAAGATAAGTAAAAACAAAAATAATGGCCATCGTCTGACATACCCTGAGAGAGTTGAATGAGGAGAAAGAAGATAAGTAAAAACAAAAATAATGGCCATCGTCTGACATACCCTGAGAGAGTTGAACGAGGAGAAAGAAGATAAGTAAAAACAACAATAATGGCCATCGTCTGACATACCCTGAGAGAGTTGAACGAGGAGAAAGAAGATAAGTAAAAACAAAAATAATGGCCATCGTCTGACATACCCTGAGAGAGTTGAACGAGGAGAAAGAAGATAAGTAAAAACAAAAATAATGGCCATCATCTGACATACCCTGAGAGAGTTGAACGAGGAGAAAGAAGATAAGTAAAAACAAAAATAATGGCCATCGTCTGACATACCCTGAGAGAGTTGAACGAGGGAGGAGAAAGAAGATAAGTAAAAACAAAAATAATGACCATCGTCTGACATATCCTGAGAGAGTTGAACGAGGAGAAAGAAGATAAGTAAAAACAAAAATAATGGCCATCGTCTGACATACCCTGAGAGAGTTGAACGAGGAGAAAGAAGATAAGTAAAAACAAGAATAATGGCCATCGTCTGACATACCCTGAGAGAGTTGAACGAGGAGAAAGAAGATAAGTAAAAACAAAAATAATGGCCATCGTCTGACATACCCTGAGAGAGTTGAATGAGGAGAAACAAGATAAGTAAAAACAAGAATAATGGCCATCGTCTGACATACAGTGAGAGAGTTGAATGAGGAGAAACAAGATAAGTAAAAACAACAATAATGGTCAACATCTGCAACCCCTTCCTTGCTTTGGGGGCCATTCCTGCCCAAGGATATCAATAACTCTTTATTTCAGTGCCATATTATCTTTCTCAAAGAACAGTTCCAGCAAATATTTTCTACATAGTTTGACATTTTGTACATTTCAATTAACACCAGGGGGGTGTTTCATCAACTAAAATTGAGGCCCTTAAAATTGGTTCCATCAATTTTAAGATCACTTTTAAGCCGTGAAATGGCTTATAGCAATGAGGTATAGCCTAGAATCTAGACTGAATTAGGTCACTTAATAGAATAGAGCAGATAGTGATGGGGAAGGGACCAAGTTAGTCTTGAAAGTTAGAGATTCAAGTCAACACTTTTTGTAGAGCGAAAGAGTCATACAGTCTAAAATCTAGGATACCAATTGTGTTCTATTCATTTGTTTCTTATGAATGTACCAAAGTACTCACATGATCAATGAATGTAGACAGGAACTTGTTAAGAGAGACGTAAGCTTCACTTATCTTATCATCATTATTACCAGCTCCAGCTCCTGTTTGCAAAGAGAAGTCAGGTCAACATTACCAACCACTGGATATTCAAATGGCCAAATGTAGGTGCTCGTTTTATTTATGTAGTTACAGGGAGTTTACGTAGCATGAACATGTGCTGCTTCTAGGAACATATTACAAAATGAATGTATCCTATTCCTGAAATATATCCAAATACGATATCACCAAACCATATTGAAATTCTAATTGCATTCCATATGAAATGTACTTCTTTTTAATTGAAAAATGTGTTTGGGAAATAGTATACCTCTTGAAGAGAGGCTAGAAAAAATACCTTTATAATGTGCAGCTTTAACAAAAAAATACAATTACTTCAATTATAAAACATTATAGTATCAGCACTTTCTACACGTATATGTTTTTGTTTATTGTTTGTTGTTAATTTTTTCTGTTTAACTTGCATTATATTTCTCTTTTTAAAATATGTATTTTTTTCTTTCTTTATATTTACTTATTTTAATATTATGTATTGTTATTGTTTAATTTTGTATTTTATCTGTTTATTCTAATGTATTTTAATGTCCATGTACAATGTACGGACATGCTGAAAAACAGCTATGCCCAGCGGAAAGCATGTTCTTTAATCACTGTATTTAAATAAATAAACAAACAAACAAATATGTATATCAATTTGAGTTGGCGATCACTAGAGCCAACATTCTACCACAGTAAACAGAATAAAATCTAGAAAGATATTACATACCTCTTGCTGCTCCTGGTGCTCTCTATACAGTAGAGAGAGAGAGAGAGAGAGAAAACAAAGATTGCCATTAATATAGATAATATGAAGTGAAATCTCATTATATAAAAATGTACAAATAAACAAGAACATGTTAACTAACTACTTGATTAGTGATATGCTTCATGCAGACAAAATGCAACTTCTTCGCACTCAATTTCTAAGGCAGAAGTACAACTGTACGTTGACAAAAAGCAGAGGAGGAGAAGACTAACTGATACTTACACTAACAAGATAAAAAATTATATTGGAATAAATGAAATGATAGAATGAAGAGGATCAAATTTATGCAAAAAAAGTTGGTGTACTGAAGGAAAAAAAAGGACAAGAAAAGAAGACAAACACAACAAAAATCTTGACTAATAAAGTATAAAAAGTCAATCAAGAAAGCAGAAAACATATAACCTGAATGTCTGACTATGGATTGTATATAATATCTTACCAATGGGAGCACGATGGAGTTATATCTCTCTCTGAATGTTGAACTAAGAAGCATTTCAAAGGTTTGCTGATCTGTGTTTGGTTCCAACCCTCTCTGTCCAACTAGGTTGTCCTAAAATCACAGATTGAAACAAAAAAGCATATACACATGATTATCTTTATCAATTGATTTTCATCATGATAAGACAAAAAATATTGATCTGCATCCATCTTCTTTTTTCTTCCAAATACTTCTTCTACACAAGGTATTGCATATGTTTGACAATTGAGCAATATCAGAGTCTGCTGTTTTACTGTTTAGAATTACACATACAGTACAAATATGAATCACCTGAACTTGTGTCCAGCTATAACTTAATAAAATGCCCTTGTTATTTAAAACTAAAAGAATAAAAGCATAAAATACGAATTGCATGCAGTCCTGACACATTGCTTTTCTACACTTGTATTAAATATCACTCATTTAATTTCAACTCCATTTTTCTGTTATGGATGAAAATTTTACTTTTACTTGTAATCTTACTTCTTCTCTCTTGAATTGGGTCTTGATTTCTTTCATATTGGTGTCAGCAAATCCATGAACAGAGCGACCATGGATATAGAAACCATAGTTGTTTTGAGAAAGTACAAATACACTGATCTATGATGGAGGCAAAGGAAGGTGGATAAAGAATATTGAAAGTTAAGCCATTGCCTAAAGGTACTGGGGGGTATATCAAGCCAATAGGAAATGTGAAAATTTAGAAGTAAATAAGTCATATCAATTATTTAACAAAATAACATTGGTATAGCTGAAAATAGTTTTTGCTAAGTTGTATATGTAAGTCATATATTTAAGTCATAAGTCATATCAATCATACAAAAATGAAAATTGGGACTTGCAGAAAACCTAGTTTTTCTTCTTATTTAATAATTAATTTATAAAGATCAAAGAACAATCACCATGAACCAGACATAAACAAGATATAGCAGACAACGTGCCTTTGCCAAGGCACTCTTTATACAGAACATATATTATACATCACTAATGACCATTACAAAAAATAAAATGTTACAATTAAATAAAATTTAAAAAATTTAAAAGTCAAAAAGCATTGTAATGGAAATTTTCACTAAATGTGTTTTAATATTGCACACATAAAATGTTTTATATTGATGATTTGCAAAAATAGTTTAAAATCTGCAAAATTTTTTGCTTTTCAAGTAAACATGATTTCAAATTTATGTTAATGTGTGGTCGCATTCTTGATCATTGGTCTTGCATCTTTACAGTATCATATAATCTAATAACCTGATAACTTGATGTAATAATTTGAACTGCTTGAATAGCTATGCTGATGATTCAACTTGAAACAAACTGAACCTTACTCATATTGCAATTAGAAAAAATATTAATGACTAAAAAAATTAAGCCAGCCATTTACTTACATTTGCCATGGAACAGAGATCCACAAAGTTCCTCAGCACATCTTCTACAAACCTCTCATAAATGAGTGTGTAGAATAGCCACTGTCAACAAAGAAAGAAAGAAACTAAAGTTACTTATCTAATGATTTTAGCTGTCAGTATGAAACTAAATATGGTTCAAATCAAATCAAATCAAATCATTTATTTCAAAATTCCAACATCAATTACAAACAATGTGTAAAAAACAGTCAATGGGCAATAAAACATTATAAAACTATGACATTTCAATCAAACGATTAAGAAGATTTATAAAAAAAAACAAGTATAGTATTCAATAAGAAACAAGGTACAGACTACATAAAAAACATAAGAGGATAATTGGAAAATGGTAAACACAACGAAAGCCAGGTTTTTGGCTTGTTAGGGTGTGTTCACCTAGTTTGTGTATTTGTTTGTTTTTATATTATTATTATTTTAAAAAATTGCCATTTGTCAAACAATACATAAAAAATAGAACATGTGAACATAAACATGAAAAACATTATATCAAAAAAACATATAAGAGCATCAAACAGTATGGTATGGTTCTGCAGGATAATTAAGAAAATATATGTAACAAATTAAAAGTTTCTTATAATTGCCTCCTGAATGTATTATTAAATAAAAATATTGAACTGGTCACATTTTACATTATTATAAAGAAGTGGACCCGAATGTCTCGGAGAGTATCTTGAGTAATCATTATTATATGTCCACCGATGAGTTCAACTTATAAAGAATATAATATATACAATACTAAAGCAATGTTTAGACTACTAAAATTACAAATGAAAAAATCTATGTTGATGATTTAACCCATTGCTTACGGGAACCTGGCGGTCCCTGTGTTAAGCCTATGGGAATAAGATAATTCAGTAATCAACAGCTTAATTGATAGTCAAAGAGGGGCAATCAAAATAACATTGAACAATGAATCACGCAATCTGTGAAAGTCAATACACAATATTGATTTCCTCAATATACTATTTTGGGGATGTACACTATTGAGATTAAAAGTCTCAATTCCCCCCCCCCCCCCCCCACCCCCTGAAAAAAAAATGTAAAAAAATCTCCCCTTAGGACTTGTGTTTGAAGACCTAAGAAAAGTAATCAGTGCATCATAAAGGGCTACTTTAAATATATCACACCCTAACATTCTTGAATTAAAGTTGATGATTCAGATCCCCTAACTCCTCTTCTTTTACCTCCCCCCCCCCCTTCTCCCTCTCCTTCCCCTACCCTCCTATCCTTCTCCTCTCCCTCTGTCCTCTCCCCTTCCCTTCCCCTCTCAGACTTCTTCAATCTTCACATCATTTACCTGAATAACTCCAACAAGGATGTACAATCCTGATGCCATTCCAAACCTCAAGATATCTGAATACTCTCCGATGTACTCATCATTGGTTGGGTTCAAACTGCTCTGAGGATCTGTGGTAGTCAGGTTCTTCAGACCCACAACCTGTGGAATGATCAAACACAACTTATTCATTAAATGATGAGCACAATTCATTTGGCTTTAAGAACTATCAAAGGGAATTGGTAACTGCATGGGGACTATAATGCCATACCTATGACGGCTACTAGTGTATTAGACTAGTATATGCAGTAGACTTTATATAACTCTCTTTAGTATCTCAAATAAATCTAGTCATCCGATCGGTCGAAATTGGAGTCAATGATTTTAGCCATGCCTGCCTATAACGGTCAATAGTTAATGAAAAAGATGCCCATTGCCCCGGGTAACGGGCCGCATTGTTAAAATTTGATAATATATCCCCATTGGTTTACGTGTAAAAAGTTTCTTTGAGCGAGCGCGGATACCATATAGTGCAGTGTGTGCGATTCTCGAATGATCGTAACATTCAGGCAACTTTCCAGCGAAGATTTACAGACGTCAGTGTCTCAGATTTTCTGTGATGTTTAAACCAATCTCTACTCAACTTTTTGCGAATTTGGTATACCGGGGTATAAAAGATATATGGACTGCTTTAATATTCGAAGCATGGCTGTTTCTATATGTCTCTCTGGGACGTTACATCCTGCTATGACCCCTCGGCTCGGGTCTATAGCAGGATGTAACGTCCCCTTGAGAATATAGAAACAGCGATGCCTCTCATAGCAGTCCATTACATAACTTGTTCTGCCCAAGGCTAATCTTGCACAAGGTCCTAAAACCACAAGAACACTGCTTTTCATCCACTATAGATACAGCACTTTAGCCATTGTGCCTTGTTCCTCACATGTGAGCCTATTTTTAATACTTCAGTCATATTCATTCATCTCTGTTTCCATACCAAGCAATACTAAAAGTAGATATTTAATTTTCACCAATACTTTGTGATGCAAAACAAATACATTTGTCAGAAAAGTAAATATTTGGTATGCAACATTCAACCACGAAACAAAAGGAGAATATTGTTTAATGTACAAGGTGTAAAGGAGGTAATTTGATCAAACTGACCCATAGACAAATTACACTGTAACCTTTTCATTTCATGAATTCTACCCTGAATAGGAAAAGTATGAATAGTAATATTTTAGACTACTCATCTGTAACAAAGAAAGGTGATAGACATAAATGGCATAATACGTACATATTAAAATTCAATAGGTTTTATGTTTTGTATGTGTTTTTTTTGCTGGTATATTGTATCTCACTAGCATCATGTTACAACCACATTCATTGAGTTATTATCTTGATATTTTTATGAAGTTCTCATAATACTGAGGGTTTTTTTTTTGCTGGTAATTGCAATACCATGGCACAACCATATGCCTTCTATCTTTATTTTGACTATTATGATAATCTCTTGCAAAATGATCTGGGAAAAAAATCTCACATGAGTCCCATGATTATATGAAAGCATTCGTTACCATTAAGGATTGTTCATATTGTGACAAAGGCGTAAAATGCTTCAGATTTCTCTATCTCAAAACACACAGATAAGTGAGTATGAGTAGAACCTTTGTTCCGCACTATATTCACTCCTACCTGCCATTCATTTTACATGTAAATTGAAAAACAAAAACAAAAACAAAAAACCATGAAATGCCCGGTTTCTTGCCCCATGGGGGAAAGCGAGCCTTAAAGATGAAGTTGAGTTCTGGTCATGCGATTGCATTGTGAAAGAAACGGTGTGGAATCGACCAGAAAAGGTTGATCATCTAGCATATAAGAATTTGTGTGTATTGCAAGGTTCTGGAATCATCAAAATGATAAGAAATTTGACCAAGTCTTGGTAAAGTTACAAACACTGTACACAGAAAGATGTATATGGAACTACCCGGACACGTGGCGTAAAAATCCTACCCACGAGTTTTACGATGTTATATGACATTATAAAGGCATTTGACGAGCCATGCTTTTCAGGGAACATGGCTTATCTGATGTTCTTCCACACTTGCATAATAAGAATGATAACGCTCACAAATTATTTTTCACCTCTTCCCAGAACTCAATCTTTTCTATAAACCTTGGATCCTTGCAACTTTCTTCAGGATATTTCTGCTTAAAGTGCTTTAACTCACCTCCAGAAAGAAGAGCACCGCCATGATCTGAAGAACAGGATTGGATCTCCTCATTTCCTAGGATGAAAAAGATGAAAAGAAGAGTTTATGACAACTTGCCAAAAAGACAAGCAAGAAAATCTCCTGCCCAAAATTTTACAGAAAAAGTCCTTTAATCGACTTCATTTGTTACATATGTAGGTAATCAAATAAAATAATTTTCTGTGATACACATAACTGTTAAACAATAGTTTCTCATCCGGTCAAGGATTAGTATTACCCATGCTTGCACCTGCTAGCACAGAGCACGTGTAAAACACTGATATTTGTAAAGCTTCTCTTAAAGGTATGATGTCCCATTTGCAGGCCCAAAAAATAAAAAGGTTAAATTCCAACGGCATTTGAAAGATAATATTAATTTAGAACATCCCTAAAAAAGTGGGGCTTGAAAATGTCTTTTAGTGGGAAAATAATGACTATTAGTTGTCAAATCAGCTTAGGAGCTATAGAGCCAGTAAGTCATAGTCTGATTTTCAGACCATCATACCGAATGGTTGTACGTTTTATGCTGCGCAAAGATTCAATCAGTTAAATTTTGGCCATTACAAGAAGTGGGTTATTGATGTAGACAAATGTACCCTTTACAGCTCATTTAATGTATGTTATTACCAAAGAAGAAAAAAAAGCCAGTCAATAGTGTCTGACAGTGAAGTCTAGAAAGTTAACAGGTTTCCTTGCATAATTTGAATATTAGGACACTGCTAACGTTTAAATTTCACAGATGTTGGGACATCCATGACATATTCATAATTCCTGCAAAGTTTTACAGAATTTGATGGTGGCTGCAAAAGGGACATAGTACTTTAAAAATACAGATTCGTTTCCCTAGCCTCCCTTCATTTGTACCAGTATATACCGAGTCATATTTCTATGTCTGCTGATCATTATCACGGTTGTATTTTTGAAAGTTCACAAGGAATCAGCACTTGGGGCTAACTTGTAGCTCAAGATATACCCATGGTTTACATTATTTCCCATACCATGCAGATAGGCAGTTTTCCAAATCCAATTTTGCTAAGACATTATTCTAATATGAATACATGGAATGAAAAATTTAACAAGATAATATCACTCGTGAAATCATACATACACTGCACATACCTGCCAACATTTGAAAATAAGAATTAGGAATTTTTAGCACAGTATATGCCTTCAAAAATAAGAAATTGCACTTGCAGCGGCAGTGTAACTGGCAATACGTGGTAAATCTGTACCAAAAAGCGAATACAAATTCGCTGCTCAATCATGCAGCCATTCAACGCACACAATACGTGAACTATCAAATCGCGGAACATGATAAAACAAGCTTAATTTGGCTTTAATTAGCACCAAAAAACAAAAAAACAAAAAATCTGAATTTTATGAATTTTCAGGTCCTAAAAATCCAGAAAATCAGCATATTCCTGATTATTCAAAAGGGTTGGCAGGTATGCTGTAAATGTACTTCATTCATGCGCTTGTATTAAACTTTGAAGGAAAACCGATCTACAGAATTGTACTGTAGAATTACAATTAATGCCCTTTACTGTCCACATTGTTTGCAACAAAGTGAAATACATAGGATTGGAAGGGCAGGAAACTGAGGTTACAATATTGAGAATATAACAGGATATGGACAGGATGTGCTTTTCTGCAGGTATGAACTTTCTCTCTCTCTCTCTCTCTCTCTCTTTCTCTCTTTAAGTACCATATCGATTGACTTTGGTGATCATGCTGTTCAACAACCCTTGGTTCCTAGCCTTCTTTATTGGCACCACTTCCAGTTCTTTCACTCCCCTCTCCTCCAACAATTTCGACTGTCCATCCAAAGTATCCTCCTTCTTACCCTATTCCTTCTTCCCAAAATTTACCCTGTCAAAGCAAGATTCTCTAGGCATTCTTTATGTGTAATGTGACCCATGAACTTCAACTGCCTAATCAACATGTCACGTATCATACTCCAGGTATGAACATCATATCAAGGTCAATTTAATCAACCAATCATGCCTTCTAAACACAACTTGACAAGCACTTAACAGACAACTTCTATACAAATACATGATGTTCTGACACTTCCAAAACTTTGGTGGTCAAATTAAAAACAGGTTCCTGTTCTAGATGCAGTTTTTTTATCGGATGTGCAGGATGCATACACAGGAAGAACGATACAGATTGCGGTCAAGCGGTCATAGAGAAATTCAGGAGTCATACAGAGTATCCTACCTAAGCTACTAATGTACTTAAAGCTTGTGAGGAAAGGTATTCATACAGTGACTGGCCACCAGACAACATCATTCTGAAATCTTTAAAAGACTCTAAATCATTTCTAATTCTAGCTGGAAAAAGGAAAATAGATCTGTGTTGCAGAAATCATCTGTGTATGCTCACGAATGGGTAAGAAAGAAAATATTTTGAACGATTGACTTAACCCTATCTAGAGGGAGGGGGCTTTAAAAGCCCCCCTCTACATTTTTTTTGATAATTTTTTAATGCCAAAAAATCTTGCGCTGAGATTTTATGACTTTTTTTTTTTTAGTCTTGCACACCTTTTGAAATAATTTTTTTCCTCGAAAATCAGATTTACCTTTACAAAGTCATGTGACCTTTTGTCTTTGCATGTCAGCCCGAAAGTCGCTCATTTTCGTGATTTGTGTACAAAATATATGGAAATCTTATTTCTTAAAAAAAGAGATAAAACATTGGTTATTTGGTCTTGTTTATAGTTTAGGTGTTTATTTGGGGAGTCAAAATAGGTGAATTATAGTTATAATTAAAATAAAACAACTAAAACAATAAAATACATAAATTAAAAAAAACTTAGAAATACATCATTTAAAAAAATCTAAGAAATACATATGAAATTATCAAATCAATAGAATTAGATAACATAAGGAATAACCTGGTTCTTCCAATTTTTTTTTTGGTATTATTATCCCAAATGGTATGAAGGATATATGTAGTGAAAACTTCATTCAACACCCCCCCCCCCCCCCCCCCCCCCCCCCCCCCCCCCCCGGGCTATATGCAGTAAACAAAATAGCCCGGGGGGTGTTTCATAAGGCTGTGTGTAAAGTTACAAATGACTTTACAAATTATTTGAATATGAAGCTAGAGCTAAATGGGATGCCCAAATTTTTTCCTGTCATTTTTACAAAGTGTGACTGTATTTCCCATTAAATTGTAGCCACAAATACACTTTGCATTCAAATGTTTTGTTAATAATAAGGTTAATATACATCTGCATATTTCAACTTTAGCTTATAAATGCAATTAAAAGGATTTGAGAATCCTGTTTAGCTCTTCATATTCAAGTCATTTGTGAAGTCATGCATAACTTTATGCACAGCTTTATGAAACACCCCCCTAGCTAGATAAGGTTACGAATGATGATTTGGAATATTTTCAATATACAAATATTTGAACGACTATTAATAATTTGTGTGTAATTTATAATTTTGACACATTTTTCTGTGTACTTCTTTTCTTAAGGAATACCTGCCAGTGCCCGCATGTGAAACATCATGGAATCCTTGACAACAGACATAATAGGGAGCATGTTGAATGTTACTACCACTGCAGAACCAACCATACCCTTGATCTACACCAGTCAATTACATGTCACAATCATCGCCTCTTTGGGGATCACCATAGGAATACTTGGTATGATAGGTAACTTATTGGTGCTCCTGGCTGTCTCTCTCTCCAAGGACCTCCAGAACTCCACCAATGTTTTTGTGGTGAGTCTCTCTATATCTGATTTCATCTCATCTGTCGCTCTGCCATTCCAAGGCATCTCGGTGCTCTCTGAGTCTGGATGGCCTTTCGGGAAAGGGATGTGTGATCTGATGGGAACGATATTCCTCTGGTCAAACTCAACCAGCATCCTGACTCTAACTGCAATCGCAGTCAACCGTTACATTATCATCACTAAGGGTAAGAGAGTACAACAGAAGATCTACACACACTGTGGAAATGCCTTCATGGTAGCACTGCTGTGGCTGTTACCATTTCTAGTTGTGGTAATGCCTCAGCTGATTCCCGCAACAGGAGGTATAGTGTATGATCCCAACTTCAGATCCTGTCTGTGGGATTTGGAACATCCTTTAGCCATCGTCTTTCAAAGTATAGCCTCGGTCATCTTTACCGGTTGCATCTTCATCATATTCTTCTGCTACATTGGAATCTACCGCTTTGTCCGGGGACATGTCATCAACACACGCAGCAGGCTGAGAGAATCTCGATGCAACATGGCAATCAATGAAAGAACCAACAAGGAGTCATCACGGAAGGGTCCAAGCGTCAAACAGATCAATATCACCAAAAATTTGGCTCTTGTTGTGGTGGTCTGCTTCATCTGTGTTTTACCTTACACACTGAATCTGTTTTCAACATTCTATGGCTTACACACAGCCTATCTAGCCGTTCTTGCGGTTCTCCCTAACTGTTTGAACCCTATGATTTACGCAGCGCGGCATCCCACCTTCAAGGTAATCTTCAAAAGCATGTTTACATGCAGGTTTCACAATATTCATCATCCATCGAAATGGCTCAAAACCCTTCTTCACAACGCAGGTTCAGTGAACAGAACTACACAATCAAGCTCTACAGTTTGACGTGTGTCTAATGTGTTCCTTCTTGAAAAAATAAGATCAGATATATCCTTTCTCTCAGGGTGTTCATAGAAATCCACACAAAAAGATGTCTTTGGAAAGAATTGAAGTCCATAGTACATTAGCAGAGTGGGTTGTACGATATTCTGAAGTCACTGTGTAATGTAATCTACCAGTACTTGGATGCATATATGCTACCGGGAAAATTATGCATTGTCTGTTTCGCAAACATGTGGATGCTTGTAAGATTGTTTTTTAATATATTTATCTCATCAAACTTCCATATTACTTTTTCTCAGGATCTATGTGAAAATATTGCTTTTGATATGCCTAAAATACACAATTTACACGTAATGTCCCATTGAGGAATGTTTCATGAGATAATCTTTGCCATGGACAAATTGGCATTGCAATAAAATTAGGAATACCAGTAAAGAGTTTTATAGGTCAACAGATGAAACGTTAATGGACAAAGGTACATTATATGAATTTTCATTGCTTTAAGATTATTCTTTGAATATTCACCCTATGAAATGAATGTATCAAAAACTGTAACAAGTAGTTAGAGCTACCTCCCTCCAAGCAATTACTAAGCATCCTAAACTGTACACTTACACTAAAGATTGCACAAGTTTTTGCAAAAAGATAGGAAATCCAACACCATTATTATATCGTTTTGACTGAAAAGCATTACATTTTTCAGTTACATATATTGTAGTAATTGTACCATCATTTACAAAGACCATATTGGTCTTTGTAGTGCTGTAGTGTAACCATACATGCTCTTTCCATTATTTCCTTATTCAGTAACTGTTTCTTTTAAGTTTGGTCTTGTCTCTCGTAATTATCAGGCTAATGGACTTCTTATATCACAATACCTCATTTTTTTTTACACTAAACTTACAAATATAATACATTGTTTATCTAATTTAGAGATTATTGTGTCTATACCCTAATACCCTTTTCCCACTGAACATCTATTTTAATTTCATTTTATCTTATATGCAATTATACTACCGCATGTGGCACTAAAATCTTCATATATAATGTAAATTTGTTATATAACCATTTTCATGTTTTGAATAGAAACTGAAATTCAACTCAAGATTGCAATAAAATATACAAATGAATGTGACTAGCTTGCCTCAATATGTTTTCTATAAATATTTAAACGACACAGATCTGTAATTGGATATTTAAATGTGATCTCATAGATGATATGCTGCCACAAACATGTATATTGTCTGATTATTTCTCCTTTATAAATCATACCAATCGAACAAGAAGCAGAGAAAATAGCACCCTCAAAGTAACCAAATCAAAACTTTGGGGTAACAACAGTCTATTTCCACATTTTACTGACTTCCAGGACAGCTATAGAGTGGTGAAGTGTGACGTCATCAAAAATATAATTTTAGAATTTCTCAATTTTTTCTTCATTTTATCCGAAAAAGCATCAAAAATAATGTCCAAATGTCGAAAACCAATTGAATGTGTTAAGTATTGGCTGAGATATGACCATCTGAATAGATATATGTCGTATGGGAACTCAGTGTTACATGCTCTGGCTCCTAATGGTTAGGAGCCAGAGCATGTAACACCGCGTTCCTATGGGGATCCCTGAAAGGAAAACCATTGCATGCTCACCTGTAGTTCATTCCACTCATTAGCCACAAAGAATGACCTCCAAGCACTGATGGGTGCTACCGAAGCCTTGGTGTTGGATGCTGAGTTGGCCTGCACCATACGACCTCGTGACCTCTCCCAATCAATCAGAAAGATATCTGTACGGCACTGAATTACCAGCAGGTGTATCACGTCTAGTAACTACAGGATCACAGACAAAAATATAAAGATGATGTTGAAAAGATTGTCATGGATTAAAATAATGTATGTGATGAAAATAACATTCGTACTTAGAATAATGCAACAAATTTAGCGCAAAATCTGCGAAAAATTAGAGCAACGTGGACATTATCGTTTACAGTACTCGTAGCTCCATGTCACTGTTTATTAAAATCTTAAACTCTGGAGTCAAAGACATTCGACGCTCATTCACACACGAGAATGTTTTCACTCGACGCTCTTTCACTTGTATGTGAAAAATATTCGTTCAAGATTCATAACATCCAGTAAAAAATGAGGCAAGGATTCACCTTCTCCTATACAAACATAAGGTGAAGATACACTCTGGCCAAACAAAAATACATCAAAGATTCATCATGCTCAGATTAAGATTCAACGTCGAGTTGACGTTGAATGCTTGGCGACCCTTGAGGCCGGGGGGGTTGGTTCAAGAATCCGGTTGACGGGTGCATTAATAGCAAGAAACACCAATTTCATAGCGATTATGAACTTACTTTCAAAACAAATGCTACAATAACATAGATATTGAACGAGCTAGCCTGGCCTGATGTTGGAAGCAGGAGGTATACTTTATCTTGACGCTGTATCAAAAGAGATTTAAACAAAACATGCATAGATTCATTACTATACTAGTGGCTGATAAACAAATAAAGTCTACATACAGAATTCATATCTACAAGGACAACAATATCATTTCTTATAAAATAGTCATCTAGAATTTCTGCAATATATGACAACTTCTCTTGATATATATATATATGATGTATAAAATGCCAACTGTACTATTTACCAAACTGTATAAAAATTGATCGATTACAATTTACAAAACATAGTGTCTGCACCCGCTGTGGCTACTTTTAAGAGAAAACTGAAAGCCCTTCCCATAGAACAAGAGGGCTAATCAACCAAGTATACCAAGTAAGTTAGTATGCTAAAACATCTTTTATGTTTTCAATGTTTAAGTTAAAAGAACAGTAAGACACTTTTGCTTTACTTTCTTTTGCTTTCTGATATACAGGGCTTAAATTAATCCAAGGCCACTAAGGCCATGGCCTTGGATGCCCCCTTGATTGGCCTCAATGCCCCTCCCATTGGCCTTGGAGATTTTTGGTGCCCTTTCCAATTCTTCCTATTTGTGCTGTAATATAGGAATGTGCCCTACAGAAAAGTGGCCTTGCCCTAAAATACTGAAATTTAAAGCCTTGATATATATTTTCTTTTATTAGCTTTCTGTGTGGGTATGATAACTATGTAGCATAACTATACATGGAGAAAATGCGGTGATGCCGAAACCCATCAAGACAATTATCACTTTGAACAAGATCTCATCCAGTATATATTTCTTTTGTTTATCTCGATACATACAAATTTGACAGATGTTTAATGAAAGCACCCCATATATTATTAATGTACCGGGTAGGTCTTCCTGTTTCACAAGGATAAATGGTAATAAACCTCAACAATATTGTTTTGTCTGACTGAAAGAACCCTAGAATTTATAGTAACTTCTGTCACATATCGTTTAAATACAGGTTGTTGTGTATGGAAACTGTTATTTAAAAGATGGAATTGGGCCTTAAGACCTTCTAAAGATAACCTTATTTATAATACTGTCATACATTCTATCATGCATTATATATTCTCCTAGATATTAACTCACCTTAAAGAATAGAGTCCAGTACAATGACGCTCCCACGGTGACAATTAAGAAGGCATCAGCGATAAGACCACAGGCAAACAAGATGAACTTGAACATAGACTGGGAAATAAGAACATCATAACTACCTCATGAATACACCTTTTACATCGTTACTGTAATAGTAGAACAGGAGGATAATTATACCTTGTGAAACTATTCTGAGGTGTATTATAAAACTAAGAGGAGCAAGAAAGAATAATAACAACATAACCAAGCTGTGGGGAATTACATTAAAGGTACAGTATATTATGCTTCTGAAACTAAAGGACAGTCATCCCTTTAAACTCCTGGGAATTACAAGTTTCAAAGGAATGGATATGAGCTGGTAATTAGATTCCATAAACATGGTTTAACAGCTGGGAAAGCTAATTGATAGCAATACAAATGTCAAAATAAAACGTAGCCTCTTGTCAATGGCCCTGGTGCTGTTGGAGTCATAGTAGCTCTCTCTGATTCAATGATTTTAACCAAACTAGTTGGGTCAGAATATTCGCCCAAAAATGAAAAACATAAGAAGTTCAGGCTTGCTTCGCCTGCCAGAATTTTCGCCTTGATGTCGACTATGGACTCCAACAGCACCAGGGCCATCAACAAGAGGCTAAATAAAATGGGACATTTAAACTGAAACTGAGTTTTGCCAATACTGCAATGGCAGGAACATCTTTTTAAGAACTACTTGATATTGGAATTAATGACCTAAAAACCAACTAGAGTAAATGTATTTTGGATAGGCTAAATTGTCAGTACTTTCATACCTAACAAAATTTATCAAGATATCTCTCTATCTCTCTATCATAGATATGAGAGTTAATGAAATAATGGATGCTTCATAAAATAATTATTTTGGATCATTACAGATAGGAATGTTCCAGTTTGATAAAAATTTGCCCAATCTCACCACCTTAATAGTAATGTGACTAAAAATATATTTGCAGTGATATAAGAAAGTGACCAGGGGCCTGTTTCATAAAACTTTTTATCTATAAAAAATGCAAAATTTCTATGACAAATTTGCTCTCAGCCAATCAGATGCCTTGATTTCAGTAGCTTATAACAGTAGCTTGTAACTTGTTATTGATATCAAGTTTTATGAAACAGCTAGGGTGCAGATACTCACGGCTATATCAATGACAATGAGTCCAGCTCTCCTTCGCCAGGCATTGGTCTTAGCCATGGCATAGAGGAGAAAGAGGGCACAGAACACACCTATGCAGATAGACATAGCTTGGAATGCTGAGGACTGGTCTTGTGAATAGATCACAGCAAAGGAAACCTAGCAGGAATTCAACAAGAAGTACATCATTAATTAGTCAATACCATAGAATACATCTCAGAATTAGTGTGAATATTGTAGCACACTGCAAATTACTGGTGGATGTCTATTAATGTGTTTGTTTTTGTTTTGTTTGTTTGCTTGCTTTTACCCTTGACAAATAGGTACACGTATCAAAGAAACAACTAATGATGGATAGAAACTCCATAAAAAGTATTAACTGCTGGAGGGAAAATTCCAGGGGCAGCTTATCCCTAAATAGTTACCTCTCCTAGCTAGGAAATTCATCCTCCTTGGACAAGCATTTTCCCTGAACTCAACTAATTTTGTTTTGTCTAAAAAAAAATTTGCAATAAGCCTAATATTCCTGAACATGCTGAATTGAATTTATCCTTGAATATTATTTAATGACATTGCCTTAATCATTTTAATAAATACTTATCCACACCTTTGTTTCATTTAAAAAAATCTTTAATAATAGTGCTGTGTGATGTTACCATTGTTATTTGTTATATTTCTTTTCTATTTTGACGTTTGCATTATAATGTATTAAAGTACCTGATTACTTTGTAAAACAGACAATATCAACCTTGAGCTGCATGTCATGTTTTTCTTTTTTAAATATACCAACTCAACAACTCCCTTCCCTTCCCATCCCACCCTCCTAGCCAATTAGCTCTCAAGAACAGGGAATATCCCTGGAAGTAGTACTTTGCGTTATCGATGCTTTGTAGTTCTGAGGGATGTGCGATGGGATGGTACTCACTGTTCTACTTGTCTCCTCTGTGTAATCAGTCTCTCTTGAAAGCTCAGAGTATGTCAATCTCATGTATGGAGGGTAGATCAGCCCAGCTGACGTACCTTCACGCAGGGATACTCTACAGAAAATGAGTAAGTGATGGATGATTTCTCAGAATTATCGATTGCGCCCACCGCACATTGGCTTATACACTGTCTCACTTTATAGCAAGTCTTATGATTGAATTGGAATACATAGTCTTGAACAATATCACAATATATTTGATTTGTTTGAATATACATACATGTACCTGGATAGTGGATACTCAATAATATCACATCATTCAGTTTCACACACAAGGGCAGCATGTTATCATGATTGCACCTCTACATCTTGACACCTCTGTGTGTATGTTCCAAATAGAATAAAACAGATAATACACAAATATGGAAGATTCTACATCTTTCATGCATTACTCTCTACACCAACAAAAATCACAATTCCAAAGAAAATGCCCAACAATAAATTAGGATCCCTAACCAGCATGTCTACACTCACCTAATCTCAATACTTGATGCATAACGTAGAGCACTAGCTGGGTCATCTGCATTGACCTTCCCACTCACATTGTCCACAAGGTAGAATCGACGGGTCAGTTGCCATAGAAGCTGATTATCTCCTATATCCAAACATAAAAGTTCAAGGAAGTTTTAATAATTTCAAGGAGAATTCTAACTACCTTCCAATATCTGCAATCATATCAAAATGCTTATGTGCTCATGTGCCTACACAATATTTATCAAATTTTCGAAACATCACTGGCAAACGCTGCTGAAAATGTGGAGAAAAATTATTTGCTAAACAGAGATTCTAAATCTAATTAAATTTTATTAAGTTTTAGTGGGCAGGTGTTATTAGACCTCACATCAAATTTATTGACTGAAATACTCATCATTGATAACTTCTAAATACTGGAAGCCAAAAGATTAAATCAAAGGAATATACTCTTCATTGTTTTATTTTACCGTTACATGCCGTACATGATTGTTATTTTCTTCATGCCACAAAGTTCAACATACATGCAATCATTCTATTAGTTATTATGCTTGATGGATGAACTTGAATTATGTTATGTTATTTTACCGTTACTTCTTAAATCTATTTATATGTAACATCAAGGATTGTGGAGAACCTCATGACAGAATGGAAATTCTTTTAGGTAATCCTCAGGCGTCCACTGGGGGCTTTTTCACTGTCTTGTAACTCTTAATGTTATATGCTCTGTGTTGTCATTTCTATTTTGTTTATACATGTACCTGGAAATCAAATAAATTTCAAATAAATAAATTTCAAATTACCATAAAACATGAGATAAACACTCTGGAGCTGAATGACTTTCAAGCAAAATTTAAAAGTGACCAATAATTTAATTTAAACAATTATTGTTATGTCTCTCAAATTTTGGGCCTATACTCACCTTGATTATCTGCGCCAAAGTTTGAATTGAGAACAGGAACAGGATACAGAACACTGTTTCTAAATTCATCTTCGGTTATCATATCTGTTTTGCCACCATTAAGTAATAGTACACTTTGAATACATGTAGTTTGAATTCAATTCATTCAATTCGGGGAAAGGTCGGGAGCAGGCAGCTCAGCTCAGCTCAGCTCAATTCAACTTGGATAAATTCAGACACTTCAATTGAAATCATCACACAGTGACAACCAATTGCCTACTGTAGGGTTTATTTACTGTATTCCGAGAAGAATCTATATCTTGTCTTTTCTGAAAAACATTTACAGATTCCATTTAACATGAGAAAGAATTGCTCTACAAACAATTTTTCATTCATGATTTTTCTGGAGAACTTTATGACAGGCTCTCCCATTACTTCACGTGTCCCATGAGTAAAACAATTCAGCACAGCATTCTTTGCTAAACATCAGAATGATTGCATTAATATAGAGAATAATAATAATAAAAACAAGAAACAAACATACATGTATCTATTGAATATTAGTCTATCATCAAAGAACCTTCAACAGGAAGATTTTGCATGTATCCTCTCAAAAAAAGAAATAAATTAACATAAACAACTCCATTTGTATAACTATTAAATATCTCTGAATCATAAAAGGATACACATGTCAAAGAACACCGTTTCATATTCATCCCAGAAGTCCCTTGATGGTAGGACACACTGTGAAAACAAAAAGAAAAACATTCTTTTATCCCCATTTCATTCTTAATAAATAAGAAAATATTGATTTGATAAGTATAAATCTGATGTTTGTTATTAAAGTGTAAAAGATATTTGTTTTGAATGTTGCTAAACTGGCAGCAATTTTTTGCAGATCTTCATTTAAAAGAATTATGCAAAGATTTTGGCCTTGCAAAAAACTTGGTGATTGAAAAAAAATATGAGAAAATATGAGAAGCTTGTCTCATTTCCGGAATTACTTCAAAAAACTTTGCCCATGTTTTAGGTAATGGGTACTGATGGTAAATTCTACTTGTTGAGGCTGCATAAATGCTTGTAAATAAGTTCAATATACATATCTATGCATAATACAAATTATAGAAATTACTAGGCAGTATAATTCCTGGGTATTTCAACTGTTTGACAGCATCTGCAGCCCTATGAACACTTTGTCTTGAAGGATTATCTTGAGGTGGTATAGAGGGCTGTAGTAAAATAATTATTATAAAAGTTATTTCTAAAAACTCTTTAATGAACTTACACTGCTCCTGTATGTTGTAGCGAACGAATATGCAGCATCCATTTTCTCTTCTGTATCCTTGCAAAACTGTTGGGATTTGAATAACAATGTTGAATTATGACTTCACGTTCATCAACATTGCTGATTTGACATAACAACACACAGTCTCATGATTTGGTTCAAACCATGAGAACGTGATGCAGGTTGATGACATGATATTGTTTGATGCTGTTGGCCCATTGATTTCTGATTTGTTTTCATTCCTATAGGCTTTAATACAGGAACCATCCAAATATGTAGGCAATGGGTTGGAAGGGGGGTGTGGGTTATAGGGGTAGTTAAGACTCAAGTAGATCAACACTTTAGTCATGGTTGATCATTCGTTCGTGTCTCCTTAGATCAATATTAATGTATCTTGATCTTCGGAGTAGTTGCTACAACCGGCCGTGTCAGACACGTTGCCCCGAGGTGCGAGATAGGACTCTTGTAGCGTGCCCCCATTTAAAACAATTATACAATAACAGTTTAAACATTGCATTTAATTAATAGTATGAAACTATTAAAATTAGTCTCATGTTACGGGAAAAAATATTATATATATATATTATGAATCAATTGATTTGATCGATCCAGTTCGATGGCACAAACACGGCACTACTGGACAGAGATCCTAATAATTACAGAGCTTGGTCTTGTTGCTCTGTTCGCCAGCAGTTTGAGGATATGGAATCCTGCGGCACATTACTCACAAGAGTTCTAACAAGCCAAGCTTATACAGAGCCTATAATAAGTAATGTTATACATGTACCACCCACCCGATCGATCAAAAATTACGGTTGATCATGCACATGCACCCAAAGACCGTCCCATTGTTTGGAGTCTAAAGCACATGTACAGTGTTCAATTGACAAAGTTTGCCTCAAGCAGTCTCCTAGCTGTTTGTTCCATTAGTCAACCAAAACAAAGAGTTACTCTCCCGCAAAGTGTCGACCCATTGAACAGACAAACCCTTCTCTAAACGGAATGATACAACCCAATGATGAGCAGGGAATGGGTAAACTGGTAGACCGGCTTCCCTGAAACCAACTAACCAACCCATAAACAAGGACACAAAAACAATGGTTGATATTAAAGGTAATACAAAGTTTTGAAAATTGGGTGGATATTAATTCTTTACAATTTTGATATATTTGGATGCCCCTGTGAATGTATTATAAGCACTATCAAATTTAGCCCCTAAAACACTACTGTTTTCGAGAAAAATTGAATATAAAAATTTACTGGTGCTCTCGGTAAATTTTGATTAATTTCAAATAGCGCCTACGGCCGTACAATGGTAGCTGCACCATGAAAATCTCAGAACATTTTGTGATATATAATTTCCAAACAGGAATAGCTAATCGGTCGATTTTAGTCAAAAAACATTGTCTTGGCCTTGAGAGGGAGCTATACAACATAAAGAGTGTATTTTTTATAACTTCATAACTTAAGACCCGATTTCAACCGCGACAACGATCACTGAATATTGTAGGATATCGCATATGCTTCAAATATGTTCATTTGAACCAAATTTATGACCCCATACCAAAACTTTGTATTACCTTTAAAGTACACATACTTAATGGTAATTGATTTACCTGTAGTTTGCCTCCTGTGACAGGTACTATTCCAAGAAACTGTCCTGTTTGTGTGTACTGTGCTACTACTAGCCTCAGTTTACTATCCTGTTCAGTAAGAAAAATCAACAATCTAATATAAGTATGACTCAAACCCAGAGATAGCTAGATCTTACTTTTACTTTTGACTTTTAGTCACTTCTTTCATCTATTTTGATGCATAAACAGGTAAAATAATGTTTATAGATACAGTAACATTTCTGAAAGAAGTCATTCTTCCAAGATTCAAAGTTTAGTTATAAATTTTAAGTTGACATCATCCCGAAAAAATTGGAAATCACAGCAAAAACAAAACACTAGTCAAAGAAAAAAAACCTGTAATTTCAAAATGAGACAAAGAGAAACATGTACATGTGATCTAAAATCTTAAGTATCAATATTTTTGCAATGAAATAAAGCAATGAGATAATTATGCTCAAAATGAAGGGGGAGGGGGAAAGAACTTACATCAGAAGATCTATCAAAGGTGAAGATGGTTGGAATATCTCTGCTTAAAAGATCCATATCAGCTTCACCAGATTGATAATACAGCCAGGGCATATCAGCTTTCCTACAGTAATTAATGCCAGAAAGAATCTTAGTTGATGGCATCCATAGGTATCTCTACAGGCTAATAACAAATACTTTTTCTTCAACGGGTAACACTGATATTTTTTAAAATCTTATGTTGTTCCCAAATTACAAAAGGGCATGTATTTGAGATTGAAATTAACAATGCTATGGAAAAACAAATACATACAGAGCACTCTTTGAATAATGAACTTAAAGGAACTCTAAGTAATTGAGAATTAACTAGCACTATTCTTAAACATTGTTTTACACAAAGTGAAAAGTGTAAAAATGATCTTGAATGATGGTTTTCCTATGAGCTAATCTCCCCTACAGTTTGCAGCTTTATGTTGTTATAATTATCTGTTAAGGGTAATACAAAGTTTTGGGAAATTTTGAAAATTGGATGGATAGTGATTCTTTACAATTTTGATATATTTGGATGCCCCTGTGGATGTATTATAAGCACTAGAAAATTTAGCCCCTATAACACTTCTGTTTTCGAGACAAATTGAATATAACAATTTACTGGTGCTCCTGGTAAATTTTGATAAATTTCAAATAGCGCCTACGGTCGTAAATTGGTAGCTGCAACCATGAAAATCTCAGAATATGTAGTTGTGATACATGTAATTTCCAAATGTGAATAGCTAATCGGTCGATTTTAGTAAAAAAACATTATATATATACCTTAATTAATATATTGACCTTGAGGGGGAGCTATACAACAAAAAGAGTTTATTATTTATAATTTCATAACTTAAGACTCGATTTCAACCGCGACAACGATCACTGAATATTGTAGGATCGCATATGCTTCCAATAAGTTCATTTGAACCAAATTTATGACCCCATACCAAAACTTTGTATGACCTTTAATGTAGGTAGGCCCTCTTGAAAAACAGTATTCCAACCGTTGATGAGGCAGCCTTGAAATAACACTGAATGAATGAATGAATAAACCTACCATTCATCAATACCATTGACTGTCTCTGTGATGGTATTCACATAATTCCTGTAATCTTGACACGCTTGTTGATCAGTCCGAGTCAGTACCATAGTACATAGGTTAGCCCAGGTTTGACATCCAGTGAAGTTACGATAATTCTGCAATCAATCAAGCCAACACAAACTAATATATTGATCATTATATATAATGAGGTAATACAAATCAAATACTCATTCAAAACGGCTTTGATGTCCACACGCATACTAGAAACCTGTCCATGTAGACCACAATTTCTGTTTCTCTTGAAAATTGTTTCTAATAAAAAAAAACATATTGAAGAAATTATTTCATGTAAAGACCATTTACAAATAAAATCACCTTTTTTTTGTCCCTTGAGAGGTCTCTCTACACAAGTCTCAATGTATTGATGATTTGACTGAATCATAATCTTCCTCACTCTGTATAAATCCTGATAAAGGAGAAGGGGCAACATGTTACTTACTTGACATGTGCCAAGAACTTCCACAAAGTTTTCCTGAAAGAACCATGACGTGAGTTGGTCTTGATCAAGGACCTGCACAGGAGAAATAGACAATTGAAAACCTATTAGAAATAGAGGAGGTGCGATAGCTCAGTCGGTAGAGCAGTGGTCTCGTAATCCGGTGACCCGGGTACGAAACCAATTCGATGCATTAGTGCCCTTTGGTAAGGCATTAATCCTCATTACAAGGTCCCTCGGAGAGGACCTAAAGCCATTGGCCGTCTGGTTGGTTACTTACAAGCATTTATGCTTTCTTAGCAGTCAGGTAAAAACATAATAACCAACCACAAGAGTGAGTTAGAGTGAAAGAAAAGGCATTATAATATAGACATTATGAATCATAATTGTAATAGTTCTTTGGGATAGAAACTCTTGAAGAGTGAGTGCACATATTCATATGTAATCTTTCATATTTGTTCATAATACTCAGTGGCCATAAATAGTGATTGCATCTTTGATCAAGATACTCATCTTTGGTAAATGTTGTTTAGGTGATGTGAAGGGCATGGACATAACATGAAAATATTATACTTTTGTTGTATTATGCACCTTAGATACTACTGCCTTGTTTTTTTTTTCTTAAAGGTAAAGATCAGTTTTGGAAACACCCTCCTCTCAAAAAAATGAAATGAAAGCTTTTATTACCAATCATGTGAAAGAATATATGTTTTGACTAATACGTAATGATACAAATTTGCAGAGAAACCGCCTACCGGTACTAATTGATATATTTGGTAAAATATTATATCTATTTGGACCTGATAGATATAACGCACGTGTCGCACACGTGTCGCGTAGTCCTATATACATCTTTCTGTGTACAGTGCTTGTAACTTTACCAAGACTGGGCCAAATTTATTATCATTTTGATGATTCCAGACACTTGCAGTACACACCGATACTTATATGCTAGATGATTAACCTTTTCTGAACGATTCCACAATGTTTCTATCACAATGCAATCGCATGACCATAACTGCTCTTTATCTTTAATAGACAATTACTCACACTGTATGGTACATTGAAGGCTCCTGAGCTTGGGTTTGGAAGGATGATTGATGCTGGGAAGCATACATCAACGTTCTGTTGGTCATAACAAATAGTACGACAAGATAGAAAGAAAGAGAGAGAGAGAGAGAGAGAGACAGATGAATGATCGATTGCAAATTTTTAAAAATACTCTAAAGCATGTGGTAAAATGAAGCTAAAATATCAACCAATGATGACCCCTTTTTGTCAGTAAACACAAGGAATTTCAAAAGAATTAACTAAATTTAATGAAATAACGCCTTCTCGCATCCTATGATAGCATAATTTAATATACTTTGCTAATAACTTTCAAACATACTACAAAGACAAAGATACACACTTTTAAACAATAGAAAATATCCATTAGATTAATATATGAGGACAATAAATCATGGTTGTTTGTTTTTCATACAGACAATGGGATAACATACAGTATAGCAGATATGCCAACCTTTACATTCAGGAGGATTCATTTCAGAAATCAGGGAGGTTTATATCAATTGCATACAGCATAATTAGTATAATCTTTCAGAAGTTCAGAGAGGCATTGAAATTTGTGTGAAGTGACGTATACACAAAACAAATTTTCAGGGTGCCTCCCTGAAAATCAAGGAGGGTTGGCAATCTTGGCATCTCTGCATAGCAATATCTTTATATTTGCGGGTAAACTACATCATTGTTTACTATTTCCTACATTCAAATGGGCATGTCGGAAATAATACAATCGTTTGTTGATTATTGTTCACAATATTTCTTTTCTGTTCCACTGAAATATAAAAGTTTTGTTTCTTCATACCGCTGGACTAATAGTGGGACAATCGCAGCTTCCTGTCAGACTCTCTGCGATGTAACTCTGAGGGCATCTTCCACATCTACAAGGTGCGCCGGGCCGGGCCGGAGAGGGAAAAATAGTGATACTATTAGCTTTCCTACTCACATGATTTAGTTTTGTATACATACATTGAGACAAGCTTACATTTGAGTTGAAGGCTATGATAAGTATTCCATTCAAACAATTTTATATGGGTTCATGAGAACGGTATCAAAAAATATTAAAAATTACATTACAACCCAGGCATATACAGTAGGTTTGCGAGTGCACCATGCGAGAGAGAGAGAGAGAGAGGGTTGAGGAGTCCTGAAAAGGACTCTGACTCTGTAATCTTTCTTGGGGGTGTATAGTCCTGAAAAGGACTGTTGTTATCACAGTGTTGTGGCGGTGAATTTCGATGGCTTCTCGGATTCGGCGTGTATGACAGTGCTTCATTATGGAGATGAGATGACTGTTATCCCATTCGATGGTGTGTTCGTGTTGCTGGGCGTGTTTGACGATGGTGGACTTATCCCAATCGCTGAGTCTGAAGCTGGTTCTGTGCTCCTTGCTCCTTAAGTCTTGTTTCTACACACCCCCAAGAAAGATTACCGAGTCAGAGTCCTTTTCAGGACTCCTCAACCCTCTCTCTCTCTCTCTCTCACATGGTGCACCCGCAAACCTACTGTATATCTACATCACCATGCAAGCCGACACTTACAAGCAGCATCTAACCCATATGAATCTACTACATATTTTTCGTCAATTTCAGGAAATTACTTAATAGGTATTTAAAACATGGAATACAAGCATTATCAGAACTGGTTTTAATATACAAAATAAACTAATGTGTTTTTGAGAACATTTAAAGCACATAATCTAACCAGTCCACAGACTCGATGTGAAAAACACAAAAGTCCCAAATGCAATCACTTTATAAGCTCTTTGTGTACATAGGAGTTGTTGAAAATTTCTGTTGGTTTTCCATTCATTAACCAAAAAAATCAATTCAAGTTTTATACAGTGAATGCAGTTTGACAATAATGATAAAATGTGGACAATGATTAGCAGATTTGCCACCTCAAGCCACTGCCTACTAGAACCAGGTTAGTTCCTGTATTAAACCTATGAGGAATATGAGAACTCGGTAGTCAACAGGTTAAGGGTTAAACTCACTCGAGAGCTGAACCATCAGGTTGTGATGTGCTGGAACAAGGCATACAGGTCCTGTTGCTTAATAACTCCCTGGTGATGGTATACTCAACTATTAAAACATTTCAAAGTGAAAGAAAACCATGGGTGAGGTTATTCAACGACATGGCATGTTCAAAAGAATTTTGTTACCTGTACCTTAAATATTCAGAACAAATGCAGAAAAAAATTCATGACAGAAACAAAGCAATACAATATATCCGGTGATCACACATAATTGCTTGCTCCAGGTTTCATTTTATTATAGACATAAAGCAATGTCCCAGTTTTATGTTATCAAAGATAAAGTGTGAGAATTGGGACTGCAATTAGGTTTGAGTTTAGGTTATGTTAGGTTATGATACATATTTTGCATCCAATGTTGACATTAAGAATTTGACTTGGTAGAGAAATCGTCCTTGAAGCACTCGCATGTGTCATACAGTCATAATACCAACATATTTTTTTTCCTCTAAATTTAACATGAGGTAAAGATTAGAAAAAGTTTAGAAGTTTATTTATTCCACATTTTACATAAAAAAAACAATTAAAATTCTTTTTAATTTTTTTTCCATACAGGCATATATTATATAAGAGTAGATTTCACACAAGAAAAAAAAAAAAAGATTTCAAATCAAGAATAAAGTACAGAAAAAAAGTACGAAATTTAGAAATATGTAGATATAACAGGCAAGGTAAACATAATGTAAAATGTGGGGAGCCTAAATAAAAATCATAGCTCGTATGTAACTAATTACCACCAATTTGACCCTCTGGACAAGCCTGACATTCTCCTGTTAGCTGATTAATGTCACAGGCTATACAGTTCCACCCATCCAGGGTTGCTCTCTGAAATAGAAGAAAGAAAAAAGAGATTCACAACAAGTGAGTGAAACCACTCCACACCTGTCAAAACAGGAGATCCATTAATACCTTGGTACACATCCAACACAATACACCTTGGACAGATCAAGTATAGTCCGAACATGATATGCTTCAGTGACTTTGTTATTATGAATAAGTAAATGTTACTGCTCTACTATTTTTAAACTAGCTTACCTCCTTATGATTTGATCTCTTTATAAATTTACATTATAATTGCACAACTACAAATTTTTGCAAATTTATGAGGTTACTCATTGTGAATATCTAAAAAACCACTCCAATTCAATTCCATCCAACCATTTGAATGATTTGTCAAATTTCTATTAAACAAAAAAAAAATCTGCAAGTGGGTATCTAAATTTCAGCCTACTTTCTAGACCCTTTTTCATGATAACTTACCTGACCGGGTGGACATACTGTGCACTGTATATCAGGACCTCCTTGATTCTGAGTCATTTTGAAGTAGGAAGTGCACTTGCATGATAAGCCTGGGAGGGAGGTAAAGTTGATAATAAATCATTCTTCAAGAGTCACAAATTTAAGTCCTTCTGTGCCATGCATGGGCTGCTAATCTCACCCAAGAATTTGTTCTACTATAATTATGTTTGGATGAAAAATAGCTATTAGTTTTTCTTGACTTACCCGGTAGAAACAGGTGCATAATGCAACATGAAGGTTGTTCATTCAAACATATTTTCAGTCAAATGTAATAAAAAGTGAAAAATGTTAAACAAAAATGAAAAATTTAATATCTAATATTGGATTCTTGAAAGGTTAATAACTAAGAATAAATGTTTGCAAAAAAGTGGGTATCAAATCAGCATAAGACCAAATTTTTCGTCTCTTTCGTTCGTTAAGCCTCTTATTTGGGTAGGGTCGGCTCTCTCTTTAGAGACGGAAACGGACTATACCGCCAAATGTGTAGGTTAGGTGTGTAAATTTACACACCAAATTTGCAAAACTTATCCCAGAATTACTAAATTAGGTTTAGGCTTAACTACTTCGGTTCTACTTACCAACTTGACTGAAATAATCCGTTTAATGGTCCTTTTTTAGGAAATTATGGGTCAAAATCGACATCCATGATAAAAATCTTGCAGTGGTAGTTTAAACTCTCGCTGCGCATAACGTCATCTAAATCTCATCCCTTATAGTCTACGCCGAGGGCAAAATGATTGTACGGAATCTGTGCATGTCATTACGAACTCGTAGCTCGTGCACAGTTTTTCTGTTACAATCATTTTGCCTTCGACGTAGACTATAAGGGATGAGATTTAGATGACGTCATGCGCAGCGAGAGTTTAAACTACCGCTGCAAGATTTTTTTGTGTGTGTGCAAGTTTGGTGTGTAAATGTACACACCTAACCCACACATTTGGCGGTACGTATAGTCCGTTTCCGTCTCTAAAGAGAGAGCCGACCCTACCCAAATAAGAGGCTTAATGAACGAAAGAGACGGAAAATTCAGTCTAGAGCAGCATATAAGTTAAGGCTACTGTCCAATATTTGTTGGTACGTGCAAGAAGGGGTGATTTCGGACGCATTTCAGCTGCTAATTTAGATGTCATCAATCGTCACTAAAGTAGTCTACCGATTTTTAGTGAAATCAGTTGAGTTTTGTACAGTGGTGTTTGAAATGTTGAGAATCAATAGCACAGCTTTTAATACACAGCCAGGATAGTAATGCACCTAGACCTGTGTGTGCGAAAAGTGAGTCACGTCTTTCGGATGGCGACGTTAAAAGTCAGTCCCCAGATAGAGCCAGGCCAGACGTAAATAATCATATCTGATTGATACACGTCTGTAAAAAATTAATTACACACTCACACACACACAAGGTAAGAGTTCCTTTTGCACCCCCCCCCACCCACCCCCCCCCCCCCCCCCACGAAAGTGAAAATCAAAATGGAGGAAGTATTAATATAGAATTCTACTACAATTTACCAGCAGAAAATTACACGTGTCGGACTAGTCTACAAACTTCTTACCATCAGCTGTGGTTTCTTGGTTATCTCCACAAGGACTACACTTTAATTCTGCCACATTGTAGTAAAATTCTCCATTTTCTATAGACCTACATTGTTGCACAGTCGCGTATGAGAATGGATTGGTTGATTTCACCTCCGTAATTACGAAGAATGCCAGAAAGAATATCGCAAAGTATCTACTCGGCGACATTTTTGCGCTTCACGTATCCAAGGAGCAAAATAAATTTTTCGACCAGACTGCACTGCACTAGCACTGCACTGCACTAGCACTGTGAACTACTAGCACTGGATACTGCGCGCGAACATGCGAGCGGAGGCCCTATGCCCGCCGGCGAATTTTTTTTCCGTACTCGAGAGGGCAAATACCCCATGTGCGCATGCGCGTGGACTTGTGATTTCTCTGCTACTTCCCATACGAAATGTACATGTATTCGCATCTACTGTGCACGATTCGCGTTCTACGAGTAAACGATGGCATAGTAGTCTTCAAACACAGACTCTGATTTGCCAGTTTGACAAAACAATTACGCATAATATATCGTGCGTAGCAATAGTACTAGTATTCAAGTCTGAGTAGTTGTATGATTCAGACATTTTAGTGCTTACAGAAATGCATCCCAAATTGAATAGCATGGTATAGTAGTCTGCAAGCACAGACGCTAATCGGACAGTTTGACAACATAGTGTCTTGAGTAGTGCTTTATATTCAAATATGTGTAGTTTTATGATTCAGACCCTACTGGTGCGTGTATTGGAAAGGCATCTCAACTTGCAGAGTGGCATAGTAGTCTGCAAGCACAGACGCTAATCTGACAGTTTGACAAAATAGTGTTATTCAAGTCTGAGTAGCTTTATGATTCAGACCCTACTGGTGCGTGTATTGGAAATGCACCTCAACTTATAGAGTGGCATAGTAGTATGCAAGCACAGACTCTCCTTTGACAGTTTGACAGAATAATATAGGCCTATTGTGTATTGAGTAGTGCTTTTATTCAAGTTTTCGTAGTTTTCTGTGTTGTGCCACTTAAGGTCGCATAAGTTATAACTTTATAATTATAAGCTACCAAAATTGAGTACACTTTTTTATACGCACTGTATATATGTCCTTCATTGATTTAAAAACAAAGAAAAACCTTGTTGGGATGCCGCAAAATGCTCCACAAACTTGCATAAAATCACTACTCATCAATACACAATATATTATTATGTCCTTGCAGACTACTATACTACACTCTACACATTGAGATGCATTTCTAACGCACGCACCAGTAGGGTCTGAATCATACATCTACGCAGACTTGAATAAAGTACTTCTCAGCACACTACTAGTATGTTGTCAAACTGTCAGATTAGCGTCTGTGCTTGCAGACTACTATACCATTCTATACAAGTTGGCGACTTGAATAAAGTACTTCTCAGCACACTACTAGTATGTTGTCAAACTGTCAGATTAGCGTCTGTGCTTGCAGACTACTATACCATTCTATACAAGTTGCAATGTATTTCCATATGCACTACTGGGTCTGAATCATACAACTACACAGACTTGAATAAGCACATCGCGACACATACGCATATTGATTTGTCAAACTGGCAAATCAGAGTCTGTGTTTGAAGACTACTATGCCATCGTTTACTCGTAGAACGCGAATCGTGCACAGTACATGCGAATACATGTACATTTCGTATGGGAAGTAGCAGAGAAATCATAAGTCCACGCGCATGCGCACATGGGATTTTTGCTCTCTCGAGTACGGAAAAAAAATTCGCTGCCCGCCGCGGATAGGCGTCTAACGGTTAGGCGCCGCTTGCACAGTGACTGTATATAGGAAATTTCTGTTTCTTAATTGGAACTCCTCTTCTCCCCTAAAAAATCAACCAACCCAAAACTGCTGTACATGATACAAAAAAATACAGGTGTTGTCTGAAAATCAGGCATATCACCCATCAGTTTCATTTCAGGGCATTGCCCATATCACCTTCGACACACCTGCATACTCCAATTTCACTCTCTCATGGGCACATCGATTCTCATTCTCTATCTCTCTCCTCTTTGTTTCAATCTCTCATATTCATCTATACCTCCTTCCAATCTACTTCGCTCTTTCATAACTTCTTTCTCTTCTTCCTTGCAAATTCACCTCTTTAATATAAATGCAATTCTTCTGGCTCCTCTCTCTTTTCGCTATCTCAAGTTCCTCCTTTTTTTCTTCACGTCGATTTCTCATATTTTTCTCTTTCCTTCCTTTCTGTTTCACTCTCTCAGATATTTTTCTTTCTTCGACCCTCCTCTCGATCTACTTCTCTCCATTTCTCTACTTCTCTCCTCTCCAATCCTCTCTATTTTCTATCCCCTCCTATATATTTAACTATATTTCCCTATCTCCCTCGATCCTTTAATAATTTAATTATCTCATACCATGCATTTCTCTTCCTTTGTGTCTGCCTCTATATCTCTGTCTCATGGACTCACTTTTCAAAGTGCATAGTTACAGTAAGTTGTACAATTGATTCTTAAAAATTGCTGGTAACATATAGATAATTGCCTTTGTGTCCCATATGCATTCCCATTAGTTGCCCCCTTCCATCCAATGAGTAGGATTGAAAATTTCTTCTACCCTAAGCTTGAATTTCAGTATTCATGCAAGAAAGAAAATGCAACTATAACATAATATCTTCATGTAGATACTATTTGGACAGAAAATAGCAATACCATAGATATATAACTTTATGACTTGTATAAACTTTTAATCACATTGTGAAAATGCAAAATGTCATGCAATTCATATATTTTATATATTTTAGAGGTAAGATCAGAAACTCTGATGAGTGATGATATTCTTTCCAAAGCAGATGGCTTTTACAATTAAGTGCTGTATCAAAATCTTGTTGTATGCCAGAGGATAAACAATAGACTTCAAAAGGATGGGGCCAGCAAAATACCTGGTTAAGACAACAGTTTGTTACAACATCGTTCTTAATCACCAGATTCACTCTACCCATATAGGTAAAATACTTCAAGAAAGATACTTAAAAAACCAAGGGAAATAATTATATATTATTTTGTTAATTAATGCTACATTTGTCCCATCTAACATTTACCATTATTTTATTTCTGGATGCATGTGGCAATGTTTCACATGAATACAGGAACCCTTGGTACACGGTGTCTGATCACTGATTGGGCTACCCTGTGTAAGACTAAAGTTCATGTTATGAAGAAATAAATCATGGAAGACATGTTTACACCAATCATGATAAACAGATGTATTTGAATGCTTCCAACAGACTGTATTTATCAAAAGCGGAGTATATATTGTCACTCATATGCAAAGTAATTGTTAGATGCTGCTTGTAAAGTAATTGTTGTTTTATAAACAGATCATAAGAAAACCCTTTTCTACAATAATGTCTCATTTCTGCTGATATTCTGGTGATACCATATATATTGTAATAAGTTTGCTAAATCTATTCTGAAAGTACAATTTTGAGCAATTTAAATGAACCCTAAACTTTTCAATTATTCTGAAACACATTTCTTATTACCATTATTTAATATCATATTCTTTATCATTATCATATAGTGGGATTTAAATGTATCTCATTATCATAAATAATGTAGGAAATTTAAAATGTAGAAAATTTAAAAAGGATGAAGGATAAGACAAATTCGAATTCAATTCCATAGGTCACTCAATACCAAGAACTACATAATTGTACATATCAAAAGAGTCACATCTTTTTATAGTTTTAAGACCTCACAGAGTTTTTAAAACCTCACAGAGTAATTTAATATAGTTGCACAATATATAGACTTCTATACTGACCAGTGTATAAGAAACAAGAAATACATAACAGAACATGACCACTGTAATAGGTCACTTTAAGGCAGGCATTCTCAAAAGCAGACTAAGTTTAAGCCAGGATAAAATCCCCTGAAGAATTACCATGATTCAGTTTAGTTCGCTCAATTATGGCAAAGCACCAATTGTCAACATGTCCAAGTCTTAATACTGCACAAATCGTCCTTGTTTTCACGAAGTGACGGTAGTGAGGAAAATCGTAACGCAAAGTGAATGCAATTTTTTTTCACTACCGTCACTTTGTGAAAACAGCGACAAAATTATCTTCATTCCATACCAAGAAAATAAACAAAATCAATGAATACACATTGAGGTGAATTTTTTTGTATTTCCATCTCCAAAACAAATTATGGTTCTTTCCTGAACAAGATTTGTGCATTAGATTTGATTACTTAACGAAAATGGTCTATTGAGTAATGTCCATGCAAGAAAGAAAGTCTTTATCTCTTTATCACGCATAATTGTATCTCATAATTTGGCATTGTGGGCAAGGACTGACTCTAGCTCTGAACATATAAATGTAGGCCAGTTGACAAGTTCTTTCAAACAATGTCTAAGAGCCCTAACACAGAACTGTCAAGCCATGTGAACACACATCAGACTGCTGCCTGCTTTTTTGGATTCACTTTTCATTCCATTGAGGCCACTGGAGATCAGCGAAGGTCCGAGTGTCCATGCGATCAATGTATAAGGTTCCCTGAAGGTGGTCGTATTCATGCTGTAAGATCCTTGCGGGGTATCCACAGACACGCCAAGTCACAGGCTCTCCCTTCTCATTTAACCCTGCAATTCACAATGGAAGAAAATCTAGAGTGGTTACACGGAATCAATGATGACCGGATAAATAAATGAGTTTTCCCTTTCTGCTTTTTAGTCCATCAAAATTGTATGCATGATCCATAAAATAAAATTCAAACTTCTAACTGATATCATATGATAAATGTATTAGGAAAGCTCAATAGTGCAAAATAATACTACTTAGTTACGGTATAACATAATCTGGTTTGCAACTTTAGCGGAGCACTTTGAATTTCCCTTTGTACATCTTTTGTTATGTTTTTTTTTTAAAGCCTTAAATTATTGGAGATGGAAGGGGAAGGCATTCTTAATCTAATCATGTAATCATTAGGAGTTCATTTATAAAAATTAACATGCGACCGTCATTGCTGGTCAAACAGTTTTTGAGCGTCAAGTAACGCCTGGATGGAATGCTCCACAGGGAGTGGAGATTGTGCACACATTGTGTGCGGGCAAGCACTGAATCCAATGACCGGCCGGGGTAATAGTATATTTGTAAAGCGCTTAGAGACATTTGTGATAAGCGCTATATAAAATCTAAATATTATTATTATTATTATGATTGTATCAATTCTGTCTTTCAGTAATTGGATGTTGACATGATTACCTGTGATTTCCACCTCATGTGCTCTTGGTGTGGCAGCAGAAAATCCTGTAAGACTGAGACATCCCTCTGTAAGAACCACCTGATTATCTGATAAGATCTTCAGAGAGGGGTTGACAAACACCTTGAGGGGTACCACTTCCATCTCTCTAGCTTTCTGGATCTCTTCAGAAAATCCCTTCATATGTTTCTCAGTGAACTCCATGACGAACACCTGCTGGGCCACGCCTATCTGTGGGGCAGCTAACCCCACCCCACCCGTCTTCCTCATAACACCCACCATCTTCTGAATTAGATCTTGAAACTCTTTAGTCCTGATATCTTGAGGGTGCACAGGATCACTCTTACCACGAAGGACAGGATCACCAACCTGTGTCACATGATTATATGGAGGTGTGGCCATCTTGATTCTCCAGATAGCCTTTTTCAGTAGAAAGGCAGCTGATAAATAGAAGGGTTGTTTGACGATGACCCTGGTAAGATTCTGCTGGGCGGATGTGATGTGTACAGATCGACTTGCGGAGCTCCACAGTACTGCTACACCAACGGCACGAATACAACCTTGACGCAACATCTGAGAGCTGTTGTGACCCTGGGCTCTCTATCTGCCAGGCAAAAAACTATCCTCCTAGTCTCACTCCAGCTGGTAAGCAAGTAGTTGCAAATTAATTCTGTCTCCTGTTCTGAAGACAAAATAAGTAAATACATAATATTTTAGAAAATTATATTTCAGTAATCTGTGAGAATATCAGTATTTGGTACAGACTTGTGTTGTGCTATACAATTATTTCTCTTTGATTAATTTGTAGAAAAATCTAAATACATAGGCTGAACTTATTAGACTAAAAAGCCAGAGCTTGACACTTAACGCGGTTTCCGCGTATTAAAATACCCCCAGTTCACCATCTATTTTATGGGGTGTCCGTCTTCCCGAGGATTTATCGCTCATAACGTAAAAGTCTCTGTACAAAGTCAATGTAAAATGCATCAAGAAAATCGTCAAGGAACCCTTATTTTTCACCTACGCGTCAGTCTGCGTTTACGAAGAGGATCCCTGTTTGTGCGGACGATCCTTATTCTCGGACCAGTGCCCCTATTGTGTAAATGGGGTGTAGCGTGCCAAGACTACATGTCTTTCTTGTAGCCTGACTCGAAGCCAATCGATCATAATACAACTATGGACGACGCGACTGCAGTATTCACGTGCGTGCAACATCCAAGAAACCTAAGCGCGAGGAGAACTGCGGTCTGTTTTGCGAATACTAGCGCGTGCTGACCGTTAATCAAGTCCATTTGTTTACGTGCAGATGTCTGAAAGAAGTCGTAGATGGCATTAACCAGTATTTGCCATGCTACACCCCCTTTTATAATTAGTCTCATCGGGTGCGAAGTCTATACAAATTTCAATGAACATTGTGTAAGACAGAATTGCGTACCGGGGGATCATGGTTTTGATTATTGCAACATGCATGGTACATGTATGTTTGGCATCCAAAATTGCTCCAAAAAAGTAAATATATAGATCTAGAACTTAGAAGTCTAGTATCTGTCTATATTCAAAAATATAAAACAACACGAGCGGCCCGAAAATGAAGTCGAAGAGTATATAAGGCCGAGGACAACCAAACAATTTTTTGTTGTTAGCCTTATATTTTTATAACAAAGAAATAACTGGAAATTAAATTTACTAAGGACTAAGGTTGATAAAAACATATATTATAGTTACCTTTTAAATCAAGACTCCCCCAGACTCTCTCTTTGTCTTGGATTCACACGCGATATGTACATACACCTGCACCTGTCTGTCCAGGTATATCTGTTCTAGCAATCTAGGCCAGTTGCATGCAATTCAAGCGCTCCATCCATGTTCGATTGAGCTGGAACTAATCGAAGGGGAATTCCCTTTCCACAATCATTCGCCTTTACCGTGGATAACTTCAAATTTCAGTTATTTATTTTAAATAGTCATTTTGTTTCATTCAATAATATAAAATACTTGAATGATGTAAAATAAAAAGCTTTTACGAGTACTTTGCTTGGTAAAAATGTGTTTTTCTTTTACAAAGTAGTTTCAAATTGGCAATACACCAGTTTACAGTTGTGTGCGCCATTTTAAACAAAGCTAATGACCTAGGAGTCATGTATTTATGCGTAAATTAAGATTGCGCCCATGCAAATAATGATGACATCACTGCCTGCGCGCTGCGTTGTGCGCGCACATCATCATTTGCATGGGCGCAATTTTAATTTACGCATAAATACCAGAGGTCAGAGGTTATTGGCCCCAATTTTGGGGCCAATGACCCGAGGTCAACTGTCTGCGCATGCGCACTGATACAACTGTAAACTGGTGTATTGTTTTTCGTAAATCGGTCAACAAACTTTCAGACGCAATATGAAAGTTTGTTGACCTTCAGCAATCAACACAAATGCAGAGCTGGAGCCAACGCAACGTAGTAGCTGAAGGTTTCTTTAAAATGGAGGCGTCTTTATTCTTGATCGTCACAATTTCTCTAATTGTTGGGTTTGTGTTTTTAATCTACATATTGTCACCGCTTATTACACCAAAAAGAATGAAGCTGACCAAGGCACACGTCGTGGTAAGATCACTGAGCTGTGCGGGGGTGCATGAAAATATTATTATTGATTGCTGCATGCTGCATGCTGCTGCTACGGATTCGAGAGCTCGGGGGCTCATCATCCTCTGCCTGCTGTCCGATACTATGGCTATGCCACCTATTCCTGTGGCTGTGTGCCACGCCCTAAGGCATGAAGGGGTTCATCAAATAGGGTCCTCCCAAGGCCCACCACCCCTGGATTCATTTGTGCATAAGTTTTACATTTAAAGCGCTGACACTAGAACTAGAATAGTGTAGGCCTATGTGTCAGACTATTATTTAGGCCCTCGGCATGCAGGTGTAAAGTTAGACAGGACAAGTTGCGACTCGATCGCATCAATAATATTTTTTTTTGTGTGTTTATTATAGAAGTTTTGGTTGTTAATTTTTAGTCAGACAATGGTGCGCTTAGAAACACGTGTATTAAGTGCCTAATAACTGTTGTGTATTATTATTATAATTGTAATAGGTCAAAGTCCGGCACGACTAGTTCACAAGTGTGCTGCGCTCAAAGTCCAAAGATAGACTCTCTAGAAATATAGATAATAGAGTCTCTATATTTCTAGAGAGATCTTTTATTTTAGATTGTCTTTGATGAGTATCATGAGTATGAGGAATGCGATGTCACGGTGATGGCTTTTTTGGTGCAAGCCTCACATGTAATTGGCTGTTCACTCCACTAGCAGAGATGTACGTTTTTTGTATGTTTTGTTACGTTTTTTTTAATTTTTTAATTTTTTTTTTTTTTTTTTTTTTTTTTTTTTTTTTTTTAATTTTTTAGTGATGTTTTTCTTAATTTCTGATCATGGGCTTTGTGTCGTAAGTGTATTATGCACCTACATCTTAAAACGATGCACGCAGGATGGTGATACGGGCCCCAAACTGCGCACATTGCGAACAACCCACATGTAATGTATGCACGTCGCGCTCCGATCCGGGTACGTATACGTGGTACTGCCTGGTTTTTTAAGCTGCTCGATTGGGCGATATGTTAAGTTGAGAGATTTTTTCAAAAATACTGTTTTTTGTCCAAAAATACTGTTTTTTGCCCAAAATTACTTTTTTTTGCTCTTAAGAATACTTTTTTTTGTTGAAGAAGGTTGGCATCTCTGCACTAGTGCACTACCTGAATCACAGGAATGAATGTGGTACTCGTAGTGGGAAGCTTCTTGCTATCATTGTCTCTAAAATCTAAATGGTCATTTTCCGTTAAGACATTGTATGTGAAAATGTGATGGGAAGAGGAAAACGGTATAGTATGATAATACCCTGTTAAGAGGTTTGTCCTCAAAATGGAAGAAGAAATGGATAGGAAAAGAGAAAACATTGAAAATACCAATTAAAGAAAGAAGTGAATGATGGAGATTACAAATTTAAAGAAAAAAAAATAGGAAACAAGAGGGAGAAATCAATTTAGTAAGGAAAGTGCATAAGAAAAGACCGTGAGAGTTTTTAGGTTCAAAGTGGATACATCAAGCTGTAGGCCTACCAAAATAAAAAGCAGAAGGAAGAGGAAAAGAGGAACCGCATTGCATCATTATAGACAGATTGAGAGGGAAGATGAAATGAGATCAAATAATTAAAACAAAATTAAAAGAGGTAAAAAAGGAGAGGAATTTTTTATTATTTTTAAATAAGGAAAAATAACAAAATTAGAAGTAAATCGAGTGACCAAGGGTAAGTAGCAATAACATCTTGATGTGCATTTAGGTATTGTCATAATGCACCTTTTTAAAGTAGTATTATTATTCATTCAATGGAAGATAGAGAGTGCAATAAAGAAATACAAATGAGAATCGGCAAAAAGGTAATAGGAGAACAATTCAGATTATATTGCGTGTAAGATTTTTTTAATTGAACAGGACTATTCAATCTGACCTCTTCAGATGGCTTTGTGCGAGAGTTCTGCGATGATGAGATTTGAAGAAAAAAATATGATGGCCATCTCACAAAGTTTACTAACCAAAATCGTTAATGAATGCATTGTAGCCATTACAGTGTCTTAACCCTTTCCTGGCTTTGGTCGAGTAAAAGAACCTGCAATGCACTGCCAGAGTCAACTTTTGGCATGCACAGTTTTTATATGCATTATATTATCTAAACAATGTAAAAGTGTAGGGTTTTGATCCATGATAGCAAATAGAGAGTTTAATAATAAGCTCCTGATGGCTCACTGAATATATCTCTCATGTTTGTTCCAGATCACGGGAGGTTCCAGTGGTATTGGTAAAGCTGTTGCTATGGAGGTCCTCAGGCAAGGAGCTAGTGTAACACTCTTGGCAAGAAATCAGGTACAGCTCGGCACCCAATAATGTCATATTCTCTTTTTAATACAAGCCATATACTTGCTTTAAATGAGTTCCATAACACAGGGGTGAATGTTCAACAAAAACAAAAAGAAAACTGTTTTGAGATGACTTTTATCAAAAAATTCAAAGAACGATACAGACTATTTTCATTTCTTTTATTCATGATGATAAAACAACAAACCAGGGCTGCTTTTTGCCTTTGTTACTGGGAAGAAATAGTTTTTAAAAAAAGATTTTCTTTTCACCCTGGTGTTTGTTTTTACCCTTTTGGCAAAAGGCTATTTATTTCCAAATTGTAATTTTTCTTTTCTATGTGTTTGCACTTTGCAATCTGTAAATTTGGACTCTATATAGATCTGTCTTATCTGCTAAGGCTTTGTCACGTAATTGCTATTTTATCATTCTTTTTTTCCATAAACAAGGAAATGGGAATAAAATTTTGCAATTACATAAATATGTTCAGGTTTCCACTCTTGATGTGAAAAATGAACTCATCGTTTCTTTATCTGTGTTTTGCTTTGCTGCCCTCTACAGGAAAGGTTGAAGCATGCCAAGCTTGAGCTTGAGAAGTACATTATTGACAAAGGATATCAGGTAATGATTCCCTTCCACTTCTCAAAGGAAAATACTTGTTTTGTGTGTGTGTGTTTTTTTGTTGTCTATATAGGATTGATTGGAACTTCTTTGTCTTCTCATATTCATTTATAATCATTGCAAATGCAGAAGAGAAATCATTCACAAGTGCAATTAGAGAAACGCTTCTTAGCCATAATTTGTTACATTTTACATCAGAATATTTCTGAAATGGTAATTAAATTACTTTCCTGAGGAACATAATCACTGAAAAGTATTAGATATAGCATGTGTGTAGATCCCTCACACAATGTTGTTGTATTGTTATATGTTCTTGTAACAAATATCATAGTAATAGTTCCATTTTTAGAGTAATCAATTAACTCTCTTCAATATCGTAATATTTCACATAAACTTACATCAAATATATTAATTTTATGTGGAACATTTCAACTTAGAAATTCTCATTAAAATAATCCTTTAACAGGGAAAGCGATCACCAGATGAAGACAAAAATTCTAACAATATTTAGTTAATTTCAGTAATGATACATTTCCATTTGGGATTTTGTTTTTTGCTTCATATAAATAATTTGGACAGATAAGAGCTTGCTTTAAATGACATTTCTTAGTAATGTGTCATAAACATGTGCGTATCTGATTTTAAAAGTTCATTACTTTTATCTCTTCTTTTTATTGGTATCTTAACAGAAAATTCTCTGCATATCAGTTGATCTAGCGAAGGATTATGGATCTGTGGAACAGGCCATTCAAAAGGTAATATTTATATTCTGTTCATTTGCTTCCAATATCCTTAAGCTTTTGTTCTAAGACACTTTTCATGCTATTGATAATAAAACCAGATTCATAAAATATGTGTAGAATTATTTTTTATATTAATAATTCATAGCTGTCACTGTTATAGAGTGGTAATTTGACTGTGTGAATGTACATGTATTTACAAAGAATTACTGAGTGTGTGTTGTCTTATTTATGGAATCTAAATCTTTTAGAGGTTCATCAAGAATCGATTGATAGAGCTACACAGATGTAGTGCTGAGTATTTGATCTGTCCAAACTTCTAGTTATGCTAGAAATGTTTTTATGTAATGATTTGTTCTATAATTTTAAATTCTGACCTATTGGAAATCTCATTTTCTTGTGTTCTGCTCTAATCACAGTCAGTGGAAGTGATCGGGCCATGTGATATGCTGATTAACAGTGCAGGAAAGTCTAGTGCACTAGCCTTTGAAGAGCTGGAGATATCTGAATTCAAGGTAAAAATGATAGCTCTACACAGTTGGTATTTTCAAATAATAATTAGTTGTTGATTACTCTATATACATTATATATGTTTTGTATGGGATACAGGTTTTTTTTTTAAATACACGTATAATATATAGTTTCATAAAAGTTGAATTCACAACATGACACCAAAGCAGGCAGTTAACTAGCTACTGTATGTGAAAACAATATATTTGATGTAAAATTATATGCATTGTGAAGTTTGTATAATCAATCTACAGGATATAAGTCAAAGCATTCAAGATATCCCTCATTCATATCGGCATACCCTAATTTGATAAGAGTAATTTGAGGATTTCCATTTTGGTGCTAACTGCTAACTAAATTCATAAACATTGTTTTCCCCTAGTCATTTATTTTCAACCAGTAAAATGTAATACAGTGATTGAAAGGTAGATCAAATAGTAACAATTTTTTTTATGTTGGATGGTGGGTTAACTTTAGATCATCTGGCAAATCAGTGAAAAACAGAATAGATTGGAAATTCTGGTGAAACTGTCTGTTCTAAAGTGTGCCAATCACCTAAAAATTAATTTGTGTACAGCTAGAATGTATAAAATCAACCTCAAAAGAATTTACTCTTCTTTCTATTTGCTAATAGATAAGGAGTATGGAGAAAGTAAAGAGTAATATAAAAATTGTGCGTATGGGTATGTTGAGTAGTCTACTCAGTAGTCTACTTGTGATTGGTACATTTTAATGACAAAGAGGTTCAACTCTTTTTTCCACAATTCCAGAAAGACATGGAGGTGAATTACCTTGGCTCAGTGTATGCTACACGAGCTGTGTTACCTTACATGAAGAAGAGATCACAGGGCCGCATCATCTTCATCTCATCTCAGGCTGGGCAGCTTGGTCTCTATGGTTACTCCTCTTACAGCGGATCAAAGTTTGCTCTCAGAGGATTTGCAGAAGCTCTTCAGATGGAGGTGAGAGAAATATACTTCATAAATAACATTCTGAAGCATTTTATTTTTGTTGTTATTTTCATATTTTGTGAAATATAGGCACTATTCAAATAACGTATTGCCCTGAGTATATTAAAAGATGAAATTTACTCACTTGGTCCCTCAATTTACTCAAGTGGTCTGATAACTCTAAATGCCTATTAGATAGATTTGAAATGGAGGAAACATAAGATATTATAATTTATCTTGAGTTAAGTATGCTGTATTACTTTAATTACTCTCATCTTCAGTTAGCTTCTCTGATTTTTGCTTTGCCCATGTCTTCAAATCGTAAATTATTTTCAGACAGCTCTAAAGTGAACAAAGACTTGAGTTTTGATCATCCGGAATCATAACAACAATACATATTATTGTTATACTTTTTCTTGCTTCTTTCATTTACTTCGTTCAGGTAAAGCCATATAACATCTATGTGACCCTCAACTTTCCTCCTGATACGGACACCCCTATGCTTCAAGCTGAGTTAGAGACACAGGTAAGAGCGTGATAACAATCATGTGAGTCAAATTTGAATATTTGTAATGATTAACCTGTTTTTGGCTAGTTCAGAAACCAGGGCCCCATTTCACAAAACATGTCATCAGTGACAAATGACAGTTTTTGTTATAAGCTACTGAAATCCTTGCTTCTGATTGGTTATCAGCAGATTTGTCACTGATATTTGTCATTTGTCATTGAAAAAAGGCTTTGTGAAACACCCTTCTGGATTACTGGTCATACTAGAGTGTTTTGGCCCTTGTTACACACTTTAGTTAGAATTTCAGAGATTTGCTTGGCACATCCGTTCATATCGTAAATTCTTTTCTAAGAAAAATAAAATTGGTTTCATTGTGAACTTTTACATCTAGTGAAACTGAAACTTATAGAATATTACCTCTTTTACACTTGCATGCATTTTAGACCACACTGCCCTGCAATGCCAATGCATGCCATTCAGCAGTCATCTCCAACTTTTGCGTCAAGTCTGATTTACGAATAGTTCACACAGTGCATCATGCCATATTTATGCCAAAATTAATCATTGTTGTCGATGTCATTTATTGTCATGACATACTTATATTAATTTTTCCTCCCTTTTTGTGACAAGACCACATGTTTTGATCACCTGTCCACATACTTAGACTATGCGCAAGTTATGCACAGATTTGAGCAACTTGGTTGTGAACTATAGTCCGGAATAAACATGCCACTTTGTCTATGGACATGCATTGGCACAGATAGGTTGTGACTAGGTTGCGTACAAGTTTACTGGGTGTTCACAAAAGTTGCCCCAAAATTTTGTTCTGCCAAAAAAGTAATCATGTTTTAAATTATGTGATGTATTTTAAGCTTTGGCCTTGAATACTTCCCACATTAACTTGCAAGATGTGCAAACCATGCGCAAACCAACATGTGTGAAAGAGTAGATGGGGCATATGATTATGATGCATGGTAGATAATTATGATGAGTCGTTTTTATAACTGAAGAACATTGTTTACATTGACAATTTGTTTTTAAACCATCATGTGAGACAGTGTAATGTGATTTTTTTTTAAATCATGAAACCAAGAGTTGAAAAGAGGAGATCAACCCCTTTTTTCCGAAGAGCAAATTAAACAAATAATAAAAGAGAAAGGATTTATTACAAAAATAACATTGATTATGTTTAATGGTCTCAGATTGAAACTAAAATCTTGAACATACAGGCAGCGCACAATGAGAAATCTAGTTTCTAGTTTCTCACGCCACTTAAGATGCTCTTGTATCAAAACCTTTAGTGTGACTTTTTATTGAAAGTGAGAGTTGCAAAGTAGCAATAAAAACCATGTTTTTAGAAATGAGGTGATTTTTTTTTTTTTTAAATATTGTCTCGAGATACAATTGATCTGTATTTTATTTTAACCTTTCAAATGTTGCAGTACTTGTCAGTTCCAAAAATATATTTTTTCAAGTGTGCAATATGGGGGCATACATGTTGTAGCTATCTTTCTTCTTTAACAATATGAGAGTCAGTGACCCCTCATTATGTTGCTTGCCTGGCAAAAGGGCATTAGCATAGAAATTACACAACAGACAGTGAAACCAACGTTTATCATCATCACTTTGAAGCAACACTTACTCTGAAAGAAGAAGAAGAAACCATAAGCGTGCTTCAGAATGATCAAATCAAAATATGGAGATTCTGACATTCATGCGGTTGTTCCCATGAATAGTGATGTCAATAACAATTTTGTCTTACTTTACAAAAGCTCTGATTTTGCAGTAAAATCTCTGCTAAAGCAAAGTAGAAGGCATACATAATTTATTTAAATGCCATCCAAAATACCAAGATTGATGATATTCGTTTTAATTTTGCTTTTATGTTATTTCTGCTACCCCTAACATTTTTTTGTTGTTGATTTTATATGAGTTCTCCTTCCATGGTTTCTGAGTGTGTTACCGCCACATTCAGGGCCTCTGACTGACTGCCATCTATTCTTCTGCTTGTCTTTCATACAGCCAGAAGAAACAAGATTGATATCTGAAACATCAGGACTGTATGCTGCTCAGGATGTAGCAAGAATTATTGTGCAAGATTCTCTTGTAAGTTTCAGTATCTCCCTTTCTGATTCATTCAGTACTTAATCATGTACATGTTCATTCTTTCCCATACTTTTCTTGCTTAAATATGTTAATAACATTGCAATAGTTTACTTTATTCATACAATTATAATTATATTACTTCTTATTCTTCTACTTGTGATGAAAAGTTTGAATACCAAGTATATGTTGAAATTACTACCTGAAATGATGTTCCAGAATGTTATCCTTTCTCTTACCTCAGAATGCAGTGTTTCTAAGCTATGTGGGCATGGATGGTTACATGTTATCTATCTTAACATGTGGTATGTCACCAGTCACATCTATGATGGTTGGAGTACAACAGGTCAGTTTGACAATCTTTTCGTCATTCCTCTCTGTCAACTTTCCTCTACCATTTTGCGTATTGCCCAAAATGTAATCTTTAGTTCTCGTACTGAAAAAAAAGAAGAAAAGTTTAATATGATCTTGAGATCCTAATGTCGGATTTGAGTGCATGGAGCATGTATTCACTTTTTTTCTTTCTTTTTTTCCCCGGTGCTATATACATGTACACAAAGCGGCATTTTTCCTCTTTTGGGGGAGGGGGGAGGGGGTTAAATTTGTTTTCATTTTTTTAAATAAATAATCTTGTCAATGATTATTGTTCATTACACAGTGATCTCACCATTTTATTCTTACCATTTCTGTAAAGTCATAAGGATTGGAAGAGACCTCCGGGATATAGTTATTAGGTTAATCTTTTCTTTTCCTGGCGTCCACATGACTATTTTCCAAATGTACTCTTGTTTTGTATTCACTTATTTCCTTTGTCTTTGCCGAATAAATAATAAATAATAATTTTTTTTTTTTTTTTTTTAATTATTATTTAATTAATGAACCTGATCCTTGACTTATTTTTATGTTATGTTTATTTTTTTAGGTTGCATTTATGGGTTTGTTCAGGTTCATTTCTCATCTGTATCTTGGAAGCTTTGATAGAATCATAAGGAGGTGCAAAGAAGAACGAGACATGATGGAAGATGATCAATCCAAAGACAAATGAAATCTAACTCCTCCTCGCCTGCTTACAAATGTCAAAACGTATCCGGCATGAAACTAACCTGGCTGTTGGATGAGGATGAAAGAATTTTATTACGAGCCATTTTTCAGATTTCTGAAATCAGAAACTTGAAGGGTAGCAGGAAAGAGTAATTTTTTGGAAATATATTCATTTTTGGAAAAGGATGGATTGATATATTATATAGTGTGTAAATTATGACTGTTATTCTAGGGGGAAATGGCTGTCAGCATATGTCTAGAATGGTTTTAGCCTTCTAGTCACTATGTGAAGTATTTCTTACTATTCTTCACAATGACCATAACATTTCAGATCAATGTGATTTTAAAAAATTTCTGTGTGTAGGAAAATAATCATGATGTCCTAGGGCAAGGACGATGATTAATTTCAGGAGATATTTGATGAAAGTCTTCCGATGATGTTAGGATGACATGCCCTGCCACACTACAAATGATTTCTGACTATGATTTAGATTATCCTGCCATTCATAACCCCTCAGTTTATTTTGGATTCGTCCGACATGAAATGAAACTGTGCTTTAGATTGAAGGTCATGAAAGACATGAATTGATAGATAGTAGACTTTCAATTGCTTGTATCCCAGAACATCTGGCATCCATGATACTGCCTTCTCATGATGAACCAATTCCATAACACCTGTCTACTAATATTTTGTTAACCCATTGCTTACTGGAACCTGGTGTTCCCTGTGTTATGTCTATGGGAATTAGATAATTCAGTAGTCAACGAGTCAATATTGCACGTTTCTCTCCCCAAACCTTGCTTAATATTTATTTGATTCACCTGCTATGCAAAGTAAAATCTGTATGGATTGAATTCACTTTGCATGCATTATTTGTTGATATGTTGGTGATGCCTCTAGCAAGCATTTCAAGAGAAAAATTTGTGCAAAAGGTATGCATAAAATGAGTATACAGGTCTTTTGAATAATTATATAATATGGACTGGCCTTGAGGGAGATACCACATAATATTTCCCAAACTAGACTCATATTGCCCCGAGTCAAAGACGAGGGCAATATGGGTCTTGTGAAGGCAATATATGTGGTATCTCCCGAAAGTTTAGCCAGTCAATGTTGTTATTATTATCCAAATCAGACATCTAGAGCAAATAAATAAATTATAATCTCTTAGAACTGAAAAAACTTTGTCAATCCAACACTGTGCATCCAGCTGCTTGACGAAATTTTCAATACATTGCAAACAGTGTACCCAATTGGGTGTGATTATTATGTCACAATAGAGTGCGCAGGTTCTCGTACGCATAACAGATGCGCAATGAAAATGACAAAATACGGCGCGGTGAATATGGTCTTATATTTCATGCTTTTTTAACACGTAAAGTCCATAGGCTTTTTCATGAAAGGTGAATATAGTCTCATATTCCCCGATTAGCCCTTTTAGGATTACAAACGAGTGAAATATGTTTTTGTCAAACCACTGCTCAGATGTCTGATATGGGTAATAATTAGTAATGTTTCACACTGGCCAATTTCGTAATGTAATTAAATTTAATGCATTCCGGTAAGTCTTTTGTTATTGCTATTGCACAAAGGTAGGACAATAGTTATGGCTTGCCCTACCTAACAACACGTAATGTATGTAATTTGACCCTTGAAATACATCTGTAGTGTCAGAATGAAGCTTTATGACATGTGTCCTTGTGTCAACCTTACTCCAAGTCTAAGAGCTCTCGACCTCAACAAAACCATGCCATGGATTGTAATGATAGTAAAGGGTCAAGGAAAGGTAGAGTTGAGAAGAATGACATATTTCTCACAAAAGAGAATACATGGTTATTGTATCATCGCACTGGCTTTCTTACTAACTTAATCAGAAAATGTAAATATCATTGCCTGGGGCGGTATTCTGAACATTGTTGTTTTGTGTTATCTTTTGTTGTATCTTCCAGAGAAAACACAGCGCTAATATTGTTGTAAGTTGGTATTCTGAACATTGTTTTATCCCTGTGTTATCTCTTGAAGGACCGCCTCTATCTTATCTTTGACCATTGATGACACGCCTATTTTTATGAACCCTACCAATCAAAATCTATTTTATATAAGCATGATAAGTAGGTCAACCAATAGGAATACTTTATGCCATATCTGAAGATACGCCTAGCGCATACTAATCTTGGGCGTAATTAGTTATTTGAGCATTTATTATGTGCGTCATCATTATGCGCTGTTGAATGTGGATCATGAAGACAAATCACGCTTTCACTATATTGGTTAAGATGAGAGCATTAAAATTGTCATATCCTAGCATGTAATATCTTAGAAAGTTCTCATCTGTGATGTTTCCGGTCAACACACAATCTTCTTTTAACTCGTCTATTGGCACGAAGTTGGTTCTGGGCAAAAAAATATTGCCGCCATTATATCACCACGAAAGATACAACAACCCCCTACCTGTTGTAAATATTGTTGTAAATACCATGCAAGATAAGATAAAATAAAAGATACAACAACTTTCAGAATACCAATTATCTCCCGTGCGCATATGCAAATGAGGATTAAATGCTACTTTATTAATAATACGCACAATTACAAGCGCACCAAATTATGAGTGCAGGCGCGGCCAATAAGATGAGATAAAAGATACAACAAAAGATAACACAAAAGTTACAACAATGTTCAGAATACCAACTTTATCTTATCTTCAAAGATACAACAATATTAGAGATAACACAAGGTTCAGAATACCGCCCCAGGTCTTGGCGATCTAATAGGTGGCAGTTGGCTATTATTTTCTTCAAAAATTGCTTCAAAAGCAATTTACTAGAGTGGAAAGATTTGATGCTAAAATCTTATAGAGAAAAGAATGAATGGTCAAGCATATGGAAAATGGTTTATACTTTAAGACTTGTCAGCGAAAAGATATGATATGTTTGAACTTCATGGGAATGTTGGGTATGGTGCACTATTATCTGCAACTCTGTAAACTAAGAAGAATACTGCAGTCAAACATGAATATTGATATGTTGTTATTTTGTAAAGTTTGTGCTTAGCACTACATCTTGATTAAAATGACAAAGTCAGAAAGCCAAGATCATACCTCCCACATACTAAATCATTATACAATGGGTTTGACAATCTGTCAAAAAGTGGCTGGGATTTTTTCATAACATTTATTTATTGGTTTCTATTCCCGTTTCTGTAAAGAACTGGAAATACCCATTGTATGATGCTAGTTTTTATAAATGTCCTTGTTTGGTTGATCAATGAAAGGAGATATACTCCTCTTCAGTTCTGTTTGGCCTGTCACTTATTGCAGGCCGTTGTCCATAAGGTTTAGCTTTGATATTGATTCAGAGTGATTTGAAAATATATATTTGAACATATTTTGATAAATGACTATCTAAGACAAAAATCATGTGAATCAATTACATAACAATATATATATGTGCATGTTTCTTGTGTATATACATTCTTTATTGGACAGAAGACATTTAATGGCAAGGTCCGTACTATCGTGTACCAAACTTTGATCTCAAAGATCATAAAAGAACAAAACAGTTTTGAAAGGGTTGTGTGGTATAATGTGCATGTGTAGAGAGAATGATATGAATCGTATCAGGGGTTATAAATTGTTTTGTGTTTTCAAGAATTAGGAATGAATGATGCATGATGGTAAATGTTAATTGGATGTTTGAAGGGAGAAAGAGGATTGAGTCTTGTTTTCTTTTTCTTTGTACTAAAAGATGATCTTCATAATTGAATTCTTTACCTAGCAATAAATATGTTTTTTTATACAATATACTTCCTGCTTATGGATTTTCTTTGTATCATTGTATAATTTTGTTTATTAGTTAGATTTGGGTATGGTCAGTTACATTGTTTAAAACATGTGTGGTAGAAATAATGGAATTGGATGTTAATATTTTTTTTAAATATGAAACGGATGCGAAGTTGAATTTAAATATATGTAGACTGAACGTGCAATAGATTATATAAATTTGGCATAGTATTATGTGGGTTAATGGATGTGTCTAGATCAGATGAAGATTGCCTGGAAAGGTTTCACTCACCACTTCAATCTGTGTCGTACATCATTCCATTTCTCCCCTTTCTAGACTTCATTCATCCATAAATTTGAATCCCCATATGCTTCTTGTAGTTTGCTTGCATGGTGAAATGACCCCGACCCCTACTTTTTGCATGATATACCCTTCTTCCTATACTGAGCGGAAGCTGTGCCCTGTTTCATAACAATTGTTATAACTGTTTGTAAGCTTCTGAAATAATGGCTGAAATATTGGATGAGAGGAGATTTGTTATAAAATTTTAGCATTTGTTATTTATTGATAACAACTTTTATGAAACGGGGCTCTGGTCTACTCCTATTATTCCATCATCCTAATTTTTCATGAAAAAGGGAATGCCAGCAGATTTAGTGAGAAACGAGCTGTTCTGAGTATCACCCTCATGACAGCAGTTGAGAGAAACGTTAATATTCTCAAGACCGTTCCAAATCCCCACTGAAACAGTCCATGGCGTCACAGCAGAGTGGGTAGTGATATTGGCAGAGAACCAAGAGTATGTCGTTATATGAAGAAAGAGGGTGTGGGGTGCTGAAGTCACTACGATTAAGCCCCCTTTCATCCACAGTTGCCATAGTTATTGGATTAGAGTGAATACATGAAATTTTGATTTTTGTTCCCTTCTTCTTCAAAATCTGATATTACAACTAGTAAAAAGTGGAAGTAGATATGGTGTGTGATGATGGTGGTGATGGAATGTGGTGGTGGTGGTCGACTGTGGTGGTGGGAGTAGTGGTAGTGATGTTGGAGGTGGTGATGGTAATGGAAGCGGTGATGATGGTGGTCGACTGGTGGTGGAGGTGACAGTGTTGGTGGTTAGATGCACCACTGCTAGTATCTCACTCCTTTATCCTTTTTTTCAACTGAATTTTAATTATGTGAAAATTCGATTCGTCTCGATTTGTTTCTTGAGAACTCTTAAAGCTTACATCTAAAAGTATTTTTTCAACAAATTTAACCAGTTCTAATTTCATTCTTGAGTTACGCCCCCCCCCCAAAAAAAAAAACAACAACAACAACAACAACAAATCAAATTTACAAGGAGTATCAATAATATAATTCATTTGTTAACAGTATATTATAGCCCTACACTCGAGCTCGTTCAACTAAAATTACACATTAGCCACAATGTTTAATGATAAGCTTTTTCAGTAAAAGATCCGTGTTTTATCAGAAAGACATGCTTTCATTTAGTTTTCCCTAGGTTGAGCACAATTTTGAATAAGCAGTGTATACTCCTCCGAACCAGCAATACTCAATTCAATTCAATCCAATTTATTTGGCAACATTAAAAAAAATTACAAATCATAAATACAGAATACACAGCAGGCCATATGGCCTCTAAGAAACAACTTTTGCTTGTAAATGAGGCCCCTATCAAGGTAAACACAATATTGAATTTAAGTTCCAAATTAATAAAACTTACGAAGTATAAACAATCATTTGTATATATATATATATATATATATTAAAAAGAAATTATACCATTCTACAGTTGTATTTGTATTTGCGACTGTATTTCAATCATTTGTCACGCCTTTCCAAATATTTGTTTTTTATAAATAAGTACTGTTCTTCTTTGTTTGGTTGTATTTGGAAATTAGTCAATATCGTTCCTTCCAATTCTTTGTTAATGCTTTAGCACACTATTCACAAAGATACATAAATATATAGATGCATCCTTTAAACCATGTCAATAGGCCTGATAATTTACCTTTTCTGGACAGATAAGATCAGTATACGCAGTTGCAATTCACTGAGGAATTAATCCATCATTGTCAGTGGCTTTTCCCCGGAGGTAAACATTCTTAAAATTCATCGAATGCATGATGTCGATGGTCAAGTGTAATATACATAATACATAAGCATAGATGGATTGTTTTCTTTTGCAATTATGTCGTCATCCGCTTTATACTTTTTCTTCTTCTTCTTTTTTCTGTTCTTTCTTCGTCAT